CTTATACACATGTGGGACGTTTAATATGAGCCACTTGAAGGGCAGCTCAACACCTTAGATTATTCTCAGTTATTCCCTGCAGGGCCCAGCCCCAACCTGTGTTTGCAAAAAGTACTTAATATTTATCTAGTCATCGCTCCAAAGCAGGCTCCTCTCTACCTACCTCGAAGGCAGGCCACACCTGCCAGTAGAAGCAGCAATGTCCCAGCATAGTGAGAAAACGGCACAACTTTGGACAAACTCAAGTAACCTGGGAGGGAAGAGAGACAATATGAGAAGCTCTCACAGGGCCTCTCAGCAATTCTTCCCAGTTTTCCCACAGCCTGTATCCCAGACCCTCTCTCTTTGGGTTAGCCATTCTCTTAGAGCAGTGGTTCTCAACCTGTGGGTTGTGAACCTTTTGGCAAACCTCTGTCTCCAAAAATATTCACATGACGATTTATAACAGTACCAAAGTTAGTTATGAAGTAACAACAAAAATAATTTTATGGTTGGGGGCATCACCATATGAGGAACTGTGTTAAACAGTCGCAGCATTAGGAAGGTTGAGAACCACTGTCTTAGGGGGAGAAGACTCCTGGTAAAAAGAGGGAAGTCAAATGGTCCTCATAGGACCCCCTTCCTCTCTGGGAGCTGACTCAGCTGCCAGTGACCTGCCCATTTCCTCCCATAGTACCTCTGCGAGCGCACTGACCTTTCCTGTATAAGTAGAACACGGCGAAGGGAGAGGAGTAATAAGAGATGGACCAGAAGACAGAAGTCTGCAGCAGAGATGGAGACAGGCAGTCAACACGCCTGTGCACACACTGTCCTGCCTATCCAGGCCTAGACTCTGAGAGGGGGAACCCAGAGTCTACACACTAAGCAAATGCTCTGTTCATGACATCATGCACACACACAGTGGGGGCATGAACATCTGTTGCCAGGTAGTGTGTGAGAGCATAATGGAGGCTGACACAGTTCCATCACATTGAAAACACCAGCCTCTCTGTCTACTCAAGTTAATTAAGCCTTCACAGTTGGCCCCACTCGAGAGAGACCTAGGCTTTGTCTCCAAGAGATGGGAAAAACGTCACCATAGGAAGTCTGCCAGAGACAACAGCTGCCTCTCAGACAGAGGTTAGTTGCCAGGGAGGACAGGTCACTGGGGACTGTAGGCTCAGAGACCTGCACATGATCCCAAGGGTAAATGTGCTATCTTAAGGACTCAGAGTGCTGCAGGAAAAGCTTATGGTACATAATGGAGAGTCCCCAAGAAGGAATGCCAACTATCTGAACTTGGGGTGCACTGGTACATGTGTGTTAGCAAGTTCTGCACAGAGCTCAGAGCATCCCCCCCCTCCCCGGGTTGCTGCCTTCTTCCCAGGCTGGACAGGAGTAGCATCCAGGGAGCAGCTGGGCCTGTTAAGAATTACAGGGTCGAAGATGTGGAGCTGACTTACCAGGGCCAGGATGCTGTCAGCATGTTTCTCCAGGGCACGGGGCTGATAATATGTATCCTGCCAAAACAGATGGCCTGTTAAGGACCCTGCCAGCTGACATGTCCTTCCTCCCTTCCAGAAGCCCCAACCTGTGCCACCTGGTTCTAGCCTCCCTGGCCATTTCTTTTGGGTTACTCCTGGCCTCTAGTGACACTGAGCCTGACTTCTCACCTATGACCCTGAGCCCTGACTTGAAAGGAAAAGTGAAAGCACCATTTGGGAGACTTGCTCTTTTTTCCAAAGCCCGGCTATAAATGTGATTCTGTGTATATGGGGAACACGGGTAGTTAGTGGAAAGACTCCATGACAATTCTAAGAGGGAAGGAATAGAATTTGACCTAAGTTGATTCAGGAAGAATGTGGCTAGGTGTGGACAATTTGGAAAGGCTCCTAAACATAATTTGCAACCAATAAAAAAAAAAAAAAAAAAAAAAAAGGTAAGAGAGTCTGGAGGGCAGACTACCACCACCTACAGTTGTCGTGAGGGCAATGACCCTGGTCTTCAGGCTAGGCTTGTGGGTCCGAGTTGCACAAGTGGATACATGACATGTATAAGTCGTTTTGAAACTGAAAAATCAGGCTACAGAGAAAGCCAACAGAGCCTAGGGGAGGAAGAAACTGGGAGTTTATGGGCAAAAGCGGTCAGTGCGCGCAGGGGACTCCAGACTCAACTGGGATCAGCCATGAAACATGACAGGGTCGGGGGACGCGGAGGAGGGAAGCAAGCACTCGTGTGAGAGTGAGCAAGAGTTGCTCCAAAGCCGTAAAGAGAGGCGGCGGCCGGGCGGGCGGCGTGACTCGGAGTCGGGAAGCGCCCACAGGCGAAGTGCGCGACCGCCGCTTGACAAGCAGCATCCCCCGTTTCCGGCAGTGGACGCGTCCGGGGAGCGATGGAGCAGCGCGGCTTGGACCGTACCATGTACTCATCCGGGGGGGATCGACTCACCCAGGAGCTGGCGGAGGGGGCGGGGACGGCAGTGGGAGTCTCAGAGACGCTGGACGCGGCCCGGTCCGTCTCTCGCTCCCTGTAGATCTTGTAGAGCCGGGGGCCGAGGACGCAGCTCAGCAGCTTTGCCATGGCCCCGGCTCGGGCCACTGTTCCTCGGCCTCAGGTCCCCGCCGGCCCCGCCCTCGGCCTCCGAGGCTTTGCGTGCGTGACGTCAGCACGTACCGGCTCTTCCCTCCCCTCCCCCCCACGGCCGGTCCGGCCCGACCTGACGCTCGGGCTGCGAGAGGAGGGTTCCGCGCAGCTGCACAAGAGGCGTTCTAAACATCTTGAATTAGAAAAAGTCCCGGAGTGATTAAATCGCTTTTTGTTTTTCCCTTCTAACCCTTCATGTCAGCATGCTCTGGAACGATTGCTGGGTGGAAGTGGGAGCATTTGACAAAAACTTCCAAGAAGAGTCTAGCGGCTGGAGATACTTGCCTACCATCTCACACACACACACACACACACACACACACACACACACACACACACACACACGAAGAAATGCCAAGATTATTATGAAAAATCCTACTCTGGTCTACATAGTGAGTTCCAGGACACACACACACACACACACACACACACACACACACACACGAAGAAATACCAGGATTATTATGAAAAATCCTACTCTGGTCTACATAGTGAGTTCCAGGCCAGTCAGGACTACATAGAAAGACCCTGTTTCAAAGTGCTAGGATTAAACACATTTCACCACTCACCTTTTTCAAAATGTAAAATTATGATTTGTGTGTGTGTGTCTGCATATGCACACAGCCTGCCTGTCCTAGAGTTTTAGATTAATGTTATTGGCAAAGGAGATTTCAAGGTAGCCTAGTATTGACACTATCGTCAGTGGCCAATCTTGTGCAGTCATATACTGAAAAGGAGAAAGCCTGTAAGGAGCACCATTTCATAGTCTCTGCATCAGCTCCTGCCTCCAGGTTCCTGCCCTGCATGGGTTCCTGTCCTGACTTCCTTTGATGATGAACTATGATATGAAAGTACAAGCCAAATAAACCCTTTCCTCCCTGAGTTGCTTTGGTCATGGTGTTTCATCACAGCAATGTTAACCCTAACTCAGACACTTTGTTAGGGCTTCCCCCCTTGTTTTGTTTGTATGTTTGTTTATGAGACAGGGTCTCACTATGTAGATCTGGTGGTCCTGGACCAAGCCTGCTTCTTTGTCTTAAGTGCTGGGATTAGAGTTGCACATCACCACACCTGACTTAGTTAGGGTTTATGTTGCTGTTATGAAACACCATGACCAGAAGTAACTTGAAGAGAGAATTTATTTTCCACTTCCTCATCACAGTCCATCATTGAAGGAAGACATTCAAAAAGCAAGTCGGGTGGTGACCAACACATTTAATCCCAGCACTCAGGAGGCTGAAGCACGTGCATCTCTAAATTCGAGGCCAGCTTGGTTTACAGAGCTAGTTCCAGGAAAGCCAGGACAGTTACACAGAGAAACCTTGTGTCTGGGGGAAAAAAATCGTTCTTCCCACAGGGCCCTAAGGTGTAAAGTTGACACTAAAAACTAGCCAGTGAAGGTGGAGAGCAGAGGGCAGGGATGAGAGGAGAGGAGGGAGGGGAAACTGTGGTTGGGATAGAAAATTAAAATAAAAATAGGAAAGAAAAAAAAGCCTGTGTGTTGTATGAAACTCGAGAACAATTCTGCAGTCAGTTCTCCCCATCCCCCCATGTGGATCCTGAGGACTTGAGGACTGAGCTCCAGCTGTTAGGCTCCTTGGCAAAAGCCAGCAGTAATTGAGCCACCTCACCAGCCCAAGAGAAGAGAATTTAATGGCTGGGGATATCCCTCAGTGACAAAGAACTTGCCCTATATTTGAAATAATTAACTAGCTGTTCATAATGATACATGCCTGTCACCTCACCTCATACCTTAGGAGGTAGAGAGAGAAGTCAAGAATTCAATATCATCCCTAACTACACAACTTGAAACCCTGGCTCAAAATAATAAAATAAAATAAAGCACACACAGAAAAACAAAAAAGCAACTAATTAAATAACACATGATAAACAATCAGATGTGTATAAAGGTATGCTTCTGAGTCTATTTGTCCATGAATCCATGTCTCTGCTGTGTTTCTCTTTGAGTGACAGGAAAAGATACTCTGAAGGGGTTCTGCAGTGGCCCATGGCATGTCAGGTAACCACAGGAAAAGACATTTGCGATCACTTAGGGACCACCGCCTGTATGTATGGTTTTGTCCTGGGTTCCAAGGAGAGAACAGGCATGGTTGGCTCATCATGGTTGATGTCTCAGGGAAAGACAAGCCACAGAAGGCTTCAGGGATGAGAAGTGGTAAACATCTGGGATTCCTTCCACACAAAAGCAGCTTGCACCAGGACTGACTTCAAGAACTGAAGATGAAGGTTCCTTTTCCCCCAAGAAGACATGCAACTGAGTTTTATCTCCCCACATTCTCATTCCTCTAGAGGCCCAGTGGCTCCAGCCCAGGGGTTGTGGCCTTTATCTGTGTTCTGCTTCCTCCCTGGAACACTACGGCTTTGGAGTAGGGGACTTGGCAGGCTCTTCCCATGGCAGTCATAATCACTCTCCTCCTTCTGTTCTGGTGTGGGGACCCCCAGGCTGCTGCAGGTAAGAGGCAGGAGGTGGGGGCCTCAGGCTGCTGCAGGAAAGGGGCAGGAGGTAGAGGGTTCTGCTGCTATTTGGAAAGTTGGAAGGGGCTGCTGCTTTTCCTCCTTAGCACTTCTGAAAATGCACATGACTCAAGAAGACAGACTTATAGTGTTGGAACTCTCTTTGCTTTTAGTCCGGGGAAGACCCAGAGGTCCTGGGCTTAGTTATATACAGTTTCCTGGTTTACAAAAATATAATATGAGTCAGGTATGGGGGTGTAGCTCAAAAGAGTTCATCTCCAACCAAGAGTTTGATTCCTGTCATCACATAAATATGCACACTATGCCCATCAGCCCAGAATTAGAGAGGAGATAGCAATACCAGGAGAGTCAGGTAATCCTCAGCCAAACAGTTGATTTGATGATACAAGATAAGGGTCTTGCTATGTTGTGATGGTGGATCTTCCAGTACACTGCTTCTAGGCATATCTATGAAGGCATTTCCAAAGAGTTTTAACTGAGGAGGGAAGAGCTACCTCAAATGTCAGTGTCACCGTCTAGTGGGCTGGAGTCCTAGACTAACTCAAAACAGGGAAAGGACAAAGACAGCAGAGTATAGGTGTTCCCCTTTCTATACTCCTAAGTCCATCTAGAAGCAGGCATGTTTCTACCACCATAAATTTTCTGCTATGATAGACTGTGTTCCTTAAACCATAATCCAAAATAGATCTTAAGTGGAGATGCATGCCTTTAGTCCCAGAACTCGGGAGGCAAAGGCAGGTAGAGCTCTGAGTTTGAGGACAGCCTGGTCTACAGAGTGAGTTCCAGGACAGCCAAGGCTACACAGAGAAACCCTGTCTCAAATATAATAATGATGATGATGATTATAATGATAATAATAACAAATCTTATTCCCTTAAGTTGCTTTAGCCAGAGATTTTGTCAAATCAACACAAAAACAGCAGTCCAGGCTCAAGCACCCTTCTTCTTCTGCCTTCTGAGTGCTGTGACTACAGGTGCATGCCAGCACACCCAGCTTACAGTTTCCCTTGTTTTCATTATTATCTGTTTGTTTTCAGACAGGGCATTGCTTTATAATAACCTTAGCTGGCCTGGTACTTCTTATATACTGCAATCCTCCTCCCTCAGCCTCCCCTCCTGAGTGCTAATATTATAGGCATGTGCCACCATGCCCTGGCTTAGCTCCTTGTAGAAAACAAAAACAGATGAATAGATGTTTGAAGAGATAAGGGCAGCCTCCTTATGTCCTATCTCAGAGCCTCTCACTGGCCAGGAAAAATAGAAAGCCTTTACTCTCTTTACTCTGCCTCTCCCATCCCATTGTCCCCACTCTTTCTGGGACTCATGTATCCCAGGGTAGCCTTGAACCCTTAAGCAGCTGAGGATGACACTGATCTTCCTGTCTCTGGGTGTCTGGATCGCCAGTATACACCAGCACATTCAGTTTATGGGTTTATGCAGTGCTGGGGACCAGGGTCAGCTCTTCGTGCAAGATAGAGAAATAGAGAATCACTCTTGCCAGCTAAGCCCTGAGTCCCATTCCCAGTCTATAAGCGACCTTTTTTTTTTTTTCCCCAGTGTTTGGAACCCAAGAACTCAGGCAAGCACTCAAGCACTTAAACAACCTTGCTTTGCCCCAGCCTGTCCCTCTTTCTTCTTAGCAGTCACTTGAGAAATGTGCTTGGAGACCCCAGAAGGAAAAGAAGGCAGGGGTTAGAGATAAAGTAGGGGCTTGCTGAAGGCATGGACAGCTCTAGTCTGACACTGCCATTTCTCCACAGACAGCATCCAGACCGTCTATGTAATCTCAGGGGAGTCAGCTGAGCTGCCGTGTCCTTCACCACCCTCCCTACTTGGGGTCCAGCTCCTAAACTGGTTCCGCAGTCCTGCAGCAGGTTCTTCCACCATCTTGGTGGCCCAGATCCAAGTAGACAGGCCAGTCTCAGATCTGGGGAAACCTGAGACTGATTCCAGGTTCAAAGTCCTCAGGAACTATTCCTTATTGCTGGAGGGGCCCCTGGATGAAGATGCTGGGCGGTACTGGTGCACTGTGATGGATCAGAACCATAAATATCAGAACTGGAGGGTGTATGATGTCTCCGTGCTCAAAGGTGAGTTAGGATGCAAAAAATCTCTGTGAACACTGGAGACTAGGGAAGACCACACAAGATACTGAGGTGTCCTTTCTATTGCCAGGATCCCAGTTCACTGTGAAGTCTCCAGATGGACCCTCTTGCTCTGCCCTCATGTGCTCTGTGGTCCCCACCAGACATCTGGACTCTGTGACTTGGCTAGAGGGGAGGAATCCTGTGAGAGGACATGCTCAGTACTTTCGGGGAGACGGGGCTGCCCTGCTATTGGTGTGTCCTGCAGAGGGGCTTCCTGAGACCAGGAGTCGTAGGCCGAGGAATATCCGCTGCCTTATGCCTCAGAACAAAAGATTCAGCTTTAGCCTGGCAGGTAAAATGAGGGAGGAAATGAAGAAGGGGGAAAGGGGAATTCTCTCTGACACATCTCTCAAGGTTGGAAAAAGGGGTCACTTCCCTATAGGGGGAGGCTTTTTCTCCCTGCATTGGCCAAATCTATCATAAAGAAGGGTTGATTAACTGGATGTTGGTGGTGCACACCTTTAATGCCAGCACTTGGAAGGCAGAGGCAGGCAGATCTCTGTGAGTTCGAGGCCAGCCTGGTCTTCAGAGCTAGTTCCAGGACAGGCTCCAAATCTACACAGAAAAACCCTGTCTTGAGCCCCCCCCCAAATAAAGATGGAGTTGATTAAACCAACTTTGGGGAGGAATAGGCCAGACCAGGAGCCAGGACCTACTTTGGTGGTATACATCACTGTTTATAAAGGGTTAATCTGGGACTGAAGAAAGAGCTCTGCTAAGTAAAGTGCTTGTAACACAAACATTAGAATCCGGGTTTGACTCAGAAGTCACATAAAAAAGTCATTCATGGTGATGCATGCTTGTAGTCCCAACACTAGGGAGACAGATCAGATGAACCCCTTAACTCTCGGGCCCACTAACCTGGCCTGCTGTGTGAGCTCCAGGTTAGTGTCTCATAAAATAAGGTGAACATCTAAGGAGCAACACCTGAGGTTGACTTTTAGCCTCCACACACGTGCATACACATACCCCTACACATGAACACACACACACAGGCATGCACACCCACACAATCATATAGGTAAGTGCACACACACACACACACACAGAGGCATGCTCACCCACACAAACATACATACAGAAGGCATGCACAACATCACACATAGGCATGCATAGCAACACCCACAGAACTCATATAATCATGTGCATGCACACACACAAGAAAGAGACTGATCTAAGCAGGGCATGGCGTCACTTGCCTCCTAGCACTTGGCAGGCACAAGGAGGAACAGAAGTTTGAACATTGGCTCTATGGTAAGTTCAAAGCCAGTCTACACTATGTGTGATCCCACTTCTTTAAAAAAAAAAAAAAAAGCATCAAAATAAAAGAAACAGGCCTATACCTTTAATCCTAGCTCTCAGGAGGTGAAGGCAGTCAATGTCTTCGAGTTCAAGGCCAGCCTAGTCGACATAGTAAATTTCAGGCCACCCAGGGCTATATGGAGGGGCCCGGTCCTGTCCTGCCCCCTTGCCAAAAATAGAAAGTCAAGAAATAGGCCAGTATATGAGTCAAGCATGGTGGTTCATGCCTGCAGTCCCAGGACTCAGAGGGTGAGGCAGGCGTTCAAGCCTAGTCTGGACTGTGCATGAGACCCTGTCTCAAAAACAACAAAAAAGAAACAGCCTAATCTATGATTTCTGTGGACTTTTCCATGGCAGAGAGGAAGTACGTAGGGATTTCTGGGGACGCTGGCTTCTGAAGAAGGGGTCCCACATACTGTAGTATAATAGCCTATTGACAGGGAAGGCAGAAGCAGAAAGTGTATAGTTGTTATACAAAATAAAAGGCCATTATATAGAGAATGAATGCTGCTAGATGAAAAATAACCCATTTATAAGTCAGAGAGAGGAGCAAATGGCCATTGTTTCTTTCAAGTCAGAAAGATCTTGGCAAGGCCTAGAGAACAAATGCGTGAATGGACGGATAAGGGAGCGAAGAAGAGGAAATAGAAAAACACTCTCTTTTTCCATTTCCATGTGTGTGATATGCATGCATGTATGCATATTTGCATGTGTGTGGGTACACACACACCAGGCACACACACACACACACACGCAAACACACATATACATGGGTGTGCAGACGCGGAGGCCTGAGGTTGATGTCTGGCATCCATTGCTCTCCCATCTTATTCAATGAAACAGTCTCTCTCAATCAAACCCAGAGCTGGTAGATAAGGCTAGTCTCATTAGCCAGCCTGCTCGGGGTATCCCCTGTCTCTGCCTTCAGAGGCTGTAATAACAGGTGAGCTTACCATGGATTCGAACTCCAGTCCTCACACTTGTGTGGCAAGCGTGCTAACCACTGAGTCATCTCTCCAGCCCCTGTCTTTTTGTTTTTTTACAGTAGTATCTCACCTTGTAGACCAGGTTGGCCTTGAACTTCCACATCTCTTTTGTGTTGAGCCAGGTTTTCATGTAGCCCGGGGAAGGCCTCCAGCCCCCTGTGTAGATGATAACTTCAGCTCTTTATCCTCTCATCTCCACCTCCCAGGTGCTGGTATGGCAGGCATGTGCCTGCTGCAATCCTTTATTTTTTCTTGAAATATCAATTACTGGGGCTAGAGAGATGGCTCAGTGGTTAAGAGCACTTACTGCTCTTCTAGAGGTCCTGAGTTCAATTCCCAGCAACCATGTGGTGGCTCACAACCATCTGTAATGAGATCTGGTGCCCTCTTCTGGCCTGTAGGCATACATACAGGCAGAACACTGCATAATAAACAAAGCTTTAAAAATGTGAATTATTGTGAGAGAAGTTATGGCTAGGATGTGCTCTGGAATCAACTGTCCCTGTGGTGGGGACCACTGCCACTCTCTCTGATGTTGACTCCTGGAGTCCGTAAGCAAAGTCAGAGGGTGGTGGGTGCTGGAGGCAGGGGTCTCTTGAGTAGTTCCTGTAGGAAAATCCCACTAGACTGTGGGGAAGCCGGGTGTTAAGGCTGCCTCTGCTCTGGCTGCTCAAGACAGGTGACCAGACCTTTTTTAGGTGACATCACAGAATGATTCTACTTCCTTCCTGCAGCAGCAACACCCCCTTACTACCTGTCATTCTTGTCTTGCTGTCATAGCAACTTCCACTGAACCATTTCCCACTGTTTGTGCCCCTGTTCCGAGCTGGGATGTGCCCTGGATACTGATGTTGCTGTTCACAGCAGGCCAAGGAGTCACCATCATGGCCCTCAGCATCGTGCTCTGGAGGAGGAGGGCCCAGGGGTCTCGGGACAGAGGTGAGTGAATCTTTCTCCAGAGATGTCACTTGGGTGTGAAGCAGAAGGTCAGACTCACATCTACACTCTGGCTGGCCTCTGGCTGGTTTAGGGGAGGGGTGACAAGGAACAGATCCCTGAATTATCTGATGACGACTATACACCACACGACCTCTTTTCCCCAGAGCCCTCAGCTCCTCACTTCAAACCTGAAGTCCAGGTCTATGAGAACATCCACTTGGCTCACCTTGGGTAAGGAACAACTGGGGGACGAAGGCGTACATCATGTCCCAGAGGGCCTGAGCTTGGGGTTGAATTGTAGATGGGGGCCCTGGTTCGTGAGAAAGTGTAGTAACTTTAACATGGCTTTCTGCTTTGCAAACTCTACAGCCCACCCACCCACAAGACCAGGTGATCTTGGCGACATCTGCCTCAGAAAGCCTGACCTGCTGTCCTCTGTTTCTGGTATCTGGCACCTGAAGGATTCCCTGGAAAAACCACATCGAGGGGGTGGGGTTGAGGGTGAGAGGCTACTTCCTCTTGGCCACTGTCATCTACCAAGCTGGAGGGGATGACATAAGGGAGGGAGTAACACCATTCTGTAATGTCACCTGCACAAAGGTGTGGTCTCCTGTCTTAAAGCAGCCTGTAGAGGAGTGACCTGGAGTAACATATATTATGGGGTTTGGAGTCTCTGTTGGGGACAAGAGAGACAGGGAAGCCCAGAGACTTGAGAAGTGATGGGGCATCTGTCAGAGGAGAAGCTGTGAAGAAAAGTGGGAGGGGCCAGTGGGCAAGGAAGAGAAAAGTGGAGAGACTCAAATGCAGAGTGGGAAAGCAGGAGCCCCAGATGAGGACATTTGTGGGACAGGGAAAACAGAAGATTCAACAGGCCTCTAAAGTAAACCAGACTTCCCTTCCCCCTGTTGGTCTCACGAAGGGAACAAGACCCTTAATCAGGCCCCAGACTTCCTCAGATGGAACAGGAGGAAAGCAAGCCCAGAGGGGGATGCCAGTCCTCGGCCCCAGCAGGGTGCTCTCCTTATCCTGGGCTCACACTAGCTCCTCTGTGGGTCTCTATCATCCACATGATCGGCTTATCACTTCTGACTCCCTGGGAGCTCTGCCTCTTCTACCTAGGGATCCCATGCTATCTCCCTGGGCAGAGGAAGCATGTGCAGGGACAGGCAGATAGATTCCTGGTGGAGCGAGTACTTTCAGGTTTTCTGAATAGGGGACACCTCTGGGCCAGTGAAGTGAAAAAGGGCATCAGTGCTCCAAAACAGTCAGTCCCCAGCCTCCAGAAATGTGACCACACCCTCACAAGCAGCTCTGCCAGGTCCCCTTTTTGACTGTTGTCTCAAATTCAGCTTTCAATGGAGAGAGCAACTTTCTTGGAATCCTCACCCGCAGCCCTCAGGCTGCAGAAGCTTAGGCTCAGATGTTGGCAGGAAAGAGTATGACAGTCACACAGATGGAAATTGGGTGTGGGACACCACTCAGGCTCCAATGTGCCCGTCCAACCCACAAGGCAGCTACGTTAGTTCTTGTGTGTGAGTGTTGCAGACATACGGTGTACACACCAGTATGCATGGAAGACATTAGATATCCTATCCTTTCCTCTTCATCTCATCCCTTTGAGGCGGGGTTTCTCACTAAACCTGCAGCTAGGCTGACGGCCAGCAAGACCCACAGATCCTCCAGTCTCTGCCCTTCATTGACATTGAGGTTACAAGCTATACCCAGCTTTTTATTTTAATTTTAAAAATGCTATATGCACTGGTGTGTTGCCTGCATGTATGTCCTGGAATTACAGATGGTTGTGAACCACCATGTTGGTGTTGGGAATTGGACCTCAGGTCCTCTGCAGGAGCAGCCAGTGCTCTTAACCACTGAGCCATCTCTTCAGCCCCAAGAGCAGCTTTTTAATGCTGGCACCCAAAACCAGGTTCTTATGCTTATGCAAATGCTGGCATCCAAGGAAACATTTATTCCTATTTTGCCCTGTAAAGTTCATTCTTAAAGTACATCCTAGTGTGTTTCATCACCACCACCACCACTACAGGCGACTGAAGTGTTCCCAGGCTCACAGACAGCCCTGTTACTCCTTTTACATATTATTTATTTTGGTGGTATAGGGAGTTGAACCCAGAGCCTTGGGTATGGTAGGCAAGCACTCTATCACTGAGCTGATTCTCTACCCAATAGCCTTTTTATTATTGTACCTCTTTATGGTTCCCCAAGGCAGCCTTCCATTCTTGAGACCCTCAGGTAGCTAGTTACATCTTTCCTAGCAGTATTCTACCCCTCACCAATACCAGTGCCACTTCTGTCCTTTTGCCTGGGACTCACAAATCCTTGAGGGTAGCTGACCTGGGACACCTAGAGAAAAGACAGTAGGGGTTTCTTATGAGGAGGGGCTCTGGACACATGCATGCTGGGGTGGGAACTCCAGCTGTAGGAATTGGGTCTCAGGAGGGGTCTGTAGAGATGTTGGTATAAAAACCCTCAAGGGCCAGGGTTTTTTATACAAAGTCACATTCTCAAGCATGTCCCAGAGATATCCATGCACGTTGTCCATGATGACATCGGAGTCCTGGGTTGACAGGCAAGGGCTCACAGGCTAGAGAAAGATGTGTGCTCCCCAGGCAAGGAGAAACAGGGTGGTGAGGGGAAGGCTTGGGAATCGCCGTGAGGGAGCAGCATTGCATAGGTCCTGGTCACAACACTGGTGTTGGAGAGCATAAGACTGTGACCAGTAGGTGGCATGGCCCAGCAGGGGGCACTGGGCCCTGGGGAGGCAGCCCTTCCGTTCAATGATGTCCTCCTTCTTCTGGTCTGTGGGACAAAGGAACGCTGAGGTTGGGTGGCAGAAAAGAGAGAGGTGAGGCGCCACCTGAAGAAGGACCATTGCACCAGAGTCCTACCTGAGGTGCCAACACTGATGCCGCACACCTCATCTTCCTGGCACTCTGTGAGAACAGGGTAGCAGGGCTTGGCAAAGCTGCAAGTGTAACACTGGAGTCGTCCTCTGGTTGGGGAAGTGGTGAGACCTGTTGGGTCAGCAGAGATCAGTTCGGGGAGAAGAAGGTAAGAGGTAAAGTCAGACCTCTGGGACACACAGAGGAGGGGGAGGGGAATCTAAAGTAGGGAAGGAAGGAGAGAGCAAGCAGGCAGAGAACCAGGCAGAAGAAAAAGGGACACTAGGGAGATAGACAGGAAGAGGCCCAGGGAAACAAGCCCACAGACCTGTGAGCAGGAAGGGGAATTGCAAAAGTTAAGAGAGAGATAAAGGATGGGCCAAACACTCAAAGAGGTAGCCAGGAAGAGATAGTTACTCTCAAATGTTCGCCCTCCCCCTGGCCTTTTGAGACAGGGTTTTACACAGCCCAGGCTAAGGCCAGCTCCTTCTGCCTCAGCCTTCCAGCCTCCTAATAACTCCCTGTTTCTCTTCACCTCTGTCAGCTCCCTTTCCTTCCCAGCCCTGGCACACATGCCTGTCCCAGCCCTCTGCCCTTTCTGATTCCCAAGTCCACCCTTACCCAGTGCCCCAGACAGGAACAGGATGCAGAGGAAGGCCCTGGAGAGACCCATGGCAGGACCAGCTCAGCAGTCGGGGAGGAATAAGATCTACACCCCAGTCAGAACACACCTGGCCAAGGACTGGGAGGAACCAGTAAACAAACAGACCTAGCTAGAATCTGGGGTGTGGAAAAGTGAGAGATTCACCCCCTAATGCAACTCCTGTTTTCTCAGTGTTTGCTAACTCAGCCTAGCTGTCTGCCTGCCTAGAGTTGTGTCTGTCGCCTTCCCTCACGCTCCCCTCCTTCCCTCCCTCCAGCTCAAGCTGTTCTCGGGTCTTTGTTTTTTGTCTATCCCCTCAGAGCTTGTATGCCTCACAAGGTCATACTCTGAATCCTCCCCTGCCCTAGATGTTGGAGCCCTGTTGAATGTGGTATCAACAAAGCCCACCCACCCGTTCCCACACCGTACCCCACCCACAAAGCCCAGCTCTGAGGGGCCCTGCCCCTACCTCGTTGGCATCCTTTGATTCACACACACACACACACACACACACACGCTTCAGCGTTGCTACACCATAATTATCCCTCTTGGCTTTACTACGTTGCAGAAAAGAGTTAATCAAGAGCTGGGCTAGAAGGATGTATGATGTCCTTCCTCTGAGGAGAAATTGGAAAAGGAAGATGGGAGAATGGCATTAAGAAACAGGAGGGATTAAGACACCGGGTGGGGGCTGGGAGTATATCTATGCAGCCTTAGAGGGCTTATCCAACACATGTGCAGCCCTGGGTTCCATTCCCAGTACCGACAAAAGAAACACTTCACCAGAAAGGCTCAGCATCTCTTTATACCCTGAAAATTACTGAAGACCTCAGAGACTTTTTTTCATATGAATTCTATCAATGTTTACCACCTCGGATATTAAAATGAGCTAATGGGATAGTTCTGTGGTAGAAGTGCTTGCTGTATAAGACTAAGGGCCTGAGTTCCAGCCCTGGGACCATATAAAGGAGGAAAGAGAGAACAGAGTGTTCACAAAGTCGTCCTCTGGTTCCCACCAGTGCAGGATGGCATGCATTCACCTGCACTCATTCATTCAAATGATTCATTCAAATAATAAATTTTATTAACTTTTTTGTTGTTTTGTTTTTGTTTTTTGACTGGCTTGGAACTTGATTTGTAAACCAGGTTGGCTTTAAATTCACAGAGATTCACCTGTCTCTGGGCCCGCATTACCATATCTGACTATTTCTTTAAGACTTTATTTTTAACAGTGTGTGTGTGTGTGTGTGTGTGTGTGTGTGTGTGTGTGTGTCTGGATATATGCATGCAAGTGCAGGAGCCCAAAGGCCAGAGAGGACACTGGGTCCCCTGGAGCTCTAGGTACTATTGTTCCATGTGGGTCCTGGGAAAAAGTTGTCCTGAAAGAACAGCAGGCATTCTCATCCACCGAATTATTTATCTCTCCAGCCCTAAATAAAAAGTTTTAAAAAGAAATTAAGGGGGCTAGAGAGACAGCTCAACAATTTAGAGTGCTTGTTATTCTTGCAGAGGACTCAAGTTCTACTACCAGCACCCATATGGTGGCTCACAACTATCTGTAACTCCAGGTCCAGGGCACATATCTACATGTAAGCAAAATGTTCATTCACATAAAATAAATCTTTTTAAAAAGGAGGGGGGGAGGTTAAAATAAGAAGCCTCGGCTGATAGCACATGCCCATAATCCTATCACACCTGAGGCAAGAGGATTTCTGTAAATTTGAGGTCAGCCTGGACTACCTGCTGGGCTCCAGGCCAGCCTAGGCTATACATAAGACTCTGCTGCAACAAACAAACACTCGTGCACGCACACACACATGCACGATAAATATATGTAATTTAAAACAATAAAATAAACAGGACATTTAAAATTGGTATTGAAGCCAGGCATGGTGATTCATGCTTCTGATCCCAGCACTTGAGACACTGAGGCAGGAGGATCAGAAGTTCCAAGCCAGCCCTGTTCTCAAAACAGTCAGCTAGCTAAACAAACAATTAGGTGTAGTTTGATTCATTTAACAAATAAAAGCAACATATTATATGTTAGGAAGACATAATTCTGTGAAAAATAATAATTAGCCTCGGAGGGCACAGGGAGAACGGCATTGTTTTACATTTTTGAGAATCCATTTAATGCTATAATCAAAGGTGGCTGGGTTTTCATAACCTGCTTCTGCATTCCATCTGGAACGTGGGTGAACAAGACCCAACCCTCAGACATCGGATTAAAAAGGAAAGATCCTGGAGGGGGGTGGTATGAAAAGGGCTTAGGGACCCCCGGGGGGGGGTTCTTCGACTAAAACTGCTGTGGAGAATGGAGGCCTTTTGGGCTTCAGAGGGACGCTCAGAGTCACTCATGGGGCCCCTCCCTGTCCCCATTGGGGCCCTGGTGTCTGCTGGGGGAGACTCTTCGCTTTTTATTGCCCCATAAAGCTCAAGGCAAGGGGGATATAAAGCTGGCAGAGTAGGGCCTGAGAGGGGGGTGGGCGGGAGGGAGAGACGCTACTGGCATAAACAGAGGTGATGAACCCCCAGTTGGTCGGGATCCTACTCTGCGCCCTGCTAGGCGCTGCCTTGGGTAAGGAAGAAGAAGCTCATGCCTCTGGCACAGGCCTATCTTTCCCTCTGCCTGTGCTCTTCTGAGGTCTGGTGCTGAACCGCAAACCTCTTCTTTCCTGCCAGGACACCGGACGCGGTGCTATGACTGCGGTGGAGGTCCCAGCAGCTCCTGCAAACAGACGGTCATCACCTGTGGTGAGGGTGAGCGCTGTGGCTTTCTAGACCGAAAACCCCAACCCAACCCAGGACAAGCCAAGCAACGTGAGTCCTTTGCCCCCCCCCCCACTGTCCCCTCTTCAATCTTGAGGGCTACCACCTTTCCAAATTCTGTCTGGCTCTGGGCAGATGGTGACACTGTTGTGGTAGGGCAGTCTAACCCTACTGGCTCCTGGCACTGCCTGGAGCAGCCCACACACCTAATTCCCTCTGCACTTACTCTCTGTGAAGAACCTCATAGGCCCTTACTAGGGAAGAAACTGTCTCCTAAGACCACAGTCAAAATGTTAAACCAAACTCCAAACTTCAACTGTCAGGGACTGGCTAAGTACTGGAAAGGGGAGTGGGTGTGTGTGTGTGCATGCGTGCGTATTTAATATTTTATTTTGAAACCATTTGGTTTAACATGAAAAATAAGAAAGAAATGCACAAGAGTTCCTATTTCTACCCAGCTTCTTCAGCTGCTAACATCACAAAAATTGGAAAATGACAGCACGATACTAATTAATCTAGACTTAGATTCAGTGGCCCAAGCTCAGAGCAGAATACCTGACTGACTTTATTTTAAAGTAATTATTTTGTTTGGTTTGCATTTTTGCTTGCTTGGTTGGTTGGAGACAGGATCTCATGGAGTACTCTTGGCTAGCCTGGAACTCACTACATAGACCAGGCTGGACTTGAACTCACAAAATTCTGCCTGCTTTTATTTCCTGAGTGCTGAGATTAAACACAGGTGTGAGTCACCTTGCCTTGCTTAAAATGTTTTTTAGATTTTAAAATTTATTTTATATGCATAAATATCTGTGTGTATGATGGTGTGCCACCACCAGCAGATGTCCATGCTGCCACTGGGTCAGAATTGGGGGTGAAATTCTCTGGAATTAGAATTACAGGTGATTGTGAGCCACCAAGTTGGTACTGGGAGCTGGACCTCGTCTTCTGGAAGAGCAGTCAGTGCTCTTAACCACTGAACCCCCCACCCACCCTAATTTAATTTTTGAAGATTTATTTTTATGTATAGGTCTGTCTGTCAGACAATCTGTCTGAGTGTATGACAAGTGTGTGTGTGTGTGTGTGTGTGTGTGTGTGTGTGTGTGTGTGTGTGTTCTTAGAGGCCAGAGGAGTGTATCAGATTCCCTGAAGCTGGAGTCACAGGTGGTTGTGAGCCTGATGTGAGAGCTCAGGTCTTCCGGAAGACCGGCTAGAACTCTCTGCCACTGAGCTATCTCTCCAGCTCGATATTTTTTATTTTTAGGACATTATCTCACATGCCCCAAGGTGGCCTCAAACTTGCTATGAATCCAAGGATGACCTTGAACTCCTGACCCTCTGCTCTCCACATAGTTTGGCCATGTCCTGTTTCTTTTGCTAATGCAGATCAAATCCAGGACTTCTGCACCCTAAACAAGCATTTTATTAAGTGGGCTACATTCCCAGCTCTATTTGCTGTTTTGTTGGGACAGGGTCTTGATTTATAGCCCAGGGTTTCCTTTAACTCAATTGTGTTGATCAGACTGGCCTTGAACTCCTGGCAATCCCCCTGTTTCAGGCTCCTGAATAGGCATGCACCACTGCGCCCAACTTCAGTTTTACTTACTTCACAATGATATGCTATTTTACAGATTGTCCCTTTTGTATTTAGCTGTGATTTTCCCATGTTGAGGCTGAGGCAGGCATGGTCCTAGGTTCTTGGAATACCTTAGTGTCCCTGCCCTAGGTGGGCCTGTTGGCTCCAATGCATTAGTTTCAGAGAGGTGATTTTTGAGGGGGTCAGAATATCCCTTTAAGTCCCTGGAAATCAAATCTGCTCTCCCATGGAAGGCAAGTCTTACAGTCAGGAGTTCAACACCCGAGTGTCATTCTATCTCTCAGCCTCCATGACCCTGAGTCAGCACCACCCAGCCTGCGTGGCCACGAATCATTGCAATCAAGTGGACATAGAGTCAGTCGGGGGTGTGACCTTCACAACCCACAAAAACTGCTGCGTCGGAGACCTGTGCAACAGCGCCGTGGCGAGCTCTGTGACCCCTCTCTGCATCCTGGCTGCAGCTGTTACTACCCTGGTCTGGCTCTTGCCAGGACTGTAGAGCTGACAGTGGATTGAGGGTAGGGAGGAGACTGGGGGAACCAACCCAACACTGAAGGTGAGAAGATGGGAACTCCTTTGTGTGCCATTAAAACCTCTGGACTGAGAGCTGACTATTAAATTCTATCCATTTTTGTTTGCTTTTCTGAGACAAAGTTTCTTTATGTAGCCCTGGCTGGCCTAGCACTCCTTCTGTAGACCAGGCTGACCTCTAACTCACAGAGATTCACCTGCCTCTCTGCCTCCCAAGTGTGGGCATGAAGTCGACGTGAGCCACTGCTCCCAGCGTCTACGTATTTTCTGTCAAAAAGGCTGAAGGGACGGTATGAGCTGACGTCTGGTGTTTCAGTTGACTTCTCTGTCAGTGGGTCTGTCAGCAGTCCTTATCCAACAACACCCCTCAAAGAGTAGAGGATCTGTCCTCGAACCTGCTGCCAGGCGGAATCTCCTTTCACTGGGCTCAGTGGAGGTACCAGGACAGCCTGGCTGTCAGGGCTTCTTTTCCCTTCCATACTCCATAACTCGGCTCCTAATACAACTATTTTGAACTGAGAAAGCAAAGTTGCTTGAATAACCCAGTTAGAAAGCCACCTAAGAGGTGGAAACAGGAGCCAACAGCTCTCTCTGTAGACACCCGTCCTACCCTTTCTGGGGCGCCCTCAAGCTAGGCTGCACCTGCTTCTTGGCAGGGTGTAGTCTCAATTTAGGATAAGGGTTGTTTCTCCAAACACTAATGCCAGTGTGCCACCCTCAGGTATTGGAAGGGAGAAAGGCTTGTAAAACCTGTTCTTCCATTTGGTCAGTCCAGCCTTGTAGAACACTTAGGTAAGGAGAAGGGTGGGGTTGGGAGTGAAATTTCCATGGAAAGGGGCCTACACCACCGCCACCAAAACCTCCTCTGTCTCTCTTCTCCTCTCTCTCTCTCTCTCTCTCTCTCTCTCTCTCTCTCTCTCTCTCTCTCATCCTTGTTGTCCTGGCTGGCTTGCAACATGCTAAGTAAAGGCCAGACTAGCCTCAAACTCAAAAGATCTATCTTTGCCCCTTGAGAACTGGAATTAAAAGGGAATAGAGCCATGTGCCTGCCTCTTTCCTTTTGAGACAGGATCTCCTGTGGTTCGTGCTGGCCTTGAACTTGCTATGTAACCAAGGATGGTCTTGAACTCCTGATTCTTCTGCTTCTACTGCTGAAATGTTGAGATCACAAAGGAAAGCTACCATGTCCCGATTAGTATATATATCCCCTGACAATAAACAGTTTTTCGGACGCTGACATTTATTTCTCAAGATGGAAAGAGCTGAGCAAAGGGCTTAGTGAATCAACCCCATGCAGTGAGGTTAGCGGGCCCTTTGGGGTCACTCACTGGAGACAAGACAGTGGTCCATCCAGGTCCACATCCCAGGGTCACATTGGTGTATTTCCAAGGAGGGAGCCCTTCCAGTGGCCAGTGAAGGAGGTAGAGTGGTCTCCAAGGAAATGGGAAAGGACTTGGTGAAAAATGGGGTGGAGAGTGCCAGATGAGAGGGGTGGCTAGAAAGACCACTCTAGGCACTGTCCCACAAAACAAGTGGAACAATAGGGACATGGTCTTAAGGAAAGGGGCCAGGGGTGAGGGGAGAGCATGCTGGAGAGCTGGAGTTCTGAGGGAGAAAGGCTCAGGCTACAGCGGATGGGAGGGGCGCAGCCATGGACTGACTCAATGCAACAACCAGAGGCCAAGGCCAGCCAAGGAGGTGAGGGAAACGAGAGCCAGAGCAGGTGCAGGCCTTGGAGCTGGGCTGTTGCAGTTGTCCTTGTCACAGCAGGTGGTGTTGTAGTTCAGGCCCAGCTTGTGGTTGGTTTGGTTGAAAGCCTCCCTACAAGGCTCCTCTGGCGTGCCACAGCGCAGGTTAGAGAAAACCCACATCTTCCCTAGAGGCAGGAGCCAACAGAGAGGGGTCAGGAGTTGGCACTGGCTTGCCTGTGTCCACTGGCTCCTCTTCCTTCCCAAAGCTGCTGGGCTCCACCTTTCTTCTCTCTTCTTAGTCTAACCATCCCTCCTGAGTGTGAGCCGACACCCTGCTTCTAGTTCTAGGACCCCCTTCATGGAGTTGTCACAAACATTCACAGACAACAATGTCTGTAGATGCAGGTCAGTGCCTGGCACATAATCACCTTTGGCCACATGCTGCACCCCTGTAAAACTCTGTCCTAGCTTTGGATGAGCTTCAGTCCCACATAGCATCTCCCACCTGGCCCCTCCCTCCCAGAAAAGGAGATGTTACCAAGGTACACATTTGTCGTCAGGCATTTTTGGCCTGGCTCCAGGCGACAGGACTGGCGATCCACACATCCCAGCACGGGGACCTTGTAGCAGGAGTGACATCTAGTGTCAGCTGGGGAGATAAGAAGTCAGGCTGAGGTGAGGGGATGTCTCAGTCAGCTGGGTTAGGGGTGAGGGTGGAGAATGGCCCACAAGGCAGCCAGTGTCTCTGTCCTGCTTTGTTCACAGGGACAGAGCAGGTGAGGGCAAAGTAGGCGTTGTGTGGAGGTATCTGTTCTCCAAGTGGAAAGAACACACCCTAAATACCATCCTCCACCCAGCCTGTTTGGGATGAGTCAAGAATTATACTAACAAAAACTCAGGGCTGGGGATGGCTGGGATACAGGGAAGCTTGGCTGACAGAGTAGAGGTTGGGGGTAGGGGAGGATGAGACTTGAGATAGAAAGAAGAAATTATAAAGTGTGGGAGTCAGCAGCACCTTCAGAGGCGACATGGAATTGAGGCTGTAAGAAAGCCACCAGTGGCCAGCTTTAGAAGTTGACTGGACCTTTGCCAAGAGCTTGGGAAGAATCAGTCCTAAATGAATCCTCTTTATGACTGTTTTGGCTCTCACTCTATGGAAGAAGGGATAGCACTCTTGAGACATACCAGTGGATTGTCTTATCACCTAACAAAGATGGAGAGTGGGTGCAGAAGATGGCACGCCAGGATTCCTGTGTTGGCCAACTTCAGGTTTGAGCATGTAAAGTTCCATGAAAGAAAGGACTCCAGCGGGGGTGAAGGATCCTAGTGTGCCTCCAGGAAACCCATCTTACTCTAGGGGTAAGTGCTCTGGCATCCTCTCTAGAAGGCTCAGGGAGGGTCTCTGATTCTTTGGGAAGGCTATATGCAATCAGTGGAACCACCCAGAAGGCTTTGCATCCCTGGTAGGGAATATAGGAACATAAGGCGGGAAGGAACAAGCTGAGAAGGGCCATTGCTGAACACCTCAGTGAGGAGTAGAGTGGATGCTGGGGTTAGAATGAGAGCAACCTGCTCAGTGCAGGTGAGTGCAGGCTGGTACACTGGATCCTAGAGAACTGAGTGTTGGGATGGGGCTGGCCACAGAGAGTGTCCAGGAAGGAGGCATGCTGGAGTGGGAAATAGATCTGGTGCATGGCAGGTAAGAAGACTGGGCAGAAGAATTATGGGGGCCAGGAGGAGATGGTGATGGAGAGCAAGGTGTGACATTTGTATAATCCCAGCACTAACTTAGGAGGAAGAGACTGAAGGATCAGGAGTTCAAAGCTAGTTTTGGCTACACTGTTAGGGTCCAAGAATAATCCACCACAAAGACAGGGTTCAAGGAAGCCAAAAATAAAAAACAAATGAACAAAGTAAAACCCTGATATAGTAGGGAAGCCCCAGGTTTCAAAATCCAGTCTGGAACCCTGAGGCAGGAGCAGCAGTCGATTTTAAAAGGAAAAACCACAAGAGACAGCTCCCAAGTCCTGTCCAATTGTAATGTAACAGGGAAAGCAGAGAAGCAGTTGGGAACTTTCTATAGTGGAACACTTTCAGCCTATTAGGGAGTTCTGGTGGCTGGCTCTGGGCTAACCAGTCAGAAGGGGGTGAGATGTTTGTGGTGTCACCTCATTCTAGACTAGACATCTGCACTGCACGAGGGGGGCTGAGGGCTGCAACTCAGCCTCAGAAAAGTGTGGGTAGCAGCTCAGGGGCAGAGTGACAGACTAGGACAAAATGGAGTTTCTGTTGCTAACTGGGATCTAATAACATATGGCTCTGCAAAAAAAAAAAAAAAAGAAAGAAAAAGAAAGAAAGAAAGAAAAAGAAAAGAAAAAAGTAATGAAAAGAGGCAAAGAGGAAAGGAAAGAGAGGGTAGGGAAAGAAAGGAAAAGAAAATGAGAAAGGGGCCCATCACACTCAGACTCCTGATCACAGAGGCACTGGGGAGACTAAGCCAGTTAGGTTTGAAGCTTCTTGGGACCCTGAGTCTAGGGAAATATGGAGTATTGGGTAGGGTTGGGGTGGGGTCTGGGGCTCTCTGGCACTCACCTGAGACCCAGCAGCAGAGCAGGGCAGACAGAGTGAGCAGCAGCAGGTGTTTCATGGCGAGGGTGCTGACAGAGAATCTCAGGGATCCAGCTCTGAGAGCAGCCTTTTCAGAATTTATAATCCCAAAGGCCCCTCCCTTCCAGGCCTCTGCCCTCTGTGGTACCTCCCTCCCAATTTATACCCAGCTAACCAGAAAGAAAGATCAGAGATGGGGAGGGTCCAAGCAGGCCTGGGTGGGGAGGGGAGATGAGAGAGGAGGATAGGAGAGGACAAGTGTCACTAGTGGCCAACTCCATTTTGAATCTTGGTTTTAGGACCCCCAACTGAGGGCCCCACAGCTCTGAAGGAGCATCAGAAAAGTCTCTGTGACTTAAACAGCCACAGTGCAAGCTCCTGCTAGTTCTTAGGAAGTGAGCAATGGATTGTAGCCTGAGTTGATGATCAACTTTGGGTCCCTGGAGGTGGGGGGACATTGATCAAGGGCATTGATCAGGCAGAAATTGATGAAATGGACTGAATTAATGTAGATTCATTCCCCACCCTGTCTTCTAACTGATGCCCAGCCACAGGATAAAGGTTTGTGACATCACGGAGGGTTTCTGTGATGTCATAGATGTCAGCAGGGCTGAGGCTGTGCATCCTGAAGGACCACACCAATAAGCTAAAGATGTCCTCACACCACTGCGATTGGGTTTGGGAGGAGCATCGTGGGCACTCAGAGGTGAGATAGGAATAAGAGTAGAGGATAACGTCATGCATTGAGCATTCCTCTATGTCATCTGTTGTTTTAGTCATCTTCAATGTATTTATTTGGTTCTCACAGGCTTTTATCTCCATTTTCCTGATGAGGGGACAGGCAGAGGTGACTTGCCAGTTACAGTGTGGCAAAATCAGGATTTGAACTCAGGAAGCTGAGCTTCAGAATTTGTGGAACTTGGGGGTCATGTTAGTTTGCAAAAAAAAAAAAAAAAAAGCATAGAGCCTTTGCGAAAGATCTTGAGCACAAATTTTAAACGGTTTTAAAATATTTGAAGACTGCTAGTTTGGTTTATGAGGATTTCTAGAAGGATCCAGGAATTGGTGGCCCCTCTCTCTCTCTCCCTCTCCCTCTAGCTCTCGCTCTTATCTGTGTTCCCAGTCCTGTAGTATCCCCATCCTTGCCCCTCAGCTCCCCTCTTCCCTCCGGTTTCCCTGCTGATTCACTCCCGCCTCTGCCTACCACATCCCAGCTATGGCCCTGGTTCTGCAGCTGCTGCCTCTGTTGTTCTCAAGGGTCCAGGGCGATCTCCAGGGTAGGCCATCCCTGGGGAGTTGTGATGGGTTGAGACAGACTAGGGAGGGGGCTGTATATGTAATCCAGAATGGTAGAAGGGTAGAGTAAAGAGGGTGTGTGTGTGTGTAAGTGAGAGAGAGACAGACAGAGAGAGAGAGAGAGAGAGAGAGAGAGAGAGAGAGAGAGAGAGAGAGAGATCTAGCCTGGTAAACTAGCCCTAATCACCTCCCTCCCCCACCTTCCCTAGTTTCTCTGGAGGGCAGCCCTGGGGACCGGGTGAATCTTTCCTGCATAGGGGTCTCAGACCCCACCCGCTGGGCTTGGGCGCCTAGTTTTCCGGCCTGCCAGGGCCTGTCCAAAGGGCGCCGTCCGATCCTGTGGGCTTCGTCGAGCGGGACCCCAGCTGTGTTCGCACACTTCTCGGGTCGCCTGCGTTCCCTGGACACTGGTATCAAGCGGCTGGAGCTGGTGCTGAGCCCCGGGGACTCTGGCACCTTTTTCTGCAAAGGGCGTCAAGAGAATGAGAGCCGCACAGTGCTTCAAGTGTTGGGGGACAAGGCAGACTGCAGGGCTTCGGGATCTACTACACACGGTAGGTCGAGGCCCAGATGCGGAGGGGCACTTGGTTTGGATACACACCCTGGACAAAACTCGAGGCGGAGTCTTGTAGAGAGGGAGAACTAGAAAGACCCTGTGGTCATCACACCCCTGACCTCCGCATCCCTCCCCGCTTCGCGCATCTATCTCCCCAGGTTCCGGGTATCCCAAGGTCCTGATTCCTCTGCTGGTCCTTGGGCTGGGGCTGGGACTGGGTGCCTCGGGCTTGGTCTGGTGGCGGCGCAGGTGAGCACTGGAGGCGGAGCCTGTCTTAACAGGGTGTGACCAGTCAGGGTGGGGGTGGGGTGGGAGCAGAAAGAGGTGGGGCAGAGCCGTAACCTTAGTAAAAAACAAGAGGTATCTGGAGGCTTGGAGGTATTTTGAAGGCGAGAGGTCAGCCCTTGGGTGTTAGGCTACAGGGTGCTAGGCTACAGGCTGGAGTAGGGAGCCAGGCTGCAGGAACCAAACTAGAAGGGCAGAAAGCCCAAAGAGTGGGCGGGACCTGGTTCCGGAGGAGCCTAAGTTGTTTTGCTGGTCGGAGACTGCAGTTTGCACAGTTCTCATTGGCGCCGCCTGCGGCTGAGGAACCAGTAGGACGAGATTGGTGACTCTCCAAGGACTTCCTTACAGGCACTCGCCCCCGCCCCCGCCCCCGCCTCGACCACTCCCCACATTTGGTGAGATTAACGGCACCCCATTTTTCTCTCTCCTACCCGAACAATCCCTAACCCTGAGTTCTTGAGTCTGAGTCCTTGCCGGTAGCAGGCAAAGTTGGTCATTTTGTCTTCATCCTTCAGCTCTGATCCTCCCTCCCACTTAGCTCCAGTCATAAATGCTGAGCCGCAGAGTCCTTTAGAACAGGAGTACAAGAATTCAGGCCACCTGGACCAGGAGCCGGTAAGGGCCTGGGGATAGGAAGGACTTAGGGCAGAATCCCGAAGGAAAGGGGGAAAGAAAAGGCCTAGTTTTGTTGTTGTGGAGCAGCTGTGTAATTCCAGAACCCTGGAGATTTAAGAGTCCAGATTTTGTTAGTCTCCTCTGCCCACGGGGTGGGGGGGGGGAAGGGGAGATGCGGGGCGGGGTTGATTGCTGAGACCATCTGCCTTCCCATCTACCTCCTTCAGAGCCTGCACTATGCTGATCTGGACCACTCAGTCCTCGGGAGCCACCGCCGGATGCCCACAGTGGTTCCTGGTGATGCTTCCACGGTCTATGCGGTTGTAGTTTAAAGGGAAACTCTTGCTCTCCAAACCGCCCAATCTGGGGCTTCTCTTCACTCAGCTGAAGGGGGAGGCACCATGGACAGAGGCAATAGTCTTAAGAGTCTGGACACCTAAGTTGTATCTGCAAACTATTCAAACTATTCGGCTTTTTAAGCCACTCCCATCTCCTATAATATCTTTCCTTCACCACTGGTGCCCTCTCTATAGATGACCAAGCTATCGTAAGTTTTAACTCCCAATGGATATCCTGTCTGTTTCCTCTCCAAACAAGCATTTTGAACTTAAGGCAATCGCTCGCTTCCTTTTCCTGCCTTATTCCATTCCCTGTGCTCATTAGCTGCAGCTGCTCATCTACTGTCTGTAAGGTTGCCAGTGATGTCCTAGACCACATGGTAACATTCACGAACTTGTCCTTAGATCACCTCTCTTTAAACCCTCGTTTACTTTGTCGCTAAAGACTTTCTTCTAGATGCCCTGCCACTGTTTGCCTTTCTCCTTACTCCTCTTCTAGGAAGCTAGCCAACCCTCAGCCCCCTTCCCTCCAACCCAGATCTCAGAGTTGGCACACCCTGTCCAGCTGGCCTCGGGCATTTTACACAAAGCATATCAAAACTGACTTAGTCATTTCCCAAGCTATTCCCCGGTCCCTCCTCTGCAGTCTCATGACCAACCCAAGTTGCCCAAGCCAGAAACTGGGAGTGAGAGGACACCAAGTCCTTCTCTCCCACACAGGGACTTATAAAGCTCCCCCTACCCCATCTTTCCTTTAAAAACAGGCTCTCCTGTAGCTGAGGCTAGCTTTGAACCCCTGATCCCTGTCTCTCCACCTTCAGTGCTGGGGTTACAGACATGCACCAGCACACAATGCCTTGTCTTAGTGTTACTGTCAAATCTTTACCTATCTCCATGTCTAGTGCTGCCACCAGAACGTACTCTCATCATTGCTGCATGGGTGGCCCACAGTCCCTTCTGGTCCTCCTGCCCTCCAGAGCATCCACCACAGCTCCTCTCTCCTGAGGCTTCGGCTTTGGGGTCACAGGTGCTGCAGCCCTTTGTGTACTCTTAGGCTTATCTGCCATTTCCTGTGTACATGAGCCCAGTTTACATTATCCACAATTTCCTCCCTACAATATTCATTGGCCCAATGAAATAAATTCCATCTCCTGGATTCCTTCTCCCTCTTCCTCACTTACTGTCTCGATAATTATTTATCTTCGGGATTTCACTCAAATGTAGCCTTTTCTGGGATACCGGTCCTCATCCCAAATGCTCGCCCACTCCTGCATAAAAATCAATGCCCTAGAAAGCCCCCTAATTTTTCTCAAAGACTTCTGAAAACCATCCCTGTCTGCCTAACCTGTCTGATTCAATGTTGACCCTTGGTACATGGATAAATGTGTGTCCTGGAAAACACTTGTTTATCAAATGAAGGTGGACTGGCAATCTACCAGTGTCTGAATCATCCGACATTTAGATAGATTCAGAAAGTGATCCACCCATACATGTAATCCCTTTTTCTGTGTTGGATATATACTCCCCACAACAGCCTCTTACCCCCTCTTTGTACCTGAGCCCTATCACAGGGCCAGGAGTGAGACATCCCCCAACTTCAGGTTTCAGCCACGCCCATTCCTTTGTCCCAGTGAGACATCAGCCACAACCCCACCTAAAAGGCCAATTTTATTTTATTGGTTTTGACAGAGAGGACTCACCCAATGGCTCCTATCCTTTGTTTCACACTAAGCCCTCCCTTGTCCTGGGGCACGGCCCCACTACTACCTACTTCCCATCCTCTATTACCTGAATCTACCCCTAAACAGCTCTAATCCGGCCAGTTGGAGCCCCAAACCCAGGCCCTCAGCAGTGGGGGCGTGTGCTGAGCACCAGGCAGAGAGAACTGAGGCCAGCTCCAGCCTTCTCCAGTTCTGAGCAGGATACGGGTACCAGGGTGACGTCAGAGAGCTTCTGTAGACCCTGTGGGGAGGACACCCAAGGTGTTTTGATACCAGAGCCAAGCTCCCCTCTAGCCAGTTCCTAGTGGCCCCACCCAGGCTTCTGAAGAAAAGGTCCCCTCCTTTCTTCCACTGGTAAAGATGGACTTCTTTCTCTGGTTGGTGGAGTTTGCCCCTCCCTCACCTCCTGGCTGTTGGGCAGGTCCCCACCTCCGCGATGCAGGAGGAAAGGAGTGGTACCAGGCAACCCAGGTCGCAGAAAGAGACAGTCAGCAGCTGCATCATCTGGGAGGGTCAGAGAAGCGTAGGGGTGATCGGTCAGCGCTGCCATTGCCTGAGAGAGGAAGATTGTGTTAAGTTCGCCACAGCGGAGCTTCGCCTGACATAGCACATAGTAAAGGCTTGTGACAAGGGTTACACATTTGTGAGATAATGACAGCAAGTATATAATGCCTGCTGTGCCGTACAAAGTCAGTTTCAAGGTCTCAAGCACTTTTAGCCACCATTTGCTTTTACAGCCCCTCTCTAACTCTTTTTTCTTCTGTTCCCTTTGTTTACTAGGGCGTCCTTTTGCGTTAGACATCTTAGTGAGGACAAGGGCTGAGAGCAATTCCCCCAAGCTAGACAGATTCCCTGCCGCCCCTGCCCTGAGTCACGCCCACTTTGTAGGTCACACCTTCACCATTAGCCCTGCCCCGCCTCACCCTGACAGCTTTTTGGGCAGCTTCGCTGCTTCCAGCCACCACAGTGCGGGGTCCCCCCATGCCACAGAGGCCGCGCAGGTGTGAGGCTCCCGAGACCGGCACGGTGGAGACGGCAAAGTCCTAGAGGGAGCAAAAGGATTTAGGGGTGCATAAGGAGCCCAGAGCAAGCCCTCTGGCACCCTCTCTGGCTCCTCTCCCCAAGCTACTTTTGGTTTCTCACCCGGAAGGTGTCTGCCACGATCTCAGCTCCTCGGTGATTGGTCCACTTGGAGAGACCTACGAAAAACTCCCGGCCTGAATCCAGGAGGCCGCGGAGGTTTGAGGGCCAGAGTTAGTGAATCAAGATCTGAGATCTGGTCTCCCAAACCTGCTTCCCTGTGCTAAGCCCCGGGGGGTGCTGTCCATCCATAGTCTCACCCGTGAAGAGGACGTCGGTGCCGTCCAGCGTCGCGCTCTCATCCCCAATCTCCACAATCCGGAGCCCCAAGTCCTGCAGTGCTTTGCGGACTCCATCAACCTTGGAGAAAAGAGCTTGAGCTGAGACATCCTCACTATTTCCTGTCAATCCGAGACATCCAGCCTCCTCCCCGCCGACCGCTACCCCCACCCTGGCGCTCACCTCAGGCCTACGAGCTGGGCTCCAGGGCCGCGTGATTAGGGCCGTGTCTCCTTGGATCACGGCTGTGTCACCAAGCAGTGGTCCCAGCGGCAGTGACTCCTCGGGAGGCAGTTCAAGTAGCTGCAGCCCTAGTCGTTGCCTCAGTTTACCTCCTAGTACTCCATGCTCCCTTTGAGCTTTAGCCAGGTCCAGAGCCGGAAGACCAGCCCCCGCGCCCTCCCCGGATGCCAGGCTCTCGGGGACACCCCGGATCAGGGCATGGGAACAGCGACCCAGCCCCTCCCCCGGCGTCCCCATTCCATCCACACAGATGCCCCTTCCAGCCAAGCTGATTTCTCTTCACTTGTCTGGGAGAAGAGATAGAAGGGGGAGGGGGTAGTAGAGAAAGACCAGCAGAGAAGAGAAAGGGGGAGTGTTAAAAGCTCCTGGGTCTTCCTCGGGCCATCTCCAGGCGCCCCTCCCACTCTGCTCCACCCCCTTCAGACCTTCTAGTCCTGTGTGGACCCCGCTCAGCCTCCTCTCAGCAGGAATCTGCTTTAAGAGGCGCCCAAGGAACAAGACTTGGATTCTTAATCTCCCAAACACCTGTTGCCCCTGCTCGGGGGCTCCTCTAGGTCCCTGCCCCGCGCCCCTCCTGGCAGCCGCTAGGATGCGCTCACTCTCCAAAAATGCGGCGGCCCCGCCCCCTTAACTCTCAGCTGCTCGCAGCAGGGGGGACCCGAAGTCCTGCCAGGAACCCTCAGAGGTTATGGGACAGGAAAAGAAAGCTGGGTAGTGAATCGGGGGCCCGGGATGTGGAAGCCACGGATGCTTGAAGGAGAAAAGAGGAGAGGGGCAAGCTGGAGGAATTAGAGTCTAAGGAGTTAAGCATCTTCCCTCTCCACCCTGGCTGATCATGCTGCCCTTCGAGCGACCCAGTATAAACCAGACTTAGTCCCGGAGGACTGGGAGAGGTCTTAAACGAAATCAGGAGGGCGGGGAAACGGGGGGCGTGGAACCACTCCTGGCTTCAGAGCTCCCCTGTCCATCTTCCACCAAAGTCTAACCCGTCCAGGTCCTCGCCCAAGTGCAGGTTATTCGCACACTCTGTCCGTTGCAGCACACTCTGTCCGGCACCGACCCAGCACCCCCAAACTCCAGCCTCTCCATACCGTTAGGGGACAGCCCCTGCTCCAGACTCACCAGCGTCCACCTCCACTCCGGCAGCGTTGTGATTTCGGCCTTGACCCCACCCCCAGAAGAGAGAGTTGTTGAGGATGGGAACCTGAGTCTTCAAGCTGGGGAGACTAGGAGCTTGGGTTCTTGAGGGGTTCCCCGGGTAGGCGAGCTCACATACGGCGATGGGGCGGGGGCGCGATGGTGTGGCGGCTCCGGGGCATTGTCTAAGCGGGACAGGGCGGGGCTTTCCGAGACCACGCCCATTCCGCCCTGCTAGGCCGCGCCCATTCCTCTAGGACTGAGAACCCACCCACCCCTACCCCCCACCTCCGAGCTCTGGCACCGCCTCAAGAGCGAAGCCCAGGCCCACTCTGATCCCGCTGGCCCCGGCTGCGGGGCTTCAAACAAGAGGTGGACCACACAACAGCCCTCTAATGGACGGATGCAGAACATGGCAGCCCTTGTACAAACACTCCTTCCCTAATTCTTGGCAGATGCCCTGAGCTTAAGATCACAGACCCTGACCCTCATTTCATGCCCGCTACACGGTAAGCCCTGTTCATGTAAAAACAACAGATTTTCATTCTGTATTTTATTACTGAAATACGTTGTCCTACCCATCCCACCCCACAATAAAAATCTTACCCTTGTCGCCTATCCTTTCCCCCACTCCTCCCCCAGCCCAACACTTGTGCCCTGGATTTCCTGACCACTGGCTATTCAGGAGTGTGTCCATTCGGTGGCCTCCCAGAGTGTCTATAGCGAGCACAGAGTGGGTGAAGGAGTCTTTAAAGGGGGCTCATTTCAGGGCCTTGGCCACTTGCTCATAGGCCAGCTCTATCTCCTCGTCATCTGGACAGGTGGAGGCGAATTCTTCCCGAGCGTAAGCATTGCTCAAGTACCGATGCACTCCACGGAATGCCTCTGGGATGGTGAAGCCTCTGTACTTTTTACACACCACCTGGAGGGTGGAGAAAGGTTGGCACGTTAGTCCCAGGGAAGTCGAGCTTGCTTTGCTCTGGAGCTGTTGGACATTCTCTTCCTCCAGGGTCTTCTAGACTACCTTGCTTCTTAACAAATATTTTTACTGCTGTTTTGAGACAGGGTCTCTCTATGTAACTCGGGCTAGTCTCCAGAACCTTCTCCCTTAGCCTGAGAGTTGGAAGTACAGGTACGCACCCCCATGCCTAGAGTCCTTAAATTTTTTATTTTTAGATTTATTTTTATTTCATATGCATGAGTGTTTTGTCTACACAATGGTGCTCCATGTGTGTACAGAGCCTGTTAAGGCCACAGGAGGGCGTCAGATCCTCTGGAAGGCATTACAGATAGTTGTTAGCTACCCTCTGGGTACGGGGAACTGAACCTGGGTGCTCAGGAATAGCAGCCAGTTCTCTTCACTACTGAGTCATCTCTCCAGTCACATTAGAGTTCTCTTACTAATTCTTTTTTGTTTTTGTTTTTAAAGACATGGTTTCTTTATGTTGCCCTGGCTGTCCTGGAACTCACTCTGTAGACCAGGATGGCCTCAAACTCAGAGATCCACTTGCCTCTGCCTCCCGAGTCCTGGGATTAAAGGCGTGTGGCACTGCTCAGCTTCCTGATAATTCATATCTTAGCTTCCATTTGAAATCTCCAAAATGGCTTGCTCAACTTTTCATTTTCTGAAACCCCATTAGTAATAGCAGCTCCTTTCCAAACCCAACATCTGTGGTCCAACTTTTCTCCTCTTGACTAAAAAGAAAAGTCAGACATGGTGAGGCACACCTTTAATCCCAGCATTAGGAGGACTAAATAGAAAAACCCTGTCTCAAGAAACCAAAGTAATAATGTGAAGATGGGCTAAAGAAATGGCTCAGTGGTAAAGAACACCCACTACTCTTGTAGGAGTCCATGGCTTGATTTCCCTCACCTACAGGGGTAGCTCCAGTTTTAAGGGCTCTAACTCCCTGCACCTGCAATCATGTAATTAAAAATGAATACAAAGAAAGGGGGCTAGGGATGTGCTAAGCCCTGGGTTCCAACACACACACACACACACACACACACACACACACACACAGGAAAAGACAATTAGCAAAGTGTAACATTATTTTTGTAGTGGATTTTGTCTCTTCATTTGATGTTCAGGTCATGTATCATTACCTTGACGTGAAAGTTTTATATTCTATTCGATTTCAACCTTTTGTGGGCAAGTACAATTGAATGTCATTTGGTTCTTTTCTTTGTTGTTTTTTAGGATGGAGGAGACTATTATTATTTGAAACAGTGTTTCATTCTGTAGCTAAGGCTGGCCTCCAACTCAGCCTGGAGAATGCTGAGGGTCACAGGAACCAGCCACTTTGCCCTGCTCTCTCACTGCCTAGTGCTACTCATCTGGTGGGGCAGTGACAATGAGCCTCTGCTTTACCAAATCACACTGTAGCAAATGGCTGCTCATGTCTTCCTTGAGAGGAAATGGGAGGCCTGAGCTATATAGAGAGTTACTGTGTAGACTTGGGAGAATCCTGCTTTGTTTAAACTTGGGCTTTGGCAGTGGTACAGATGCAGGAAAAGCCTTCTTGGAAGTAACCCTGGACACAAACAGGCAGGCAGGCAGACCCACATACACACACAAATCTGGAGTGGAGTGTCACTCTTGATCAGACACTGTATAAACTTGGCTTGTATCATCAAATGTAATTCTCTTAATTGGGCAACAACTGCTAAGCGATGGGCTAGCATCCCTGGGCAGGGTCCACCATTGGTAACCTACAGAAATGGTTCTAAGAAAGATGTCACCTTGGGGTGCTGAGATTGTTCCACTTGCAGCCAAATCAGGTGACCAAAGTTCAGTCTTTAAGATCCACAGGGCTGGGGGAGAGAACCTACTCCCTCAAATTGTCTTGTGACTCCCATACCCCGTTTGTTACCTGAAAGATTCGTTCCATCCCCTCCTCTCACAGTGATCACCCACCTGTACGATATGAAGCTTTGGCAACAGGTTACAGTCAGCCAAGGTGAGCTCATTGCCATCCAGAAACTTCCTCTGAGAGATGCCCTCATCTTCAGCGCTGGTTTCATCCACTTCTTCTGGGAGGGGGGATGTCAAGTAATTATCTAGTACCTTCAGAGCTTTCAGGAGCCCCTTCTCTAGGTCTGTGTGAGAGAGGGAAAGCTGATTAGAACCTTAAACACTGGGGAGATGGTATGCCCAAAAACAGTCATCAAGTCATGTGAATAGCTAAGAGGTAAAGTACCTACTTAGCATGTGTGAGACCCTGAATCTGATTTTAAAAACCAACAGCACCATGAATGCTATTGTTAAATTGTGTATGTAAGATGCGTGTGTATAGATGTCTGCATTCGTGTGGAGGATAGGGGTCAATATCCAGTGTTTTCCTCAATGACTCCACCTTCTTTTTCTTTAAGATTTATTTATGTATTTTTGTTTATGTACAAGTATGTGAACCTGTAGGAGTATACATATACCTTGTGCATGCAGGAGCCTGAGGGAGCCAGAAAAGGGTTCAAGTCCCCAGGAACTGGAGTTACAGATGTGGGTGCTGGGTACCAAACCCTGGTCCTCTGGAAGAGCAGTGAGTGTTTTTAACTATCTTTCCAGTCCCCACTTTATTTTATACAAGGTCTCTCTCTGAACTTAGAGCTCACCAATTTGACTAGACTAGCTAGGTGGCCTCCAATCTAAGCCTCCTTCTATCTCTACCTCCCCAGCAATAGGATTATAGTAGCTACCCATCCGGCCTGAATTTTGACATGGGTGCTAAATACACAAACTCAGGTGTTCATACTTGCATGGCAAGCACTCTATTAATAGACTGAGCTATCTCTCCAGCCCATGGCTTGTGATTTATTCCCCAAGTGCTAGAAACTGAGTGTAGGGTTTCACTCACTAGTCAAGCTATGTTCGCTGAATCACACCTCAACCTCCTAGTTCAATCAATCTACAACCCACATCTCACTTACTTCTCATATCAGCTCAGGGGATGGATGTTATCCCACTTACAGATCTTCAAGCAGATTTAGAAAGGTGCAGAGACCTTCTCAGAATCAACCCCCAACTCCACCAAAAAGCAAAATAATTATGTAAAAACAGAAAAAAAAAAAACTGTCCATGAACCTGGTAATGCTGTAGTACATGTAGTGGTGTGTGGGGCACACATGAGGGTGTGCTTTAAAAATTAACTCTAGCAGGGTGGTGATGGTGCACACCTTTAATCCCAGCACTTGGGAGGCAGAGGCAGGTGCATCTCTATGAGTTTGAAGCCAGCCTGGTCTACAGAGTTCCAGGACAGCCAGGGCTACACAGAGAAACCCTGCCTCATAAATAAATAAATAAATTCTAGAGGGTGGGGGAGATTTGGTGGGTACCAGCACATGCTGTATAATCATAAGAACCTGGTTTCAGATGTTGGCACCCACTTAAAAAGCTGTTTGTGGGAAAACAAAAAAAAAAAAACAAAAAAGCTGTTTGTGGGCTGGAGAGATAGCTCACCAGTTAAGAGCACTGGCTGCTCTTCCAGAGGACCTGGGGTTTGATTCCCAACATCTATAACTCTAGCCCCAGAGAAACTGACACCCTCTTCTGGCTTCCTCAGGCACTGAACATATGTGGTGCACGAACAGACATTCAGGCAAACACATACATAAAAATAAAATCTCAAAAAAAAAGAAAAAAAAAAAAAAACCCAAAACAACCCCAAACCCCAAAAGTCTTGACATTGAGACAGCAGAGACTAGAGGGATAAAGCTGCAGTGGAGGTCTAAAAGAGGCCTGGGAGCACCTGCTCCATCTCTCTGACAGCCAAACTCCCAGGGGCTCCTGGTGCCGCTTAACCCTGGGGTCTTCTCTAGGACCTAAGCCTCTGCTCTGTGAGACTCACTGTCATTGAGTGCCGGGTTCGAGTTCTTGATGTAGGCAGAAAACTTGGCAAATATGTCCAGCCCTGAGGTGTTAGACTCAGGGTTCAGAGCAGCCAGCTTTGGGTACCTGGAAGGCAGAGGGAGAGAGACAGTAGAGCCCTTTCTGGAGGAGACTCAGCACTACTGTGTCTCCTCAATCTTTGTTCTCCAAAGCACCACAGCTCTTTCTCCTCTTCCCAATTGCCCCTGTACCTGGGAGGGCACAGCACAGCTTCCAGAAATTCCTCAATCTTGTTGGTGTCTGTGTGTACTTCAGTACCATACAGCAAGAATGGGAGTTGTCCACCCGGACAAAGTTTTTGAACGGTTTCTGTCCGTCTAGAGAAGGGGCCAGGCATCAAGAGATTAAAAAGGGGATCAGAAGCAGAAACAGGGACATTGAGATGAAGGAGAAATTAATTTGTCCCTGCTGAGCTTTAAGACAGAGGGCTCGTGTAAGTGAGCGCGTGCATACAAATGCACACGCATTTAACAAGGGATGCTTAGAGGAACGGAAGTGGGCCCACCTCTTGGTGTCCACGGTGGTGACGTTGAAGGTGACTCCCTTGAGCCAGAGCACCATGAACAGTCTCTGGGAGAAGGGGCAGTTCCCAATCTTGGCCCCATCACTGCCAGCCTGAAAAGCAACCCCAGCCCAGCATTAGGTCTGGTGCACCCCATCCTTACTAGGAGATTCTCTGCATCCCCTGCTAGTTCTGACATACACACTGCTATACTCTTTGAGCTACCCCCAGGGCTCTGTTATTTTCCCCTTTAGGCCTGGGTCAAACCTACGACAGACCAATGAATAAATTTCCAGCAAAGGTAAGCTCATGGCATTCCAGTAATTGGCAGGTGGGAGGAGGCAGAGGAGCAGTTAAATCTTGGCAAGCTTCAAGAATCCAAATCCAAAAGGCAAAGAGTAGGGGACTTGGTGGGGTTGCAGCCTCCTGGATTCTCAAGAGGGAGAGACTAAGAAGAACTAAGGGTGGGGGTGGGAGCTAAGGGGGTTGGAAACCAGGGTCCGCATTCACTAACCCTCATCCAAGCTGTTTCTGGAGGCTGGGCGGGCACTGGAGTGGACCTAAACCTCACCTGAGAGATATGGAGGGCCTAACAAAGGGGGCAACTCTTTAATTGGGTGCAGGTGACCTCATCCCCCAAGGGACACCTCCCCCTAGACTGAGGATGATTCATCTCCGTGTCTTCAGGCCTCAGCAGTTTCCTTCCTGGCAAGGAAGTGGGGGCAGGGACCTAGACACAGAGGCTGAGGCAGCTGGGGCCACTCTTATAGTTCCCTAAACCTTCCCTCTCGCTGCTGGTCCTCCTAGATGGTGCACTCTCCTCTTCCCAAGTGCCCCTGTACCTTCTCCAAGGTCCTCCTCACAGGACACAAAGCCAGAATCTCTACAGCATCGCTCACCCAGGAGTAAAAATAGTCCCTGGAGGCGAGTGTGAAGTAGGGACCACACCTAAGGGGCGGACCCAGGCTCCAGTTGGCTTCCTTGGGCCAAGGAAGTGGCAATGGCGGCCAGGGAAACCCCATCGAAAAGGAGAAACAGACAGGATGCACGTGAACACATAGGCAGAATTCAGCCGACCGACACAGATAAGGCACACACCGACACAACGACAATATGTGGGAACAAAATGGGGGAAATAGTGAAAAGGAAGGGCCCACGAAGGGAAGGTAGGGAGAAAGTGCACACAGGGAGAGAGAGAGAGGAAGGCAGGGGGCAGGAGGAGGAGCGGTGCTGGAGGGGGACAGGCCTGAGTAGACAGGAAAGCTTCAGCCAGTGGTTTGGTTTCCTTACCCAAAAGCAGAGACCCATCTCTCCTTGACCACACCCACAGACAGGAGAAAGAGTGTGATGTGTGTGTGTGTGTGTGTGTGTGTGTACCTTCTCTTCCATACCCCCAGCCTGGCATTGTACCTGACCCAGGGGGGTCTCCTGTCCCCACCGGAGCTCTCTTCCCCTCTCTTCATTAGCAACTATTACTAAACTTTAATCTCCTTCTTGCCTTCTAGATTCTGGCTTTCCTCAACCCAACCTGCCCCTTCCTGAAAGGTCCTTCCTTCCACTGTGCGGACACACTCCTTCAGTCTCACCAGATGTCTCTGTCTATCTCTGTCTCCCTCAGTGCCCACCTCTCTGTCTTTTTTAGGGCCACATGTCCTAGCCGATTCTCCTTTGACCTTCTCAAACCCCGCCACTGTCCCCTTCTCAGTCCCTGGTCGCCTGTACCGCGCACCACACCCCATTCAGTCTCCTGAAATCCCCCACTTTCTCTCTTTTAGGTTGCTGGAAATCTCTTCCACAAACTTTTCAGGGCAAGTCCAGAACTCTCATTACCGTCTCACAAGTCCCCCCCCCCCCCGTCATCCTCCAGCAGGATAGCACCGGGGCTGGGGGTGGGGTCAACGAGGAAAGGGGTTGGGGAGTTAGGGCTGGAGCCCAGCCGAGGAAAGGGAAGGATTGGCTTGCAGAAAGTCTGAGCGTGGCCGAAGAAAGAGGTGCTCTCACCTTCACGAACAGTTCGACCTGAGGTTGTTCTTCGGCCATGGTTGCGTCGGGGACCAGGAAGCAGCCGTCGCTGGGGGAACTGGGAGGGGCCGGGGCCAGGGAAGGCGGGTCTCACAGTCGGGGATCCTCTCCTCCAGACTCAGAGCTGTTCCTTCGGCCGCAACCCAAATCCGATCAGTTCCTTTCGTTCGCTCCAACACAGCTTCCCACCGGCTCCGTACACCCCACACCCAGTTTCTCCACCTCGGTCCCCTCCCGTTTAGCTCAGGGAGCAGCTGACTCACCGGCCAGCCCCGCCCTGAACCTGGGGAGGGGACAGGAGAGGGAGGGACTCGAGGATCGTGAGAGTGGGTCGGACAGAGGCCTGTGGACCACAGGAACAAGGGAGGGGTGTTAGGAGGGAGGCCCGGGGAGGGGTTCCCTTGATTCTCTGACCTTTCTTGAACACAGCACCTTTTTCGTGCCTCAGTTTCCCCGCTTCACTGATGAGAAGGGTGGCCCACTCTTCCACAGGGACACTTGGAAATAGCTAACCTCACACGAAGGTGCACAAGTGGGGCTTGAGGTTGGACGGGTTCTGCGATCTTTTTAGTCACAGCCAGCCTTCCTGTTTGCTAGGACTCTGCCCTGTATGTGCGTGCGTGTGCGTGGAGGGGGACATGGAAGGAGATATTGAGGTTGGGCTATGTGGCTTGGGGAAAGGCATGAACTAGGAGAGAGCGCCAGAGGCCTGATTCGAGGGAAACAGGAAGCTGAGTCCCAGACTTCACAGCAGGGGGCGGTCCTCTGGAAGCCTGTCAATGCCTAGACTTCCCCATCCTGGGCCCCTTACCCTCCTCTTGCTGGTAAAGGTTGCCTTGGAGACGGGGTTATCCTGACTCTATAGGATAACACTAGGGCTCATCCTGGGATGGGTGGGGTATCGGCTGGTTCTATCGTGAGAAGAAAGCAAAGGTCAGACAGATCTGTATGCGTGGAGTCCTGGGAGGATATCTAAGTAAATAAGAAGGCAGAAGAAAAAGTAAATCTTTTCCTGGGAGGCTTGATTTTCGAGTTACTATCTAACTTTACTATCTATTTAAAAAAAATCTAAAATATGTCTGCCAATATTCCAGCCTCCACGCTCTATGTTTCTCTATTGTCCAACCATCCTTTTTCTTTTCTACTCATCATCTGTCCAAAACAGCTCTCCATTTAGAGGAAAACATGCTGGACTTAGCAAGACCTAGAAACAAAATTAGGCTGGAAACTGAGAAAGAGAGACTTTGAGGGCTGGGTGAGTGGTGCAAATGTTGCTGGAAACCAACAGTTAGTGGCTTCCTCTTAGCTTCCTCTTCCAGGGGCTTTCTCCTCCCTGGAAGGGGGGTGGGTGGCGGCGGCGAGGCTTATCTTTCTCCTCAGAAAGACAGAATATTCTTGGTATTTGGACCTTTGAACATCCCAGAAGTGTTGACTCTCAAAAACTGCAGAGGGACCCTTTCCTACTGATGAACAAGATTTCAAAGCAGCCTTATTTCCCAGACACTTCCTCACTGGTAGGTGACCACCTGGGGTCTGCCCAACCTTGATCTCAAAGGGAGAAGCCTTAGTTGGGTCTCAAACAGGTTTGGCAGCCTTGCCCCTGCTTGTCTTTACAGCCACAGCTGCCCTGATCATCAATATTGACTGTGGCTGCCTGAATTGCTACTTTAATTTTCAGGCTGCCCTCTCCTGGGACCACCCGTGGGTGCCTCCGGGATTTGAAGCCAGGACCCCATCAAAGAATTTTTTGCTCCCATTTCATCTCTGTGGCCCTGCTCTCTCTGCTTCACCACCTCCTTTTCCTCAGCTGGCTTCTCTTCCTGTGCCCAATGCCTTCCTTGTCTTGGTAACCAGTCCCTAATCTCTTCACAGCCCAGATTAGAAGGTGTGTCCCTGCCACTCCTCAGAGCTGTCACCAACCTCCTCCAGGTTTCCATAGCTCCATTGCTCAACAATTTGCCAAGGGTAACCATTAATCCAGCCCTTAGCTCTGCTCCCCACCTTTCCCTGTGGAGAGTATTTTCCAGTCACTGGCCAGCAGAGCCAGGTCACCTCACACCATTTCTCTGGGCCAGAAGCAGGATCTTCTTAGTTCAGGATAGCTGTGACAGTCTTTAAATTATGTATTTACAGTTTGTGTGTATGCAAGGGCACAAACAGCACAGGTGTGGAGGTCAGAGGTCAATTTGGGAGTTAGTTTTTTCCTACCGTGGTGTGAGTCCTGGGGATGGAATTTAAGACAATTTTCCTCGATGAGCCATCTTATAGGCTTTGTTTACTTATTGTAAACTATATTTCTTTCTCTCTTCCTCAGAAACTCCTTCCTTCTCTTTCTTCTTTCCCACCCAGATGAATCATGATACCCAGTGTCCTTAGGGGTGAGTAGACTGTGGTACGGGCATAAACCAATAGGGATGTGTGTGTGTAGTATGTGTATATGGGTGTATGTGTTCTAACCAGGTCTTCTTTCAGAATGTAGAGTTCATTTAGATACTGCACTTCCTCATCAGAGGTCCCGAAATAGCCAGGCCCTGTGGTGTGCTCTTGTGGGGGGTGGCCATCCCCTGCATTCAGGGAACGGACAGGGCAGGGTGGTGTTGAAATGAAATGGCTCTCACTTCCACTTATTTATTTTAAAACACTCGTGTAGCGCTTACTCTGTTTGCTAGACACTGTTATAAGTTCTTTATAAATATTAACTTAGTGGGTGCAAATATTAACAGAGTGGTTGCTGTTGGCTTAGGTTGGGTTAATGTGGGTTCTCGCCACACTCCAGGCAGGAGGAATAATGCTCTGGCCCTTTAAGGTCGGCCTCCTCGCAGTAGCGTTCCCCACCACGCAGACCCTTTTTCCCGGGCGGGGGATTTAGGCTTGCACAGCGACCTTCTGGCGGGCGCCGCCAGGCTTCGGCCAAAGCTCGGAAACCCTGGCCTCCCGCTGCTTAGCAACAACAGAGGGCGGGAATTTTAAACGCGCCGGCCCAGCCCCTATTGTAAACAGACCAATCAGCGCTTAGACTCTGCTCGGCTTCGCTGGGTACTCCCTCGCTTCCTATTGGATAGATAGGCAGGCTCCTCCAGCCAATAGAAACGGGAGAGGCGGGGGCGAGTGACCCCTCCCCACGGCCCCGCCCACAGGCAGGCCCGCCCTTCCCCAGCCTAGCGGCCGTTGGTCAGTGAGGTGATTGTCGCCACTGAGGTGACGGAAAAGGCGGGAAAACGCCGCGAGTTGGCGGCACTGGGTGGGGCGGGGACGGAAGAGCACGGCTGTGGTTGTCAGGGCGTGGGTGGCAGAAACACCCTCCGAGGCACGATTTCGAGTGTCAGAAATTGTTTGCAACCTAAAGGAGTCGTCCTCGAAGTGTCCCTACACCTGTCCCCGCAGTCCTCAGAGAGCCCGGATGCGTGCGCATCACCCCACCCAGCCACCGGGTGAAATGTGGCTTCTGAACCTCCCTCTCCCACGTCCTCAGAGTTGCCGAGCTCATGGCTTTCAGGGCGACCCCAGGCCGGACGCCGCCGGGACCCGGGCCCGGGATCCCCTCAGTCAGCTTCCCCAGTCCACTGGCTCCAGTGCCCGGGCCTGGAGCTATCGAAGAGGAGGACGAGGACGAGGAGGAGGAGCCGGCCGAGGTGTCAGAGGGAGGAGCGCGCCGGGAGGACGGGGAAGGGCTGGGCCGAACCTGTTTTAGGTTGGCTATCTCCGAGATTTGGTTAAATGATTGATAATAAGGGATGGCCCAGACCATGTCTTCCCCAGGGTTTCAGATATTGATCTCCTTTTCTTCGTGGGGGCAGATCCATCTGTGCGTGCTGTGGAGTTCGGGATATCTGGGCATTGCTTACTATGACACTAGTGACTGCACTATCTACTTCATGCCAGATGCCCCAGAGCACGAGAGCCTGAAGCTTCTCCAGAGAGGTGGGACAGAACCCTTGATTCCTCCACTCTGGGGTTGGAATCATGTTCACACATATGTCCTAAAGTGACTTAATCTACTTTGTAGTCACCTGTTTGGGGGGAATTAAATATCCAACACAACTTTATTAGGTGCTTGCTGTATGTGAAATGGTACAGATTTAGTCCCTGGCAAACCATTCATAATTTTAATCTAGTGGTAGTTTCCAGGACACCCCCTTTCCTCCCTCCAACCAGAAAATAAATTCTTTTATTTTGGTTTTTTTGAGACAGCTCTGGAAAGAGCAGAGCTGCCTCTTTCCTTTTTGTCCATGTGTAGAGCTCCTTTGACTAGGTTGGTCCCTTCTCTTTTCAAGTTCTGGATGAAGTCAACCCCCAGTCTGTCATTACAAGTGCCAAACAGGATGAGACCATGACTCGGTTCCTGGGGAAACTTGGTAAGGGTCCAGTAAAGAAGGGAAAATGGAAAAGGACTACTAAAATGTGGAGTGCCGGGAGGCTAGTATTGGCTGACAGGCAGGATGGGACAAGAACAGGACTGAGTGTACAGAACCATGGCCCTTTGCTTTCACAGCCTCCCAGGAGCCCCAAGAGCCAAAGAGACCTGAGATCATACTTCTGCCAAGTGTGGATTTCGGTAGCTACTTCTTTTACTTTGCCAGACTCCATCCCAGTAGTCCTGTCCCTTCCCTTAATCCACCCATTATCAGAGATCTCCCCCATCTGTTATCTGAAAATACCTCACATGCCCCACCACCTAACTTCCCAAGATCTTTCCTGCATGTTATCATTAGTAATCCAACTTATTGAGAAGCCAGTGGGTTAGTTATGTTAGGAATGCCCCCCCCAAGAAAATGGAGTGACAACACTTTTCAAATAGCTTTGAATGTTTAAGCCAACGTGATTTATTGCATAAAAAGGAAAAGCAATGTTTCTGGGATCCTGATGATCCTTAAGACACTTCCTACTTGGCAAACTCCCAGGTTTGCAAAAAGGACAGGGAATGTGCTGTCCTAATTAGATATCTGGACATTAGGACTATTCTTTCCTTTATCATAAGATCTTTTTGACCTAGAAAATCTACAATCCCAGACATCACTTGTCTTTCCCAGGCTGAGCTTATAGTTGGACATCTATATTACATAAAGAATGAAGACAACCAGACTAAGTGTGCACTTTTTGGCTCTTGCTTCAGCTTTCCTTAACCACCTCTGTGGACTTTGGTTGCTTTTGCTTGCTCTTGTTAAGTTGGGGTAAGAAAATGAACTTATAGGACTTCTTTCTCCTTATCCCCCAAAATAGGTCCAGAGACAAGCAAGCAGCGTCTCCTTTCTGGAAACTACTCATTTATCCCAGAATCCATGACTGCCACTGAGAAAATCCTTTTTCTCTCCTCCATTATTCCCTTTGACTGTGTCCTCACGGTGAGCTGGGTCGCTGGGGTGCAGGCTGGGATGCAGTTGGGAAAGGCATGAGCTCCCAGTCCCAGGCCGAGTTCTGGGCTGGTCTGCCCTGGCCCTAGAAAATGACAGTCTTTCTTGGCATTGGTGTTGTCCAACTCCACTGCTGACCCCTTCCAGATCCGGGCACTTGGAGGACTGCTCAAGTTCCTGAGTCGAAGAAGAGTTGGGGTGGAATTGGAAGATCATAATGTCAGCGTCCCAATCCTGGGATTTAAGAAATTTGTATTGTAGGTGATGTAGAAGGACTGGGAGGGCTCATAAGTAAGCCAGGAGAGCAGAGATCTGTGCTGGGACATGGGAGAGGGGTGGGGACAGTGGACATGTGTACTGGAACACGGGAGAGGGATGGGGACAGCGGACACTTGTGCTGGGACACAGGAGAACCTGGGATTGTATTGCTCTGGGGGAAGTGTGGACAGTACTGAGAGAAGGGAGCTCGAGCTCGTAGTGAACGGCCACGTCTCAGCCGCCTTCGCTTTGGCTTGTTTTCTGTTCTCAGGACCCATCTGGTGAGCATAGATCAAGACACTTACAGGTGAGGTACAGACAGACTGCTGCCTCCAGAGACACAAGGGCTGAGCCTAATGCTCTAATAATCCTAAAGAGGCTCTAGTCTCTCTAATCCTGGGGCTGTTAAAATCTCTCTCCTTGAAGGGAAGGAAAGGATGATTGGGTGGAGTAGGGAGGGAAGGAAGGGACTAAAGCCCAAAGGCATCACCTCCCTTTCCCTTCCTTTTTGCAATGTTGGGGATGGACCCGAGGGACTGGTGCCTGCTAGGCAAGCATTCTGCTCTCTGAAGTGACAACTCCAGCCTTCCTTCCTTTCTTTTTTTCTTTCTTTTTTTTTTTTTTTTTTTTTTTTTTTTGTTTAATTTTGTTTGAGACTGGGTCTCTCTACATAACCCCACTGTTCTGGAACTCACTATATAAACCAGGAACCAGGCTGGCCTTGGACTCACAAAGATCTACCTTCCTCTGCCTCCCAAGTGCTGGGACTAAACATGTATGCTACCACACCTGGCTTTCATTTCCTTTTCCTAATGGGAGAAGCTGAAGTGACTCCAAAAGTGAGTAATAACCCTCACATGAAGGTTATCATTGCCAGGGATGGTAGCACATACCTTTAATCCCAGCACTCAGGAGGCAGAGGCAGACAGATCTCTGGGAGTTCAGGGCCAGCCTGGTCTACAAAGTGAGTTCCAGAAAAACCAGGGCTACACACAGTACACAGAGAAACCCTGTCTCAGTTCCCCACTTTATTATTATTTTAAAAAATGGCTAAAGTGCCAATAGGAACCTGGTTTAGTGAGCAAAAGCTCTTGCTACTCAAGTCTGCAGATCTGAGTTTTATGCAAGTGCTTGGCATCTCTGGCTGCCATCTTATCCAAAGGAAATGTGGGACTCTGGGTTCAATGAGAGACCTCGTCTCAAAAGAGAATCAGACAGAGAGACAGAGGACAGCCACTTCCATGTCCTCTGGCATCTCACATATGCATGGGAGCATGTGCACCTGCACCCAAATATGTGTACACAGGCAGGTGTGGTGGTTCACCTTCAGTCCCAGCACTGGAAGGCAGAGGCAGGGAGATTTTTATAAATTCAAGGCCAGCCTAGTCTACATAGTGAGTTCTAGGATAGCCAGGGCTATGTAGAGAAACCCTGTCTCAAAAACAAAACTAAATATGTACACACATGCTTATGCAATTAAATATGTACACACGCCTATGCTATGTGTAGGATGTATAGAAGGTCATCCAGATGTCTTCATTTCTCTGTGACAGTGTTCTACAGATCTTCAAGAGTGAGGCTCACCCCTCAGTCTACAAAGTAGCCAGCGGGCTAAAGGAGGGCCTCAGCCTCTTTGGTAGGTGTGTACTGTAGGTCACCCCACACTGAAAGCCTACTAGAAACACAGTTGACCACAGATGTGTGCAGTCTCTCTTCCTGCTTTACTGTGAATGCCAGATACCTTTTCCACAGCATCCCAGGCTTCTCAGTCCCTGTGCCCACTCTCAGCTTGCGCTTTATAGGTAACCATGCAATGTAATGTGCATGTCAGCTTCGACCTTACCAATATTATGTTCAGTTTCTGGCTCTGTATGAGGGTGCCCACTAATTGGGCAACTAACACCTGTCTGTTCACTAAGGAGGATTTGTATAGTTTTTATCTGGGCCCTCTGGCTTTAGAGTATATTAGGGACACGACTCCAAGTGTCCCGTTTCTCAATGGACTGTGGGCTATGTGTGAGTTTTATGTATCTGTGTTGGGCTTTTGTGAGTTGTGGCTATGTCAATTATGTATTTTCCCGGCTGAGCATCTATCCTTTTTCTCAGCCTCACATGATAATCCAGGCCCCAAGTTGTAGCCAGGCCCCGACTTCTGCTGCCTTTGTGTTCTGTATCTAGGTCTCCTTGTAACAAGTTCACTCCTATGCATACCCACAGGAATCCTCAACAGATGCCGCTGTAAGTGGGGACACAAGCTGCTCAGGTGAGTGTGTCTCATACACACTGGATACTGAGGCCTGTTAACAGCAGTCTACAGGCCATGACAAACACTATTTCATTCAGTAGTACTAGAAATAACAACTTCCCAGGGTAGTAGCTCAGATTATCCTCATTTTATGTTGTCAGCACAGATGCATACACACTCATGAATAATATACAAATACATACACACACACTCACACACACGCAAAAGAAACTGAACCACAAACTACGGATGCATTACAAGATAATTTAACACCACATCAAAAGCTAGGGGCAAGGCTCAGTGGTAGGATACTCAATTAAGTGAGACCCCCATCTCCAGTCTAAAAAAAAAGTTAAAACTAGGCACGCCCTATCTCAAAATGACTTCTTTAAAATATTGATAGTAAAGTGCTTGTGATACTGACATGAAGATCTGAATTTACATTCCTAAAATATGCATAAGAGCCAGACTATGGGAGCCAGGCGTTGGTGGCACACACATTTAATCCCAGCACTCAGGAGGCAGAGGCAGGTGGATCTCTGTGATTTCGAGGCCAGCCTGGTCTACAGAGCTAGTTCCAGGACAGCCTCCAAAACAATACAGAGAAACCCTGGAAACCCTGTCTCAAAAAACCAAAAAAAAAAAAAAAAAGACACAAATTGAGATATTCAATATTCAAGCAGGGCATGGTGGCTCATGCCCACTGTAATTCCAGCTTTTGTAGGGCTGAGGTAGTAAAATCAAGAATTGGAGGCCAAGGATGGAGAGGTGAGTAAGCAGTTAAGAGCATTGGCTGCTCTTTCAGAACACTTAGGTTTGATTCCCAGCCCCCACAGCATGGTTCACAACTTTTTGTAACTCCTGTTCCAGGGGATCTGAAGCCCTCTTCTGACCTTATGGTACCAGGCACACAAGTAATGCACAGACTTACATACAGGCAAACACCCATACACATTAAAAACGATAAATAAAAATGTTCTTTAAAAAATTAGATGGAGGCCATCCTGTTCTACATGAGACCCTATTCAATAGTAAACAAAACAAAAATTAGCCAGGTGGAGTGGCATGCACCCTTAATCCTAGTCCTAGGAGGCAGAGGCAGACAGACCTCTGAGCTTGAAGCCAACCTGGTCTACAGAGTGAGTTCCAGGACAGCCTGAGCTGTTACTCAGAGAAACTCTGTCTCTAAAATCAAACAAAAACAAAAAATGATTCCCATAATTCCCATATATTTGGACTGACAATTTCATATTGTTACCACCTGTACTTAGCATAGACACCACAGGCTCAGAACATCCAGACATCTTCCTGCCACATTTTTCTAGGTAATAGATTTACTGGCAGTGTAGCATCTCAGGATAGGCACCATGGATTGAAGCTTCCTGCTCACTCCTCCGTATTCAGTTATTCATGAGTGGCTCTTGTCTCTGTCCTGAAGTCTTTTAGCCACCCTTCCTCCCTCTTCACACCAATCTAATTCTGACTATCAGGAGCATTGCATCTACCTCCAAAATGGTCTCTGCCTCTAGTCTCTTTCTCCAAATTAGCTGTTTGTTCTAACCGCATGCCATCCTGACACAGAGATCGGGGCATGTCACTCCATTTCTTAAAAAAGTCTTAAGTAGGGCTGGAGAGATAGCTCAGTGGTTAGCAGCACTGGCTGTCTTCCAGAAGACCCAGGTTCAATTCCCAGCAACCACGTGGCAGCTCACAAATGTCTGTACCTCTTTTTCCAGGAGATTCACCACCCTTACTAGACATACATGCAGGCAAAACACCAATGTTCATAAAATTAAAAAAAATTAAAGTCTTAAGTAGAAACTAAGAGGATGCTTCCCTATTACGGGAAAGTTTAGCATATACAGTGGTGTTATCTTGTAGTGAGATGTTTAGTAACTTGATGAGAAGTCACTTAAGGGAGAAAGGGAATATTGGCTCACAGTTCCAGGTCACATCATCGTGGGAAGTCAAGGCAACAGGAACCTCGTCACATTATGTCTGCATTTAAAAGCAAAGAGCAGTGAACTCGTGTGTATGCCAGTGCTTACTAGCTTTCTCCTTATCCAGTCTCTGATCTCAAACCCAGGGAACAGTGCTGCTCACAGTGGGGGAGGGAGGCAGTTCTCCACATCACACCCACATTCACCTTGGTTTTAATTTTTAGATTCACATCCCCAATTTCCTTGTAAATCCTTTTCTTCTAGCTCCACCCTATATTTTAGTCCTTCTTGTCAACATTTAATCTCATGTTTGAGGTCAAACTAACTCTTTTTGGTGCAGCTTCCACAGGTACATATGAGAGGTGGATGAGCTGATGTGGTCAAATGCTCTTTGTTACATCAGGTTAGAATTGTTAGTGAACCATTCCTGTTGCCTGTGTCGGTTTTTGCTTTGTTTTGTTTTGTTTGTTTGTTTTTTCAAGACAGGGTTTCTCTGTAGCTTTGGAGGCTGTTCTGGAACTCTCTCTGTAGACCATGCTGGCCTCAGACTCAGAGAGATTCACCTGCCTCTGCCTCCCGAGTGCTGGGATTAAAGGCATGCACCACCACTGCCTAGCTCTGTTGCCTGTGTCTGACAGGTGACTTTGTAGGTAAAATATTCAGTGAGTGAACACAGTATGAGAACGAAAGCACACTGGCCACATCACCTCCAGAACCTCAGCTACCAGACAGGCTTATAGTTTACCCTTTTCCTGCCCATCCCACTGCAACACATTCCTTCTGAGGACTGATTTAGGACTATCTCTGAGTAACTTAATTACCCACACATTCTTCAATGCTTTAGATATAAATCTCAAATTTTAAGCAGGATTAGGATGGGAAAGTGAGGATTTTATAGGGTTTGTTTGAAACATTGTCTCACTATGAGACCAGAGTGGCCTGAAACTTGCTGGAAAGGCCCAGGTTGTACTTCATCTTGTGATTGTCCTCCTATCTGCCTCCTGGGTGCTGGGATTATAGGAATGGACCAGCATGCCTAGCATGGAGGAAGAGAATTATGCAAAAGATGGAGAGAACCAGGCTCTGTGGCAAATGCCTTTAATCTCAACACTTGGAAAAGGGTGGGACTAGAATATAATACAAGTTTGAGTCCTTGGCTACATGGCAAGTTCGTGTGTGTGTGTGTGTGTGTGTGTGTGTGTGTGTGTGTGTGTGTGTGTGTGGCTCATCACTTACTGCTCTTCTAAAGGGTCCTTGGTCAGTTTGCAGCACCCATGCCAGGCTGTTCACAACTGTATGGAACTAGTTCCAGGGTATGAGACCCTCTGGCCGTCAGAAGTACATACTTGCACACTCATTGCATAAATGCAGACTTAAACACATACACACAAATTTGTTTTGTTTTTGTAAGATAAGAGTTTCCCTGTGTAGTCCTGGCTGTACTGGAACTCACTCTGTAGATCAAGCTGGCCTCAAACGCAGAGATCTGTGTGTCTCTGCTTCTTTGGAATTAAAGATATGCCACCACTGCCCAGCTAATACTTGTAAAATTTTAAAGGTGAGTAAGGACTGGGGATGATGTGTACCAGGCTTTTTTTCTTTCTTTCTTTTTTTTTTTGGGGGGGGCACCAACCAGCTCCCAAATCATGACACAGACTTATTAATTATGTGTATTCGGTCTTTGTTTTTTTGAGACAGGGTTTCTCTGTGGTTTTGGAACCTGTCCTGGAACTTGCTTTTGTAAACCATGCTGGTCTTTAACTCACAGAGATCCACCTGCCTCTGCCTCCCTAGTACTGGGATTAAAGGTGAGCACCATCGCCGCCGCCCAACCCCCTATGTGTTCAGTCTTATCTTAGGCACATTTTTGGCTAGTACTTTTAAATTACCCTGATTCTTTTTACCTTTTGCCTTGGGGCTTATTATCTTTCTTTGTTCTGTATATCTTACTTTCACTGCTTGTCTGTGTCTGTCTATCTGGCAACTGCCTGACTTCTTGCCTGAGGCATGTCCCTCATTCTCTCCTCCTCCTTTTTTCTTTCTTTGCAAGCCTATATTTCTCCTATTTATTCTCTATATCTGGCAACACTGCCTATCCCTCTCCTGCCTAGCTATTGGCTATTCAGCTTTTTATTAGACCAATCAGGTGCCTTAGGCAGGCAAAGTGAAACAGATGCAACACATCTTTACATAAACACACATCCTTATATCCTTAAGCAAATGCACATTATAAAAAGCCTAATAACCAATTTATTAAGGGGTGCAAGGAAAAGACAAACTCAAATACAGAACAAAGCAGAATGTGCTGCTACTCCAGCTGCCTTCTCATAGCCGTTCTGTCCAGGAGTGAAGGTCACCAACTGCGCTGCCTCTCTGCTACTCACTCCTGCTCCTGCCACCATGCCAAGAGAGTTCGAGAGAGAACACACCACCCCTCTCCCCCAGCTCTTAAGATGTCACATATACAAACCCCACCATGCTCTAGGACTTGCTGCCTTGAAGGTCATTGGCTAAACAAAAGAAACATACCCTTACACAGCTAAAGTAATATTCTGTAGCATAAACAAATGTAACACTTCTTTGCCCAGTTAAAATAATGTTTCACAGCAGGATGTAGATCAGTTACTGCTGTGCTTCCCTGGAGTCCCTGAGGCTCAGGGTTGCTTTCCCAGCACCACATAAAGCAGAAGGTAGAAGGAAAGATCAGAAGTTCAAGGTTATCCTCTGCTCAAGAGAAAACAAAACAGAAATGAAACAGATGAGAGCTGGGGAATGCAGATTTCCATGTGAGATCCACAAGGCAGAGAATCACAGCCTGACTGAGGACTCAGCCAACAGGATCCTGCAGTCTGGACAGCTGAGTCTGACACCCAGATGCACTTCTCATTAGCAGTGTGGTTTTGGACAAGTTACTGACTACAGTCCTGACTTTCTCAGCTGTACAATTAGGGCCATTAACAGAACAGAAGTCTGGTAAATCCAGGTGTCCTATCAGAAAGTCCGCTAAATGAGACTTGTGCTCTACAGAGTGGGTCAGAACTTCCAGCCCGGCCTGCACTGCTGTGGCTTAAGCCCTCTTTGTGGAGAAGGACAGGGATAGCCCAAACCCACCCTTGAACTGAAATGGATCTTTGGTTTTATTCTAAGTTGGGATGTTCTGATTGAACATAACTATGGGCTAAATGGGAGGCATGCACCCTCAGGCTCATGTCTCCACTCACTAATTCGTAAATAACATGAGTAATGGCTTGCTATAATGTAGAAAAGAACCCCTAGGCTAAAGTTCTTACAGAATCCCACACCCAGAATTAAACAAATACAGATGAAACATTATTACTGTGTAATAATTTATTTTAACTTAATAGGTAGTACTTCTGGCAACAGAAGATGTAATAATGTTTGTACACGCTAGTCATTTATGAATCAGACCCCCATGTTGAAACACCTTCATAACATATCTCCAATTCCTTTCTCTACTAATTATTAAAAATTCTAATATGAGTTGTGTTGGGAACCAGCAGTCTGCTGACCCCACCCCCTGATGATGGGCGCGATGCTCATGGCCATGTCTTCATGATACCTGGCTGCTCAAGCTTTACCTGGCTGCTCAGGGGACTCAGTTACACATGCACAAATTTCGCTTTTAAAGCAAGTGTACCAAGTGCATTTCTCTCTTGTTCTCTTTCTTTTTTTCTCTCTCTCCCTTGCTTTCTCCTCCCCTCCCTTTCTCTCCTCTCTACCATTAAATTCCTCATGGGCACTGAGTCTAGTGTTTGTGTTTCTTAGGCAATAATTATATCAAAAGAACAACAAATTGGGCATGGTGGCCCCTGTGTTTAATTCCACCAGAGGCAGAAAGGCAGGCAAATTTGTGATCAGATCAGTCTGAACAATGTGAAATCTGTCTCAAAAAAAAAAAAAAAAAAATGCAGCTGGGAGTGTGGCTTACTAGTTTGGTGCTTGGGTAAAGAGTAAGCCTTGACCCCCCCCAACCCTAAACATTGCCAGAAGAAGAAAGAATGGAAGAGAGTATGAAAGAGAATGAGAATTAGTTACAGGCATTTACACAGGAAGAGCATGGAAAGATGAAATTTGTCTGTGCTGTTTCCCTAAAATACTGTCACAGCTACATACTGACTCACCCTCTCCCACTCAGCTACAGAGAACTATAGTGTTGGCACACAAATACCACAACACACTGCTCTTGCTCCAAAATATTGACATGCTCCATCACATATCCACATGGAGTGACACATGGTCTCATCCATCAAAACTGTGACATACAGATATAGCCATTGTGACATCCAGCAATTTTCAGTAGGTATATAAAAACATGAGAACATACACAGGGTCATGCACTTGGGAATTCATTCCTATAGTATGCGACAGGCACATGTTACCACACTCCCCGAAGATTTCCAAGCAAAATTAAGATGATGAGGCTTCTAATCTTCCCATCCCAACCCCCCACCCCCAGGCTATGGTTTACACGTCCAACTCAGGAGCTAAGGGAACTCAATTCTCGTCTGGATGTCATTCAGTTTTTCCTGATGCCTCAGAATCTGGACACTGCTCAGATGATGCATCGTCTCCTGAGACACATCAAGAACGTGCCTGTGAGCCCAGGGCAGAGGTCGGGGCAGGGGGAGTGAGGTTGAGAGCCCAGGGCGAGGTCAGGTGGGGGAATAAGGTGAGTAAGGCTGATGGCTTATAGAAAACTTTGGGCTTCTTATTTTTATTTTATTAAAATTTAGTTTATTTGTTTTGTAATTTGGAGATAGGGTCTCACCATGTAACACTGGATGTCACAGGGATCCACCTGCCTTTGTCTCCGAAGTGATGGGATTAAAGTTGTGTTCCATCACTCCTAGCTATTTCTTTATTTTTGAGACAGGGTCTCTATATAGTCCTAGCTGAGTTGGAACTTGGTATGTAGACCAGGCTGGCTTTTAACTCAGAGATCTACCTGCTTCCCAAATGCTGCAGTTAAAGGTGTAGGCCACTACTGCCCAGCCTAAGATTTATATTTAATTACATGCATGTATAGCATGTATGAGTTTGGCTAGCCTGGTCTACATAGTGAGTTCCAGTTTAGTCAGACCTAAGTAATGAGACCTTATCTCAAAAAAAAAAAAAAAAAAAAAAAAAAAGATCTGGCTCTGTGGAGTATCTGTATGTGAGTACAGGCGACTGCAGAGTCAGATGGTGTATCCCCTAAAGTTAGATTATGGGTGTTTGTGAACCTCCTGCTGTGGATGCAGACAACCAAACCCTGGTCCTCTGGAAAAGTGTCTCGCCAGCCTGGAGTGTGGGCCTCTTGAGAGATGTCAGATGGTAATTAGCAAACCATGGCTGTCCCTTTGTCTGCTTGTAGCTGATTCTGAAGCGCATGAAGCTGTCCCACACCAAGGTCAGTGACTGGCAGGTCCTCTACAAGGTAAGGCCTCTCAGGATGCTCCTGCTCCTTCCCCTGAGTTCTAAGGCTGCAGATTTCCCTTCTTAAGCCCAGAAATCCCAGTTAAGCTTTGAATCCTGTGTATAGACTTCTCCATTCTGGATTCACTGCCATGCTTTACCCACTGGTGTTTCTTTTAAATTTTGTGTTGCAGAAAATATCAACAAATATTTGCAAAGAATAATATAATCACTCCCCTTGTGCCCAACTGTTCAGCATCAGTACTCCTAACAATCTCCTTTCATCTCCAGCCATTATTTTATTTCATCCGCAAATACTTCACAGTGATTATTAAAAAGTTGGCACTGACATTACTGTTTACTATCAGAATCACCAGGTCCTCACCTCCTTTATTATTTTACCCATCTTTATTTCTTGCCTGCTTGCTTGTTCTTTTTAATTTTGTAAGATTTATTCAATGTGTAGGAGTGTTTACCTGCATATATGTTTGTGCAACGTGTACATGCCTAACCTGGGGAGGCCAGCAGAGGGTGTTAGATCTCCTAGAACTGGAGTTACATGTGGTTATGAGCCACCCTGTGGGTGCTGGGAAACAAACTCTGGTTCCCTACAAGAGCAGCCAGTGCTCTTAACTGCTGAGCCATCTCTCCAGGATCTGTGAGCTTTGATAGCAGCGTAAAGAAAGTGGGCTAAAAACTAGAACCAGTGACGTATACCTTGTCTGGGTTGGTATGACTGTAATATTTTTACATAATTATAAAGCAACATAAAATATTTATTTACTGTCTTAGTGTTCTGTTACTGTGAAGAGATACCATGAGCACAGCAACTCTTGTAAAGGAAAGCATTTAAGTGCGGCTGGCTTACAGTCAGAGGTTTAATCCATTGCCTTCATGGTGAGAAGTATGGCAACACACAGGTAGACATGGTGCTGGAGAAGTAGCTTAGAATTTTACATCTGGATCCTCAGACAGCAGGAAGAGAGTGCCACTCCCTATGGGCCTATGGGGGCCATTTTCCATTCAAACCACCACATTCATTTACTTTTTGTTTTTTGAGACAGTTTCTCATTGTGTAGCCTTGGCTGTCATGGAACTCTTGGTGTAGAGTTCTGGCTTAAAATTCACAGAGACTGGTCCTCCTCTGCCTTTCTCCTGAATGTTTAGATTAAAGGTGTGTGCCACCATGCCCCCGTATCTTTCTGAATTTTAAAAATGTATGGTTTTATTGTTTTTACTTAGGTTTTAAAAAATTAATTACATTCATTTATGATTGTGGGTGCACACATGAGACGGTGACCTTGTGGGAGTAAGCAAAACATCAGGGGTCAGTTCTTCCTTTCCTCTGTGTGGACACCAGAACTGAACTCAGGTTGTGAGGACTTGGCAGCAAGTTCCTTTATCTACTGTGCCACCTAGCTGGCCCTATTTGTTGTTTTGTTTGTTTTTTGTTTTTCGAAACAGGGTTTCTCTGTATTGCTTTGGAGCCTGTCCTGGAACTCGCTCTGTAGACCAGGCTGTCTTCCAACTCACAGAGATCTTCCTGCCTCTGCCTCCTGAGTGCTGGGATTAAAGGTGTGAGCCACCAACACCTGGCCTGACCCTTATTTTTGAAGTAATTTAAGACTTAAATGTTGCTAAATTGAAAAAAAAAAAAAGCTTTAAATAGTGGAAATCTGACAGGGGCCATAGATTGAATTGAGATTTCATGGGTTCTCTGATAAAGATTAACAGAGACAAACACAATGGGACTGGGAGGAGGGTTGGGAGGGAGACGTGAGATTGGAATATAAAATGAAATTTAAAAGAATAAATAAATTATCAAAATTATTCATGGACAATAATGTTAGTTTTCTAGAAAGGTGAATTAACGTAACACTTGCAAGGTCTTCTACAGAATAAAATAGTCACTGAGCACTAGAATTAAAAAATAAAAAAATACTTAAATGTTGCAAGGATTATAGAGTTATCATGTAACCCATTTTGCCTTCCCTTAATATTAACGTCCTATAATCAAAAAACAATTGTGGTGTGTTTGTCTGTGTCTGTGTGCGTTCACTAGAATTGAACCTAGAATGTTATACTTGTTTGGCAAATGGTCTATCACTGAGATAGATCCTCAGCTCTATGTCAATCTATCAATTTTCAAAATTATTTATTTCTTCTCTATTTTGAGGCAGGATCTCACTGTGTAGTTCTGGAACTTGCTATGAAGACTAGACCAACCTCAAATTTGTAGTGATCTTCCTGTCTCTGCTTCCTAAGCACTGATGTTTGCTTCTTTGGTTGGTTACTTTGAAACAAGGTCTCCAAATATAGCCCAGGTTAGACTCAGGTGGGCTATGTCATCCAAGCTGATCTTGAACTTGTGATCCATCTTCCTCAACTTTCAAAGAGCTGGGGTTTCAGACTTATGCCACAATGCCCAACTGAGACTTTATCCTCTCCCCCAAAACAAAAGAAGTTTGAGGCTAGCCTGGGCTACAGAGTGAGTTAGAGAGCTGTGTGGGTAACTTAGTGGTTGGTATCTTATCTCAGAATAAACAAGGGTAGGGGTCACAGCTCAGTACGGAGTAGTCCTGGGTTTAATTTGAGAGAGACAATGTGGGGGGTGAGCTACACACCTGGTTCAAGCCCAGTCCCTCTCTTAGCTGAGTTTATTACTGAGTCCAGGGTTTAACTGCCTTTGTGCTTCAGGTTCTCATCTGTGATGGAGGTGGTAGCAGCGCCCACCCCACAGGGTCTCTGACACTGCCTGGCACCGCAGCGTGGGCCTCTGCAGCTTCCTCCTCAGTTCACTTACTCTGCCCCTGCTCTCATTTGACTTCTGAGTCTTTATTCAAGACCCATCACAGTCCCTTTTCTCTGAAAAGGCTTTCCCAAACTGTTTCAGGCCATGTCAGTCTTGTTTTCTGTCAGTTGTACAGCTCACTTTGTTGGCTTTATCAGGAATCACTGTTTCTGCCTCTTGCAGTTTATACAGCTCTTCCACAGAGCGAGACCTCCTGCTGCTTATGGTTCTGTCCATAGGTTTAATCTGTGGTTAGATCAGCAGCTCACCCACTGACCTCACCCTGGAAAGTTGGCTCTCAAGGACTCTGAGCCCTTCCTCTCTGCTGGGCCCTGTGCTGTAGCTGCTGCATCTCGTTTACTTCTCTTTTTTTCGTTCTTTCTTTTTCTTTTGGCTACTAAAAAACATTTATTTAGCCAGGCAGTTGTGGCACAACACCTTTAATCCCAGCACTCGGGAGGCAGAAGCAGGTGGATCTCTGAGTTTGAGGCTAGCCTGATCTACAGAATGAATTCCAGGACAGCCAGAGAAATTGTCTCAAAACAACAACAACAACAAAATATTTATTTATTTAGTGTATGTCTGTGCTAGTATGTATGTGACTTTCATGTGGAAACCGGAGTGCAACCTGTGAGACTCCCCCTTCCAACACACGGGTCTGGAAATGGAACTCGGGCTGTCAGGCTTAGCAGCTCTCATCTTTCTTTACTGAGCCACCTCCCTGGCCCTTTTTTCTTGACTTTCATTCCTATTTCTCTCTTGTCCTCCTCTTCCACAAGTTTAATAATCTCCTCTCTCTATATATTTTTTTCATGTGCCTAGCTGAGTCTCTCTCTGCCTTTAATTACTTCTCGGGGTTCCCCATTGGTCTTTGTTCTCAGTCTGTCTGTGTCCAGTCCCTCAGCTCCCCTGAGCGGTGTCACTTTCCTGGGTCATCTCTCCTGCAGACTGTGTACAGTGCCCTGGGCCTGAGGGATGTCTGCCGCTCCCTGCCCCAGTCCATCCAGCTTTTTCGGGACATTGCACAAGAGTTCTCTGATGACCTACACCACATTGCCAGCCTCATTGGCAAAGTGGTGAGTGGAAGAAAAGACAGACACCTGAGGAGGAAGGAGATGAGTGGAGTGGGATGGGGATAGAGAGAATGGGATGGGGATAGAGAGGGTGGGATGGGGATAGAGAGGGTGGGATGGGGATAGAGAGGGTGGGATGGGGATAGAGAGGGTGGGATGGGGATAGAGAGGGTGGGATGGGGATAGAGAGGATGGGATGGGGATAGAGAGGGTGGGATGGGGATAGAGAGGATGGGATGGGGATAGAGGGGGTGGGATGGGGATAGAGAGGATGGGATGGGGATAGAGAGGGTGGGATGGGGATAGAGGGGGTGGGATGGGGATAGAGGGGGTGGGATGGGGATAGAGAGGGGGTGGGATGGGGATAGGGTGGGATGGGGATAGAGAGGGGGTGGGATGGGGATAGAGAGGATGGGATGGGGATAGAGAGGGTGTGGGATGGGGATAGAGAGGGGGTGGGATGGGGATAGAGAGGATGGGATGGGGATAGAGAGGGTGGGATGGGGATAGAGGGGGTGGGATGGGGATAGAGAGGGGGTGGGATGGGGATAGGGTGGGATGGGGATAGAGAGGGGGTGGGATGGGGATAGAGAGGATGGGATGGGGATAGAGAGGGTGTGGGATGGGGATAGAGAGGGGGTGGGATGGGGATAGAGAGGGGGTGGGATGGGGATAGAGGGGGTGGGATGGGGATAGAGAGGGTGGGATGGGGATAGAGGGTCTGTGGTGTGGGAGGTGGGGAAGCTTGAGAGATGCTGGGGTTAACAGGGTGGGGAGAAAGAGTGTGTGAAGATTAGGGTTAAAGAAGTGGGGGCTGAGGGCAGGACAGAGAAAGGGTGCTGAGTGCTAAGACACTGAACTTACCATCTGTCTCCTCAGGTGGATTTTGAGGAAAGTCTTGCTGAAAATCGCTTCACAGTCCTCCCCAACATCGATCCGGAAATAGATGCAAGTGAGTCCTGGGCATGGGGTAGCCCTGGTGGTCCCTCCAGCCAGCCAGTGCGTCCATCTTGGCACCAGACACCATAACTTGGAAGCATCTTTCCAAACAGAGCAAAGATCTTTCTTTGTTGTTGTTGTGTCTGAGACAGTCTCCTGTAGCATAGGCTAGCTTCAAACTCCATAAGTGGCTAAGGATGACCTCAAAGTCCTGATCGTCCTGTTTCCACCTCTGGAATGGTTGGGTTACAGGCATGTACCATCATGCCCAGCCAATCAGGACTCTTTCATGTGGCCAGGGTTGGCCTTGAACCCCTAATCTTCCTGGACCTTACCTGTTATATGCATGTAATTGTCTACACACCTAGAAAAACGGAGGCTGACGGGCCTCCCAAGTTTCCTCACTGAAGTTGCACAGAAGGAACTGGAGAATCTGGACACTCGCATTCCTTCATGTAGTGTCATCTACATCCCTCTGGTGAGCAGGGGAGAGGGCAGAGCCTCTAGGGGGCTGTGACGAAATAAATGGTGCCTCTGACGGTTGCAGGGGAGCAAGGAAGTAGCACCCATGCAGCCAGCCAGATCAGCACTCTGGGGACACGAACACCTTTGGTGATTCTCTCTCTCTGAGGGGGTGTCTGGGCTCCCTCTGGGAAGAGAGCTGGCAGCTCACACTACCCCTCACCCCCATCCTCCTAACCCCCACATCTTCCCCTCACCCCTCCACCGCCCACCCCATCCCCCCCGCTCTCTCTTCTCTCCCCAGATAGGCTTCCTTCTCTCCATCCCCCGCTTGCCTTCTATGGTGGAGGCCAGTGACTTTGAGATTGAGGGACTAGACTTCATGGTAAATCTTTGGACCTCCTGATGCTGGGGGTTGGGGGAGGAGTGTGAAAAAGAATTGATAAGAAGCTGGAAGACTTCACCATCAGCACTGACCAAAGTCTGGGGTCATGTCTAGCTTAACCAGAGCTGAGACAGAGAAGTTAGGGTGGGGCACCGGGGCAGGAGAGGGAGACCAAGAGATGAAAAACCTCTGGGCATGGTGGTGCACAAATGTTATTCCAGTATGTGGGAGATAGAGGCAGGGGGAATCTCTGTGAGTTCCAGGCCAGCCAGGACTACGTAATGAAATTGTGTCACAAAACAAAAACAAAAGTCTAGAGCTTGGAATCCTTGCACCCAGTTTCTCTCAGAGGACAAGCTGCACTACCGTAGCACTCGAACCAAGGAGCTGGATGCATTGCTGGGGGACCTGCACTGCGAGATCCGCGGTGAGGAGCCCTTGGCTGGTGGGAGTGGGCAGCTCTAACAACAGTCTGCTCTCAGGCTATGACTATTCCCTTCTGAATGGCTGTGGGAGGGTCACACTGCATGTGTATGCCTGCTTCCGGATCTTTCCAGAGACCTCTATTCCTCTCCTTCACTCTCAGGGAACTGACCCTAGCTCCTTTCCCAGACCAGGAGACTCTGCTGATGTATCAGCTGCAGTGTCAGGTGCTGTCACGGGCTTCTGTCCTGACTCGGGTGTTGGACCTTGCCTCCCGCCTTGATGTCCTGCTGGCTCTTGCCAGTGCTGCCCGGGACTATGGCTATTCAAGACCCCGTTACTCTCCCCGAATCCATGGAGTGCGGGTCAAGAATGGCAGGTGAGAATAGACAGATACAAGAGGCCCACAAGTTCCATCTTCCAGTGTGGGTTCATCCACCTGGATCCATAGACTATGCAGTGTGTCCTCCCCCACCACAGGCACCCTCTGATGGAACTGTGTGCACGAACCTTTGTGCCCAACTCCACTGACTGTGGTGGGGTCCAAGGGAGAGTCAAAGTCATCACTGGACCCAACTCCTCAGGGAAAAGCATATACCTCAAACAGGTGAGGGGCCATACAACCTAGGTCCCTGTATCTCCTCCATCTCCTCTTCTCCCTACAGCCTGTGTCCTTCATCTCTGAGAACTAGAGAGCCAATTCTTCAGGACAGACCTTTTCATGGCCATAGGCCCCTTGGCCAACCTCTGAAGAGGCCCCATGCCATTCCCTAGCACGTCTTTACCCACAATCCTGACTTAATTCTGAAGTCAGGACACAGGGGACATTGCTCTTCTGAGACACTGTGCCCTCTCTTAATCAGCCATTCATGTCTTTAGTTGAGACCCATTTTTACTTTGCCCATAGCACCAGGCCCATGTCCTGTCTCCTCCTACACCCAGGTAGGCTTGATCACGTTCATGGCCCTGGTGGGCAGCTTTGTGCCAGCAGAAGAGGCTGAAATTGGGGTAATCGATGCCATCTTCACCCGAATTCATAGCTGCGAATCCATCTCCCTCGGTCTCTCCTCCTTCATGATTGATCTCAACCAGGTTAAAGGGAGCAAAAGGGGGTGGGGGAGGGGAGGGATAATCAAGTAGAAACTGTGCCCCTGCCCTTGGGAACACATTCCCTCAGCTGCATGTCCTCTGTACTTGGAGCCAGGGAGCACCCAGGTCAGAGTCTGGGGGAAGCAACACCATAAACATTCCTGGAGACTCCTTTGTGTGACTCCCTCACTGCTGACAAATGAAGGCTGAGCAGATAAGAGTGTGGTTATTAAAAAGCTTTAGGAGATAGACATGTGCAAAGAATTTATTCATGGTGACACATCAGAAGCCCTGAATGCTAAGGAAACTCCCTTGTTCACTTCATGCCCAGCAGGTGGCGAAAGCAGTGAATAATGCCACAGAGCAGTCTCTGGTCCTTATCGATGAATTTGGGAAGGGAACCAACACGGTGAGGAGGCAAACGAAATGATGAGAGGGGAACTGAGGATGAAGGGACAGGAGCAGGAGACTGAGCTCAGAGGGAATGGGGATCGTGGGCAGAGATGGGGGCAGCTACAGAAGGGCCCAGGTGCACTGGCTCTGTCCCTCACCTGTGCTCTCTGGCAGGTGGACGGGCTGGCACTCCTGGCTGCTGTGCTTCGACACTGGCTAGCGCTGGGACCCAGCTGCCCCCACATCTTTGTGGCCACCAACTTCCTGAGCCTTGTTCAGCTGCAGCTGCTGCCACAAGGACCCCTGGTGCAGTATCTGGTGAGGAAGTCACTCTAGCCCATGGCCTTTCCCCTTCTCAGTCGCAGGGGAGCCCCACACTGTCACTGTTTGTTCTTTTAAGACCATGGAGACCTGTGAGGATGGGGACGACCTTGTCTTCTTCTACCAGCTTTGCCAAGGTGTTGCCAGTGCCAGCCATGCCTCCTACACAGCTGCCCAGGCGGGGCTTCCTGACCAGCTCATTGCTCGTGGCAAAGAGGTGATGAGGGTGTCGTGTGTGCAGCCACCTCCACCTCGGGGCTCCCTTCTAGCACACCTGCTCCTCTTCAAGCGGGTTGTTTTTAAGATTTATGTATCTGGCTGGGCAGTGGTGGCACACACCTTTAATCCCAGCACCCAGGCAGCAAAGGAAGGCAGATCTCTGTGAACTCAAGGCCAGCCTGGTCTACAAAGAGAGTTCCAGGACAGTTGCTCTACACAGAGAAACCCTGTCTCAAAAATATATATATATTTGTCTGTACAATGTATATATATTTGTCTGTTTTGTACAGGTAAGTGTTTCCCCTGCATTTGTGTCTGTGCCGAGTGCCTGTGGCAGCCAGAAGAGAGCGTCAGATCTCAGGGATCTGGAATAGATGATTGTGAGCTGCCATATGGGTGCTAGCTATTGAGCCTAGCTCTTCTGCGAGAGTGCTGCTCAGTGTTCTTAACCACTGAGCCATCTCTGCACCCCATGCCTGTTCCTGAAGACCTGGACTTGTAGTCACAGGAGTCCTGACCCCCATTTCCCCTCTTCCTGCCAGCCCCACCAGCTCTCCTGCCTTCCTTTCTGTGCTAGGTCTCAGACCTGATCCGCAATGGGAAACCCATCAGACCCGTGAATGAGCTTCTGAGGAGGAAGCAGGTGGAGAAGTAAGTGTTGCTCCTTCCCCAACACCTCCCTCCACAGGACCCCTCAGCCAGCTTTCCTGCAGCCCTGTGCCCTTCCCCTCACCAAGCCAGGTGTGGTGCCACATGTCTATAATCCCAGTGTTTAAGGCCAGCCTGAGCTACATAGCAGAAGATAACAAAACTGGCACAGTATCCATGGTTGCTTTCTGAAACCCTTGGCTTTTCAAGGCTGGGTTTTCCTGTGCACAGACCCCCAAACTGCATGGTTCTTTCTCCCCTGCAGTTGCCAGGCACTGGTGGCTAAGTTTCTGAAACTGGATTTGGAAGATCCCACCCTGGACCTGGGCATTTTCATGAGTCAGGAAGTGCTGCCAGCTGCCACCACCATCCTTTGAGAGCCCTTTCTTCACCCTCTCAGCTACCAGACACCTGAGACCACCATGCCCGCTCCCTTTCTTCTTTAGATGCAGAGTTCTCAGCCTGCACATTTTGTTTTGTATTAGGAATAAAGTTTATTTTGGATCAGAATCTTTCCAAGGGTCATCCAATAGGACACTGGGGGAGCTGGGACAGGGAGTAGTCCTTCAGAAATTCGGTGACACTTGGGTGGGTAAGCTAAGGGGTTAGCAGAAGTAGATTTGGTTCCAGGCACCACATGGTGGTTCACATCCATCTGCAACTCCAATTCTAAGGGATCCAACACCCCTTCTGGTCTCCATGGGCTCTGGGACACATGTGATGCACAGAAACTCATACACACACATACACATACAGTCAGTCAGGTATGGTGCTGCATGCCTTTAATCCCAGGACTGGGGAGGCAGAATCAGGCAGATCTTTGCATTTGAGGCCAGCCTGGTCTATATAATGAGTTTCAGTCCAACTAGGCTACATAGGAAGACCTTGTCTCATAGAAGTAAATAAAGTTAAAAAAAAAATTTCAGAATCTGCTCTTGGGACTCAATGAGGACAACTACTTCAGAGAGGCTCTACACAGATTGAAGGATGACACAGTTCAGGGGAGGACTCAGAGGCTGAAAGACAGGCAGGATGGGTAGAAGGCAGGGCTTGGGGAGGGACCAGTCCTGGCTCCACCCTTCCTACTTCAGAGTCATGGGGAGTCCAGGTCCTGGTAGGCCACCCCTGGTGCAAGCACCCTACACTGTTCTGCTGCTACCACTGGGAACAAGCCGCCAAGACCCTGGGGCCCAGAGCTTCTTCCTCTGGGTGAGTACAGACCAACAGATATTGGGACGCCCCCCCATCTGCCCTTGATCTATTCCACTCAACTCTGGGGACCCACAAGCTTTCCCTCTGTGTCCCCTTGCCACCCAAGTCCTCAACGGCCAGTCCAAGCTCACACTTAATGTGACCATGTCCAGAGAGAGCACTTTATGAGTGTGGGTCCTGCTAGGAGTGAGACTTTTGTCCTGTTTGTCTAAGCTGCAGATGATGCAGGCTCTGGAAAGGGAACAAGATGCTCTGTGGCAAGGCCTGGAGCTGCTGGAGCATGGCCAAGCGTGGTTTGCGGACCATCTGAGGGAGGCACAGCAACGACAGTTGCATCTGGGGGCCCTTGGTGAGGTAGGGAGCTGGACCCAGCAGAGTCTGCTCTGGAGAGCGGAGGGTTAACGGGCATCGATCATGGAGTGAAACAGCATTGGAATGACAGGCTGCCACCAGTGTTCAGCCCGTGTTCATTGTTGGGCTGGAAGAAGTGGTCTGCATTCCATTTGATCACAGGGTGGGGAGTGGCTTGGGTAGCTCTCACAGGGTAGGGATGGACAGGGAGGACGCAAAAGGAACAAGGGTGGGGTGGGACCATGCAGTTTGAAGGGAATTGCAATGTTAAGAGACAGAGGTGGAGAGGACTGATTTTCCCACCCATCTGGAAGGGTTCTGGAATGAGGGAATCAGGATAAGGAGAGTGGCCTGTGGTGAAGTAGTAGCAGGTGGATGTGTTTCCAGCACAATGTCACCCTCCAACCCCCCAGGATTTTCTAATGAACTTAGACTCAGAGGCTGACTCCCCACAGCTAACCCAGATCCAAAAGGTGAACGCCTGTTTGAGCAGTCTGATTCAGATGGTGAGCTTGTTGTTTTAATGTATAGACTTTGGGGAGGTGGGGGAGGTCCCACTTAGTTATCTTCCCCATATCCACTGGCAAGGCTGGTTCCTGCATGGTCCAGGGCCTGAAGGAATGCCAAGGGATGAGAATTTGTGGTAGCAATGGGTAAACTGAAGGGTATGACAGACCCTGGCTCTACATGGTGGGAAGCAGGTGCCAATCTGATTCTCTCTCTTCTAGGAGTTGTCAAAGCAGCATAAAGAAGTCACCCAGTCCAAGGGAGAGGTGTCTCAGCCAGGCTGCCCCCAGGGGCACAGGGGCCCTACCCGTGTGTGATCCCTCCCCCATCCCAATACTGCTGAATTAGGAACAGAGTTGGGAGAGACCCCACATGCTTTATCTTGACCCAGCAGCCAGTAGCTCTGGCTGTGTGTCAAAGAAATTCAGACACCTTGGTATAAAGTGTACTGGAAACTCCTAAAAGTGTCCACTGCATCTTCTGGACGTTCCTACCCTCACTCTGCCCCATGCCATGTGCAAAACCACTTTCTTCAGTGTCTGGGAGAAGCCGCCCTGGGATCTAAAGTGAAAACTGTGCTTGCTGGTGCCCTGCCCTCCTTCTGTAATAAAAAAGCAACTTCCAAAAGCCAAACAAACAAACAAACAAAAAAAGAATTTTGTTTGGTTCCTGTTTGGGTTAGGAAAAGCACCTCATGGGAAAGCCATCACCATCTGTCCTAGTCTCTAGGGTTTGTTTGGTTGATGATGTTTTTGAAATAGGGTCTCATAGCTCAGGCTGGCCTGAGATAGCAGCAGCCATCCTACCTCTGCCTCCCTGTTTACAGGGACTACAGGTATGGACCACCATGCCAGTCTACTCCTTTAAGAAAGATAGGGGAGCCGGGCAGTGGAGGTGGCACACACCTTTAATCCCAGCACTCAGGAAGCAGAGGCTGGCAGATTTCTGAGTTCCAAGACTGCCAGGGCTACACAGTGAAACCCTATCTTGGAAAAAAGAAGAAAGGTAAGGGTCAACTGTGACAGAAGAAAAATCCCCAATCCAGTTGGGAGGGGCAGGGCCCTGAAGCCATGTGACCATCCCACCTAGAGGGCAGACTAAAACTGGTACCGAAAAGAGTCCTGTCCCTGTGGAGCTGCTGTGTTATCAGGAAGAACAACCTAGCAGGAACAGCACCCCTGCGATTGTTCCCCACCACGATGTACTGACCATCCCTCCCCCAGCTCTGCCCCGAATCACCAAAGTAGAAGGAAGCAAGGTAGAGGTGGCTGGAGGGAGCACACGGCCAGCAGAGTGGGCAGGGCTCTCCAGCTGATCCTGCAGAGAAGAGGGGAAATTAAAGTGTGCCATGCTTTGGCAGCTAAGAGGAAAAGTAGAGGCACCTTACCTGTGAGGACTGGGCCAGCACCAGGAGCCGGAGGAAGGCATGGGTGGGGGGTACTGGGCTGGCTCCTTGACTCACTGCAGTCACAGTCACCATTACCACACTGTCAGGGGCTGCTGAATCTGGGACCTCCAGCCACAGACGTCCCCAGGCAGATTCATTCAGTCCCAGGTGAGCCCTGCAGAGTGGACAAAAGGCTCTTAGTAGGCTACAGCCAAGGGGTAGAGCCAAGCATAGGACAGGGTTGAGGGATGAGGGTGAAGAGGCTGGGGCATGGGATGAGACTTTGAGCCCCAGCCTGTAGAACTGACTGAATGGAGCCAGAATCCAAGCAAAGGTGCAAACCAGAAGCTCACCGGGAGAGGTTGGAGGTGAGGGGGAAGCTAGGGTTGACAGACGTCCTAAGATCAAGATCCTGGGGGCCAGAGAAGCTGGCGATGTGCAGGCTGAGAGGGGCCTTGCTGCCTGGGGCCAAGGAACCTGGTGGGCCACTGAGCTGCAGGGAAGAGCAGGTTAGGACAGTTGGTTCTAGTCCCCCCAGCCCTGCCCACACTTCTCCTTACCTCTAGAAGCACAGGAGCCACAGTGCAAGGCTGGGGGGCAGTCCTGCGCAAGTCCTGGCCCCCTCCATCCTGGCCAGCAAGCTCCAGGGAGAAAGGTGCCCCAGTAGACAGCAGTGTGGGAGGCAGGGAGGCAGCAAAGAGACCTCGCTCAAGGGGTCCCACAGGCTCCAAGGGTACCCGGCCCAGATGAGTGCCCTCTGGGACCCTTCGAAGGACAACATGGGAAAAATGTGGCTGGCCATCCTCAGGGTTCTGTCTAGAGACCAGCCCCGTCACTTCTACAAGCAGCTGGGTCTGCAGACCTGAGGTAGGAGGGAAGGGCAGTGATCTAAATGAGATTGAAGGAGGTGCAGGGGAAAAGGAATGAGTTGGAGGGGTTCATGTGAGGGTGTCACCTGAAGTCTACTGAGCTGGACTCCCATTCATGTTCTTTACTCATCACACAAGACATGAACACATATGTATTCACTTACACACGCTCACACATACACGTGAGTGAACTGAGAGGCACAGGTCATGGAAGTTTACACTACCTGCAACTGGCTGAGTCATGGGATAGAGGCCAGGGTGGGGTCCCTCCTCCAAAGGGATCCCGAAGTGAAAGAGGAAGTCCAGGGAAGTCTGGGCTGCGAAAGGAGGCAGTCAGACACTGAGAGGACCATGGTTGTCATGGGCAGCACACCCCTTCCCAGGAACCTTCGCTCCTTACCTTGTACTCTTACTCGGGGAGTTCCCTCAGCTGCTACCTGCATCTCCCAAGACCCTGTCTGAGGGGGGTCAGTCATGGTCACTGTCCAGAACTGTCCAAATCGACGGGTGTGACCCAGAGGACCTAAGCCTTCCTCTGGGCCCTGTAACACTCCTGGGATGGGGACAAGAGGCCTGTCACATGAAACTGTTCTTGCCTGTGCAGTCCCCTTGTTCTACACTCTTGATTTCCCTGTCTGCCTGGAGCCCCTCATCATAGTACCTGCAGGGCTCTTGATCCAGAAGCCACTGATGTCCCCGTGCATCCTGACTGTGACCTGCCGGAGCAGTCTGTCCACAGTAAACACACAAGTCTCCCCAGGGACAGAGACAGGAGGCTCCAGGGGAAGAGTCACCTGGATATATGAGCAGGACCAAAGTAGAGGAGAGAGGAAGGCATGGACTGAGGAGGGACAAAGGCAAAGAGGGAGATGGAGAGGTTTGCCCTCACCCAGGGAGAGGGCAATGCTACTGTGCTTGGTTACACAATTGGAGGTGAGGAATTCAGAGTGAGGCCAGCAATTCTTGTTCCCCCTTCAAAGATGAGGAACGGCTGGGCGTGGTGGCACAGGGTTTTAATCCCAGCACTCAGAATGCAGAGGCAGGTGGGTCTCTGTGAGTTCCAGTTCAAGGCCAATCTGGTCCGCACAGTGAGCCATGGGCCAGGTCAGCCAGGACTACATAGTGAGACCTTGTCTCAAAAACAAAACAACATAAATATTTCTTGTCTCAGCCTTGGAGACCAAGGTGGAGGGCAGGAGGGCAGTTATTTGCATGAAAGACAAGCTGGAAGGTGAGAGGTCATGGATCTGGTGGGGTGGGGGGGTGGGGGTGGGGGGGAGGATGGGGACATGTGACAATGACAAATTCCCTCCTTGACCTTCTGTCAGAACCCTTTCTCTAGGAAGACATGCAGCACCTCAGACTCAGATCTGTATTCACTCACCAGACCAGTCATGCTCTCCCCAACAATGGCTGCCACATCCTGAATGTGCTGGTCTTTGGTGAAGATCACCTCTCCTCCTGATGCCAAGGCTATTGCTTCATATGGTTCAAAACGCAAGGGAGACAAGGCCTCTCGCCTCACTCGCCCCTGAAGCCTCGATGGGTCTTCAGTCACTAGGAATGTCACCTGTGGCCAAATGGCAATGCAATGCTTGCTGCATCCAAGCAGCATGCAGTGTAAATGAGCCCTATTTTCTCCAGAGCTGTCTTCCGCCTGGCTGACGCTGTGGGTGGGGCCTCCCAGTGACACAGCCCTTGGGAGAACCAGTCTGGTTGGCCCATTTCCCAGTTTGTTTTCAATTCTGTTTTAATATTGCAATTTACTTTTTCTTGTGTGTGGTGTTGGAGATTGAGCCCAGGGCCTCAAGGTAAACACCACCGAGCTACAGCCACCTTTGTTTGCCCATTGTAGAGGGCGCAAGGTTCTTATACTGACAGCTAAGCACTAGGGAAACCAGGAATGCTAAACACTCAGGGTTGTCTCTTCAACCGTCGAGATGTTTGTATATCTGCCTGGAAAGTGGGAGTGATGTAGTTAATAGCCTGGTGATGCGTGCTACCTGTAGGGCCAGGCCTTTTGAGTCACCCAGACTATTATGTTTATCTCACGCTCCTCCTCCCGAGACCTTTATCCTGAGCACTGTTTCTCAGTCAATAGAACCATCCTCATGGAAAAGGGCATATGTACTTTGCAGTTTTATTGTGATAATTGTTACCAGTAAACTTTTTTCCAAGGTTGTACTGTACATAAATATGCCTAAAGTAAACTGCCCAGGGTCAAACTCTAGAAGTTTGAACCAACCCTGGCTACCTTCTTGCCTCGGGTAGATAGTTTCTCTGCTGGCCCTAGTGTCTGCAGAGACCACACAGCCCAGCTCTTTGAAAGGTTTATTGGGCCTGTTCAATATGAACAGTTCATGGACCTCCACTCTGGAGTTCGTTTGGGTTTGGGGCAACCTCACATAAGACCAACGTCTTTGCCGTCCTGTCTGCGTCATGCTCACCCTGCAGCGCCTTTCCCGAGTCAGGGATTCTACCCGGTTGGTGAGAAAGGCATCCTTGGGGGAGGCATCAGTGAAGACAAAGATGTCTGAGAGGGGTGGTGTGTGCAGCAGGGCTAGCTGATAAGGAAGAAAAGGCTGATGTTAAAAACGGTGACAGAGGGGAGTGGGTGAAACCAGGGAGGGCAAAGCGCCCAGGACCCTGGCAGGAAGCTGTGGAACCAGGAGCTTGGGAAAACTGGGGAGAGGGTGTCTATCTTTGGCTCCCCCCTGGTGGCAGGGCCTGGAAGGGCAGAATAAGAGGGAAAGGGAGGGGTAGGGAAGGGAGCCATCAGACCTCCAGGGCAGACAGGCACATCTCAGGCTCATCTCCACCCCCCAAGGCATGGATCTCGTTGAGTTTCTGCCAGAAGCTGTCTGGGTCACTGGTTGTAAAGACAGGGCCAAATCCTGGGCAGGGGGAAGGAAGGTCAGATGAGTGAGGGAGATGTGAGCTTACCAACGTGGGCACCCAAACCCAAGCCCTCCACAAGAGTAGCAAATGCTCTTAACTGCTGAACCATTTCTCCAGCCCCACTTTTAAAATTTAACGAGAGAATGTAGTAGTTCTCACCTGGGAGGCTCATTGGGAGAACTGAGTGAGTTGGTGAATTTGCAAACCTTACGTACTAACATAGTGTCTATTCATGCCTCCACGAAGCATGGGGTAAGTCACACACCATAAGATAAATCAGACTCAAGCCTCCTCCTGAAGGAATTCTCCGTCCAGGAGGATACACCAGGTAGGGGCCCGTTTTAGATGATAAAACAAAGAAAGATTAGCTGGCCAGCCCAAGGTGCTGGTAGTTGGGAGTAGGACTAACAATTCCAGCCTCCCCACTGAACAGAAACATCTTCACCCTCATCTCTAAGGCCCAGAGAAGATGACTCAGCAGGTAAGAGTGCTTATTGTCACTGCTGTACAGACCAACATGCAGGCAAAACAGCTGCTCACATTTTGTAAGCAAAACAAACAAACAAAACCACCCAAAAGATGCCTAAGTACAGAGACCTAAGGAAGGGAGAGGCACCTGCCTAAACAGGCATTTCAGAGAGCAGCAGCAGCTGGTTTTCTTCTACAGACACAAGTACCCAGCAGAGGTCCCCTCATGACACAACTCTTTAGAGACCTCTAACCTCTGCCCTGGGCTGTCCTTCCCTCCATCGCTGCAGTTAAATGCTACCTGGGTCATGGAAAGGCACCAGGACGTAGAAAATGGGCTCCATGGGGCTGCCTTGCCGCTGCTCCACAATGCGGCGAGCCTGGATCTTGGCTGCATTGATCTCCTCGCCCATACTGCCTGTGGTATCCAGGACAAAGCTCAGGCTGGAGGCTGGCGTGATGTCCAGTAGCCTGTGGTCCAAGTCAGAGACACAGTGAAGGTCACCAGTGCCCAGTTCCTCAGTTCCCTCAGGGGCACTGGCCTGTCTCCAGGAGACCACGCACCTGGAGAAGCCCCTGTCTCCTAGACGGCTTCGCAGGAGGCTGAAGGCCTGGACAGAGGCTAGGAGGGCCACTTCTACAGCCTGGAGGTGTAGCATGTGGTGTGGCGAGAAGCTTGGAGATGTGCTGTCCTTGTTGATGCCTCCGAGAGGTGGCTGTGAGCTACTCTGGTCAAAATGGCCCCCATGGCTACATTTCCCTGGGTTGAGGAAAGAGGATCAAAGTCCACTGCGTACTGAAGACTATGGGGTCCTTTCTGACAAGGCCTTCTCACGCTCAGCAAGGGAGCATCAGGAAATAGTGACATTTTGTGTAAACCAAGAGGGGTCAGATTTCTCTCTCTCCAAATCCAGTCCATCCGGAGCACTACCTAGGCAACACAGAATGACTGGGGCTCCTCAGACATTTTTATCCACCAATCCTGTTCATATTTCTATACCCTCTCCCAAGGAGACACAACCAGGGTCCTCTGTTAAACACAAAGGAAGTGACTGTCTCTTCTTCCTTCTGGTACCTTGAGGTTTGGGGGGATGCATTCCAAAGTAGCCAGAGGTGAGCAGTGTGAAGTCCAGCATATTCCCAGGGCAGCTCAGTTCCTCACAGTCAGAGCAAGTAGGATCCCCAACTGGGAACAGAAGGCAGGGAGCTGTAACCTAAGCCTCAGTCAGCCTCATTTTATCCCTGGTTACCTGGTTACCTAGTGTCTTCCTCTCAGCTGGAAAGACAGAGAAGACCGTGGCCAGGCTTTCTGCATAGATCCCGGCACGGCTCAGCATTTGCATGGTTGTGATTGGAGCTGGTGTATAAAACCCAGAAGTGTGGATACCAATCCTATGGGGCTTCTGCTCTCTGTGAGCTAGACCCAGGGATTTGGGAGTATGGGGAGCTTTGAGAGAAGGCCATGGAGCTGGCATGGTGGGCAGAACAAGCCACAGGAAATACTGCTATGAGGTCTGAGAGCTGATCTACGATCCTGGATGTTTTCCCTGTGTGATACTGAGAAAGCCCCTGAGCTGTCCTTGCATGGATAAAGCAACATCACATCCTACGAGACAGGCAGGGATGGTGCACTGAGAAGAGGGGCTCCCTAGCTCCCACCTCCTCCACACAGGGTCATGGCCATACCTTGTGCCAGGCTCCAGAGCTCCGGCCTTGGCCAGAGGAGGTGAGGGTGTGGTTGCCGCTCCCCCAGCTCCACCCAGTTGCTGTGGCTATAGAAGTCCTGGTCCCCGGGAGAGAGAGAAGGGGAAAAGGCATTAATCTGATCTAGTCAGGATCAACACCCTGACCTGTCCCCACCCAGAAAGTATTCCAACCATGTCTCCTGTTTACTGTCCCCCACTTCTGCTCTTGCTTTGCCCATATGGCAAAGGCTTTTGTCACAGGCTTTTCTGTCTTGAAGTCTACACCAAGGGCTTTCTAGTGGCCCCTAAAATAAGCTAACACCCCCCACCTCCATGTCTTCCTCTCCCTCTCTCTCATCTGTAGCCACTCCTGCAGGACACAGGACATGCCAGCTCAGGCAGGGTGTGCCCCACCACCCCGAGAAGGGCAGACAGGCTACAAAGGTAGTCAGTCACCTGCAGGGCATGAAGTACAGCTCCTAGGCGCTGTCGGGCCAGCGTGTACTCAAAGGCTCTGGCGGCCACCAGGGTCTCCCGCAGAGCCCCCACCAGGAGTGTGCGCCCCTGGACCAGCCGTTCAGCATCAAAGTGCAGGTCAGGATTGTTCCTGGAAGCTGGCAGGAAGTCTTGGGCTGCATTGGCTCGAGACACCTCTCCTAAAGCTGCTCTGAACCGCCGAGAAGGCAACCCAGGTCCAAAGTAGGCAGCAAAGATGTCATCGGCAAGGAGGGTCCGGCCCTAGCAAGAGTGGCGAGGAACAGGGACTGCAGAGAAGTCCCTTGGCTTCTGTCACTGCCTGAATGACCTTAGCAACTGGCACCCAAGGCTGGGTGTGAACAGAATGGAGGATAAGGAGCCCACTAGGGAGGGTCAGATCTACACTGTTCTCTATGTAGTCCTGGCTGATGGCTGGCGTGGCACTATGTAACTAGCCCAGGCTGGCCTTAAACAGTTCTGAAGTGCTGGGAGCCACCACATGCAGTTAGGTATAGATGGCTTTCAGGTGGTGGTGTTACAGGGGGGGGGGGGAGCGCGGAAGTGAGCAGGTGGAAGGTGATTGAGCCTCCCTGTCCACCAGGACCTTCTGAGGATCTAAGGGGTGAGAGGATCCACGAATGCTCACCTTGTAGTCCTCCATACGAAGGTGTGGCCTTCCTGGAGGTGGCCTTTCCAGAAAGAGCTGGAGGGTGACATTGAGTGCAGCCTCCTCAGTCAGGTCTTGGTGAGTAACAGAACCCGGGGCAGCCAGGAGGCTCCAAATGTTGGGAAAGAAGGCAGATGTTGTGGGCAGCAGCAGCTGAAGTAGAAGCATTATTGAGGCATCCAGGGGGGACAGGGATACCTCCACAGGGCACATGGCTGAGGCATGAACCTAGGGAACAGAAGGATCTCAAGGGAGATGCCACCATCCCAGGGTAAGCCTTGCTGTCTCTATGGCACCTGCTGTCCACTTCCTGCTTTACCTCAGGTACACCTACTCTAGCCAGGCTCCTGCACCCTGAACCTGCAACCCATACAACTCAAGGGCCTATCAGGCCAATAGAGCAGACATCTGCCATCAGGGGGTGGGGTGGGGTTTGGAGGCTCCTCAGGATTCTCTTCCTACACCAGGCTGAGCCCCAGCCCCACCCCATGAACCACAAAGTCCCCTCAGGCCTTGCCTACCTGGTTGCTGAGTCTCCTGCGCAGCACTGACCCGGTGCGGCGTCACAGGGCACTTAGGTCAGAGTTATAATTAACTGGCCTCGGTAGAGCGGGAGGCCCTTAGCGAGGGTTGAGGACAGGCAGCCCCAGGCCCTCTTCCATTCATACCAACCCAGGGCCACAAGATGCAGTGGAAGCCAGGGCGGGGCCAGGGCGGGTTTCAGTGGCACAGCACTGTGCGAGGTGAGCTAGGGAGGAAGGGAGCCAGCAGCTAAGCAGCATGACTCAGGCCTGGCACTGTGCCAGAGACAGACCCAGACAGACGCGCGTCCCTTTACCCACTAGGACCCAGAGCCTGGCTGCTAGCCGGCAACCCTCCTGCTGCACACACTAACACCACACATCTGGACCCTTCCCACCCCCATCACACATAGACAAGAACAATCTTTTGACAAAATATTTTATTGCTGTCATCCCTGCTGGTGGACCACTGGGGGCTTTGAGAGTTGGTGTTGGGGGTCACAGCATCTTCTGGAACAGGGCAATGGCCTCATCCACCTTCCTGAGCTCTGCCTCTGTCTGTTGCAACTGGGGATGCAAAAAGGGTATGTGGTGAGGACCCTTGCCCAAGGAGACCCAAATACCCAAGACACAGGGAAGCCCAAGTCCGTAAGATGAGTGAGGACCACAGGGAGGTCAGGGTAGTATGGTTGCAGGTATACCCCACACTTCCATCATCCCTGCCTCCACTCCTTTCCCTGAGTGGCCAGTGCCCAGCGAAGGGCCTCAGGTCACACAACCTGCCTGGCCACATACTACCCTCTTCACTGTGAGACGAAAAGGTCACTTCACTCAGAGGGCCTGAGAGTAAGCCCTCAGCTGCAGCTGGTGGGTGCTCTCAAGTGCTGGGCCTCCCTGGAAGACCTTAGAGGCAAGGGTATTCCGGGATTCCACACCAGGAGATGAGCCTGACTTTCTGGGTCAACCCAGGGAGTTAAGCAAGGGGCAGGCAAAACCTAAAAGTCCTGACTGCAGCATGGGGTACCAGAGTCCTAGCAGCTGGGCTGGATGAGAACAGGGTCTGACAGAGGAAGCTGATGTTAGGGTACCCCCCCACACACACACCTTTGCCTCATCTGCCTCTTGGACCTCAAGGGGCACCTTTGCTGAGTACCCTGAGGCAGCACGGCGCTCCTGCAGCCGCTGGGCCTGGCGCTGCGCCTCACTTCGCTTGGCCTGCAGTTTGCCCAGCTCCCGGGCTGGGTCCACCAGCCCCTGCAGCTGCAGGTGGATGCAGCAGCGGTCCGAGGCCACAGCCACGGCACAGCCCTGTGGTGCAGGAGCCCCCAGGGCCAGGACAGCCACCACACCCGCACTGGCCAGCGCCTGCACGTAGCTGGACACTGCTGATGCCAAAGCACCTGTGGCCTCATCAGCCACTTCCAAGAAACCTGTGGAGGAGGGAGAAAAGTGAAGTCTGGCTACTCGGACTCTGGGCTCCCGAGGGGCTGAGGAAGACAGTGGGATAGGAGGACATAGGGCCTGAGGCTCACAGTCAGGCCTGGTCCGGGTCAGGTTGTAGTCAGCACGCAGGGAGCGCACAGCTCGAGTGATGCTCAGTGCCAGCTCCATAGCAGCTTCAGCCTCAGGGTCCTTCCAGGAGCACTGTGAGGAGGAGGGAGATGAGGAGGCTGCAGCATGCCCTACAGGAGCACTGTGAGGAGGGGCATGAGGGGATGAGGAGGCTGCAGCATGCCCTCCAGGCCACACCTCATACCTCTGAGGGCTCTGGGTAGGGGGTGATGCATAGGCTAGCAGGTGCTGCTGGTGTTCTCCGGGGAAGCCTCTGGAATAGCTCTTCTGTGACAAAGGGCATGAAGGGTGAGAGCAGCCGCAGGCCAACGTCCAGGCAGGTGTAGAGAGTCTGCCGGGCACATTCTGCTGCCACCTGGTCCACTCCATTCAGCACAGGTTTTAGGCACTCCTGGAGATGCGGAGGTACAGTGCTCAAGGTCAGGACTACCTGAGTCTTCACTGCACCTTGGAGAACTGGAGCTGCCAACAAATAGTCAGGATGAGGCTGGAGCCACAGTGCCTAAACCCCACCACTACTGCTTACCAAATAGACGTCACAGAGCTCATACAGCCAAAAGCTGTACTGGGCGGTGGTGATGGCCGGAAAATCATAGGCCTGGAAGCCTTCATTGCTGAGCCTCACGGCCTCAGTGAGTCTACTGCGGATCCAGCGGTCCACCAGGCTCTCATGCCCTTCAGGCTTGGGGGAAGAGGAATGTCAGCCAGTAGGCCACACATGCCCAGGGCAGGGAACCAGATCCCACAGGAATACACAGGGACCACCATGGAGTATGCATCCCAATGTCTGGGGAGAAAGGATAGGCCCAGCCCCTCGGTGAGAGCCCCAGTGCCTGTCAATCATCAGCCTGTCTGTCCCAGGCTACAAGGAGGATCCTCAGGGTCCTGGCACAGCAGGGACTACACTTGACACTCGAGGACTGGAGGTACAGCCTGTGTGGGTGCTGTCAACAAACTCAGCCAGCAGACTCTCACCTTGGAAGTGGGCAAGGGCACGAAGCTCTTCCCAAGGCCACGGAGGGCAAACTTTGTGGCATTCCAGAGTTTGTTGCAGAAGTGGCGGTACCCCAGGATCCTGTTCACATCCAGGTTGATGTCTCGACCTACACAAGAGGCCAGTGTGACTCCACTTTGTTCTCCATCCCAGAGAGGTCCTCTGCTGGCCCAAGGTGGAGGAGAGCATGGGTCTCGGTGAAGGAGACAGGCAACTGAGGAAGGATGGGAACCATACCTTGGGATGTGTAGGCACAGAGTCCAAAGCGCAGGGCATCAGTGCCACACTCAGGAATTCCTGCTGGGAAGTCAGCCTTCTGTATGATGCAGAGCAAACAGCATGGTCAGCCCTGCCCACCTGCTGCAGCCCTGCAGCCCCGCCCCTGCAGGTGCCCCCATACCTGCCCTTCTTTGGCTTTCTGCACCTCAGTGGGGTCCAGGTTGCTGTTCAGTAGTTGGTCATGGAGGCCCTGAGGGAAGAGACTTGAGCTTTCAGACTGTTCTGGCCATAGCCTCGTAGCCATTCCTGGCTGACTTGCTGAGTCCCACCTGCAAGGAGACCCCATGGATGACATCCAGGGGGTCGATGACATTGCCAAGAGACTTGCTCATCTTCCTGCCGTGGGCATCACGCACAATGGCATGGAGATAGACCTGGGGACATGCCGTGGAAAGAAAATGAGGCCATGATCCCTCCAGTCTGGGCCCTCACCAGGGTTCGTCCAGGAACCATAGGCCCTAGTGGCCCTACCCACCCAGTACCTCAATGTGCCCGAGAGATGCCCCTCCCCTGGGAAGGAGACACCATGGGCCAAGAACCAGAGTGAAACCCTCAGCCCTGGGCCAGACCAATGCTATTTCTAGCCAACAGCCACACAGGAAGGCAGGTGAGGAAGCACAGGTGAAGGTGGGGTGGGGGCATCTTAGCCATCTTCACACCTCTCTGAACGGCAGCCTGCCCGTGAGTTTCAGGCCAAGCATGACCATCCGGGCCACCCAGAAGAAGAGGATGTCATGGCCTGTCTCCAGCAGGGTCCCAGGGTAGAACACACTAAGGTCTTCTGACTGAGGAAAGATGAGGGTGTGGAGATGAACCAAGCATTCCCTTTCAAAGCCCCCTCCCTCTTTGCTCAAGGTACACACCTGATTGGGCCAACCAAAGATGGAGAAGGGAAAGAGACCAGATGAGAACCAGGTGTCCAATACATCCTCATCTAGAAGAAACCAAAGGTCAGAGGTTAGAGGGATGGGAAAACAGGCCCAGGATCCCAAGTGTGGCCCCACACTCCGTGGCCACTGCCTGCCTTGCTGAAGGCTGATCTTGTCAGGGGACACTCCAAACTCCCGCGCTGCCTTCTCTCTGGCCTCTGCATCGGTTCTTCCACTCACCCAGTACCGCCCATCAGGGTCCTAACAGAGAGGGTTATCAAGAAAGTTCTGCTACTTTGCCCAGACCCCTCTGCCAACCAAGGGCCCAACAAATGCACAGCCACTCAAAAATGTAGCTACGGCCTTTCCTCACCTCCCCAGGAGGTACGGCTGGGTCATGGACGGTGACAAAGTAGGCAGGGATTCGGTGGCCCCACCACAGCTGCCGAGAGATGCACCAATCTCTACAAACAGCAAAGGGTGAGTCAGGGTGCTCGGCGTGTGCTCCTCCACTGGCCATCCTCCCCGCTCAACTGCCCAGGGACCACACACACCGAATGTTGTCCATCCAAGAATGCCAAGTCCGCTGATGAGCCTCAGGCAGGATACGGAGGTCGCCCCGCGTCACAGCTGCACTGGCAGCCTGAGCCATCTCCCCACAGCGCACATACCACTGTGGCCTTAGCAGAGGTTCCACCACATCCTTGGAGCGACTGGAGGAGGAAGTGGTCATGGGGAGGAGGCCAGGGGCACCCAGAGAAGCCCCCTTCATTCCTATCTGCACCCAGTCTCACTTGCAAAGTGGCACCACCATGGGATTGTCCTTCATGCCACGGAACAGTCCCCGCTCCTTAAGGGCAGCCAGTACTGCCTTCCGGGCCTCAAACCTGGGCAGTCCCTGCATGAGAAAGGCCTTATCATGGCAATGCCCCAGTAACCTCCCTCCTCCCCACACAGGTCTCCACAATCCAGATATCCTCACCAAGAAAGGTGGGGGCACATTGACAAGGGCCCCCTTTGAGTCCATGATGCTGATGGCTTCCAGCCCATGCCGCTGCCCGACCTCATAGTCATTCTGATCATGGGCAGGGGTGATCTTCACCGCACCTGGAGTACACGGAGAGTGCCAATGCTCACCAGACGCTGTGAGCTCCCACACCACCTCATATCCACTCCCTAATACACTTTCCTACATCCAGCCTCAGTCCTGCTTACGGGAATGAAGATAATTTTTCACGTCTTCTCCCAACAGACTAGGGCCCCTGCTCACCTGTGCCAAACTCCATGTCCACAAAGTCGTCGAAGACAACAGGAAGGCTCCGGGACAAGAATGGATGAATGACACTCTTTCCCTTTAGGTACTGAATATGGAAGATGACATCAGAAAGGAATCACAGGGGGCTGGGCACGAGACCCTCAGCCAGCCTTACCCTGGGCTAGCACGCATCCCCACTCTGACAGCCCCAATTTCAGGGCTGGGAAAGGAGCCCATCTCAAGCCCTCAGAGCCTGTCCCACATGTTCCTCCCTGGAAGAGAGGCAATGTCCCTGCACACCTGGTATCTGGGGTCTTTGGGGTGCACAGCTACAGCCACATCTCCCAGCATCGTCTCAATCCGAGTTGTTGCCACCACCACCTCCTCGTCGCTGTCTGGGGTGACAGGAGGTACTGTGTCTCAGCTCCCTCCTCTGTTCCTGTCCTCCTCCCCAGCCCACATCCTGGGGTCCTTAGCTCCCACCTGAGCCTTGGACCTTGTATGCAAAGGACACGAGGACCCCAAACTCCACCTTCTCCTTGTAGCCAGGCACAGAGAGCAGGGTGCGACCCGTCAGCTCCTTCTTATCCACCTGTGAGATGGGTATTTAGAGACGTATCCCCAAGCCTGGGTTGGGGAGGACTAAAGGAGAAGACGGGCTGTGGGCAGAGGTTACCTCAATGTCAGAAATGGCAGAATTGAGGGTGCAGGACCAGTTGACCAGGCGGGTGCTACGGTAGATGACACCTTCTTCATGGAGCCTAACAAAAGCTTCTGTGACAGCTACTGACAGTTTCTAGAGTGGAGGAAAAGAGAAATCTTGGTGCTTGGAGGCCAAGGCAGTGGGGTCCACAAGAGTCCTATACCCATCACCGATCCCTCAACGGAGCATCGGGACAGGCCAGAAGCCTAATGATGGGATGGAACAGAGCTTCCAGCTGGAGTCTGGGCCTAGAGCAAAGTACCCTGTGCTCATGTTCCAAGGGCCAGAGAATGTGAGGGCCACGAGGGCCGGGAGCTGCTGCTTAGAGCTGAGTCCTTGGTTGTGTTCTAACCTCCTGGTAGAACATAGCCCACCCAAGGAGCAGCCCTGCCCTGCCCCGAGGATCCGCCTGCATACAGGGTCCATGGTGAAACAGGCTCGATCCCAGTCCAAGGAGCTGCCAAGTTTCTTCAACTGATGGTAAATCCTGTCACCCTTCCTGGAAGTAGACAGAGCCCAGGATAAGCCTTCAGCCATCCAGGACTGATTGGCAGTGAGGGAGTCCCTCTGAAATTGATCTGGGCTCTTCAGCCCACCCAGAGGGAGGGTCTGAGCCTGCAGTCAGGGGTCCCACATGGAGGAGAAAGGCTGCTGTGTACTCACTCCTCTTTCCACTTCCACACCTCCTGAAGAAAGGCCTCACGGCCCAGCTGGTGCCGGTTCACACCCCGCTCTCTCCAGAGCTTCTTCTCCACCACCACCTGGGTAGCAATGCCCGCGTGGTCACAGCCGGGGTTCCACAGAGTTGTCTCCCCACGCATGCGATGCCTGTGGGAGGCATGGGGGCCAGAGGGGCAAATGGATGCTAAGGAAAGGGGATGAACTGAAACCCTCTCGTCCTAAAGCAGGAAGAGGATTCAGGAGGCCAGCAAAGCAATCTGGAAAAAGAATAGAGAGGACCCTCTTGCCCAGCCAGACAGCTAAGCACAAGACAACCCCATCAATCAAGTGAGTTTCCACACAGGAACAAGGCCACAGACAGACAGAAGTAAAACTCATCCCCGCAGACCCAGGTAGATTGCTCAAGAGGTTTTGCTCCTTGTCCCCACGTTCATAAGAGTCCTTACACATTAGAGTGCCCAACTGAGAAGACATAACAGGGAGGGCACTCTTGGTGGTATAACTGACAAGATGCTCATGCTCAGAGGTTAAGAGCACTGGCTTCTTCCAGAGGATGTGGATTCAAATCCCAGCATCCACATGGTGGCTCACAACTCTAACTCCAGGTCCAGGGGATCCACTGCCCTGGTCTAGCCCCTGCAGGCACCAAATACACATGTCGTGAGCAAACATATGTAAGGAAAATATTCATCACAAATTTTATAAAAATTACAAATTTAAATTAAAAAAAAAAAAGAAATGCCGTTAGCCTACATATAAGAACACCGCAAAAAGAGGAACTGTTGAATATAATAAAACAGTTGAGGAACTTTTTGTGTGTTTGGTTTTGAGACACAGGCTCACTATGTAGCCCAAGCTGGCCTTGAACTGGCCATGATCCTACCAGCCTTATCACACCTGCTGATATAACAAATTTTTTATTTTTAGTTTTTTAAAGAGTTAGCAATTTTTATTTTATGAATGAGTGTTTTGCCTACATGCAGAGGCATGTACCAGAGGTATCATATCTGGAAAGAGAGTTAGGGATGGCACCAGTCACCAATCCCAGGAACTCCACAAAAGCAGCCTATGCAATTACTGCAGAACCATTTCTCCAACTCCGAGCAACAATTCTTGCTGGTTAGAGTTAAATCTTTTCCTAAAAAAAAAAAAAAAAAAAAAAAAAAAAAAAAAAAAAAAAAGAAAGCAAGAAAGCAGGGCAAGAAGGAAAGGAGTTGGGGTTGGGGAGATAGCTCAGCAGTTACTAAGCGAATGTGCTATTCCTCCAAGGGACCAGAGCTCAGTTCCCAGCACCACATGAGGTGCTTCACAAACACCTGGAACTCAGTTCCCTGACACCTGACACCCTTGGCCCCTATCAGCATCTGTACTCTTGTGCACAGACCCACACAGAGGCATAAATAAAATCTCAAAAATAACAATTCATTTAGAATTAACAAATTAGCATTTGAGGAGGCCAAGGAAGATTAATCTCTGTGAGTTCAAGGCCAGCCTGGTTTACAGAGTGGTTTCCAAGACAGCAGAGTTAGACCAACAACAGGGAGACCCTGTCTTGAAACTATTTCTCCCTCAGCATTCAAGGACCTAGTGTGACCTGGAAGAACATTAAATTTCTACGGCTACATGTATATGCGAGTAGACAGCTAGGAAAGACCTGACAACAATCCAGGGCTCCATTCTGGGAGGGAGGAGGTCTAGGCTCCAGCCTCTCACAAAATCCAAAGGAATGCTGCTGCAGACCAGCTGTGTGATTCTGTGGCAGACTGCATGCTTAGCTTGTACATGCCATGGGCCCACTCCCATGCAAATGATAGTGATGATAATGTTTTTTCAGGAGACAGAAGGTCACTTGACTAGGAGAGACCGCTGAACACTCACTCAGAGAGGAACCAGCAGCAGAACACTCACTCAGAGAGGAACCAGCAGCAGGAGAGATGCAAGGCCTCATCGAAGGGGCCAAGCAACGCCAATGTAGCAGAGTCAGCCTACTCAGTGGAAAGGAAGGAACCAAGCAAGGCAGAAGGCACCAGATGGAAGTACAGACAGGAGCTCACCATCGAGTCAGGGAGTCCTGGATGGCGTTGGTGAGTGCATGGCCCAGGTGCAGGGAGCCTGTCACGTTGGGGGGTGGGATGCACATCATGAAGACACCTCGGGGGTTTGGTGCTGACAAGCTAGGACGCTGGTGGCGGAGAAGGAGGGGCATATACTAAGGCATGTGGCCCCTCCTTCAGGCAATGGGTCCTAATGTCCTACCCTTCTCCACCTCCATCCCCCTCTGGGCCTGGGCAGCAGTAACCACTCACCCCATACTCCGGTTTGAAGAAGCCCTGTCGCTCCCACCATGGGTACCAGGCAGCTTCCACATACTGAGGGCTATAGGAGTCAGGCATGGCACCACTTACATCTGGGAGAGAGAGGGCTTACTGAAGCTGGACAGGCTCACATCAGGGTAGAAGGAACAGGCCACAGTACTGGCACGAGGCTGTTATGAGCAGGACCGAGGCCAGGACAAAGTAAATGGAACATGGAAAGTAGCAGCCAGAGGCAGGGTCCCTTCCATAACCAGTACCTTTCTTTTCCCCGGGTTGGGTAGGGAGGTCATAGGTAATGACCCCAGGATCCCGTTTCTCCTTCTTCTCTGGTTTTGGTTTCTTCTATTCAGAAGGAAGAAGACCCAGACCAGATATCAGCTGCTCAGCAAGGCTTCCGCACCCCTCCCAGCCCCGGCCTTCACCTCCTACCTCCCCAGCCGGGGGCTGCTGCAGCTGGGTCTTCTGCTTCTGCTGGAATTTCTCTAGTTTCTCCCGTTTCTTCGCTTCTTTCTTAAGCTGAGCAGCTGTTTTTTGGGTTGCAGTGACCTCAGGGCCTGGGGAGAAGCAGAGAAATTCAGACTGAAGGCTGCCAGGGACCCTCTATGAACAGTGCTAAATCTAAAAATGGCTATTTCTATTGCCCTTGGGCTCAAGCATGATCATCTCCCACCTTTCCCTCCCACAGGCTCCCCACCCTAATGGCCTAGGCATTTCTAAGATAAAAGAAAGCATGTTACATTGAAGGCCCCAGAGGGGCCATTTGTCACTCTGCCATCCCATCCTCCTCACCTGGCTGCTGAGTGACAGACCTGGTCCCCGTGTACAGGACCACTTCTCCTAGCACAGCCCGGAATTCTGGTTGCCGGACACAAGTGTTAAACCATCGAGTTACATTACCCCAGATCCGGCGCACAGCAGGGTCCAGGACCTGAGAAGGAAACAACAAAAAAACAATTATCTCGGTCACCCTGCAATGTCTAATGGGTGTGCACCTGTCCTCCCCAAGCCACAGTGACTCACATATCGGAAGGGCAGCAGTAAGGCTGTCACAGCAGCTACGTCTGCCAGCGTGGGAGCATCCCCAGCCAGGTAGGTGTTTAGCCGAAGCCAGTCCTCCAAGGGGCTCAAGGCCTTGCCCAGGGCCCCAAGGGCAGCCTAACAGGACAGAAAAAGAATATTTGAAGGCTTATATGCTACTATCCTAGTGGTTCTCAACCTTCCTAATGCTGCAACACTTTAAAACAATTCCTCCTGTTGTGGTGACCCCCAACCAGAAAATTATTTTGCGTTGCTACTCCAGAACTGTGACTTTGCTATTATTATAAACTGTAATGTTAAGTATCTGTGTTTTCCAATGGTCTTAAGCAACCTCCATGAGAAGGTTGTTTGATTCCCCCAAGTGGTTGTGACGCACAGGCTGAGAGACCATTTGGTGTCTCTATTCCATGATAATCAGCTCTCAGGCTAACTCCTTTCTCATTCAAACGGTTACCGTAGAAGTACAATTGTTAGGTGTGGTGCTGCTGGCCTTTAATCCTAACTCTCAGAAGGCAAAGGCAGAGGGATCTCTGTGATTTTAAAGCCAGCCTAGTCTACACAACGAGTTCCATACCAATTAAGCCTACAAAGTTAAGACCCTGTCTCAAAGAAACACCAAGACTATGTCTAATTGGGAGTATAGGTCAGAAGGAAAGTGTTTAGCATGTAGGAGGCCCTAGGTTTAATCTTCACCCCCAATATATGTATGGATGTATATGTGTACACACACACACACACTAAAGAGATGCATAACATAGGTCAGTAGTCAAGAGCACTGGCTGCTCTCACAAAGGCCCAAAGTTTGATTCCTGTCATCCATGTGGCGGCTCACAACTGATACCCCTAGCCTCCTTAGGCACTAGGCACGCATGTGTACGTACACACACGCAAGCATGTGTGTGTGTGTCTGTCTGTCTGCAATGAAACCTATCAGTCACTAAAGTTGAAGGATTATACAAAGTAGCAGGGTCAAATGAGAAAACAATCTAGACTAAATATAGAAAGGGAGACTCCAGACTGACCCATCAGTATATGAAGAGGCATTCCAGGGCCTGTGCCATTCATACATTCAGTTACTGGAGTACCACTGAGCACCTACCATGCAGGAGTGAAGCTTCTAGCTAAGGCTGCCCTGGAAGGGCTCACAGAAACAACCCAGTGGTTTCTGTGTTCCCCCTCCCCCTCTTCCATTTGCCCCTCATCTCCTCCCAGCAACTATCATTTCTCCCTCTGTCTTTCCATATCTCAAAACAGCAACTGTTGGCATTGCTCATCTCTGACGGACTTGTCGAACTTTCACTCAGTATACTGGCTAGTGTCTGTCAGCCTCACACAGCCTAGTGTCATTTGGGAAGAGGGGACCTCAACTGAGAAAAAATACCCACCAGACAGGCCTGTAGGCAAGTCTGTGGGGGCATTTTCCTAATTAACGATTATCAGGGAGGCCCACCCTGGGAAAGTCGCCTGGATGGTATAAGAAAGCAGTCTAAACAAGCTGTGAAGAGAGCCAGTAAGTAGTGTTCCCTCATTGCCTCAGTTTCAGTCCCTGCCTCCAGCTCCCGGCCTGACTTCCCTCAGTGATGGAGCTGTAAACAGAAAGAAATCTTTCCTCCCAAGTTGCTTTTGGTCATGTTGTTTTATTACAGCAACAGAAACCCAAAGACCCTCAGAGACTTTAAAATGCCTGGCACACCAGTATGTTCCAAGCCGTTCGGTTAGGGCTCCACACTCCAGAAACACCCATTACACTCCTGAGGAAGAAATTACATCACCTCGCATTCTCGGTCATAAACCAAGGCTAAAGAATTCGAAGTGTTCCCAAAGTTACTACCCCGGTGGCAAACAGAGATCCGAACGATTTCCACACCTGACAACCTACTTCCGTCCTCAGGATCCTTTGCAAACTTTGTTTTCTCAGAATTCCTCCCTCCCTCATTCCTCTTCCCCCTCACCTGGGGATCCTGACCCGGACTTCGAAGTCCCAGGGCGGGTAGTGTCGCCCCGCAGGCAGCTGGTATGAGTTCGGTGTCGGCATAACTGACCCACTGTTGGACGAGCACAGCTGCCTTGCTGCCCCCAGGTCCCCCCAGGCCTGCTGGCCACAGCAGCTGGGCAACAGCCGGGGCCCCCCACACCCACAGGCCGCCGGGCCCCTGCTCCAGGGCGGGCAGGCGAGGTGGGGGTAAAGGAGTCCGGCTGCTCGGGGGCGGCTGCAGGCAGATGCGGGGGTGAGGTCCCCCCCATCCGGGGCCGTCACCGGCTTCCCCGTAGCGGGCAGCGATGAGGGCTCGGAGGCTGGGGAAGGCATCGGGATGAGGGGACACGTAGAGGATGGACATGGCCGTGTGGGGGTCCGGATGCCGGGGAGAGTCCTGAGAGACCAGGCAGGTTCGGGAGGAGACCTAACCAACCACGTGCTGCGAGGAACGCAGGCGCCGGTCCCGGCCGCAGGCCTGGCGGATTGGCCGCGAGCAGCGCCCGGGGCTGTCGGAGGCGGGGCCCGATCGCTCGTCCTGGGCTGTCAGAGGCGGGGTCGCGCCGCCGTGCGTACGGCGGGCGGGTGGCGGTCACACGGGGCCGGCAATGCTCGTCAGCCGGCCACGGCCGCGGCCCGGCGGGGCGGCCAGGGTGGAGGCGGCGGGTGGTGGAGGCGGCTCTCCCGCTGTGGGGCAGCGCGGCCGGGCAAGCGGCACCCACGTGTCCCCCTTTGTGACAGCGCGCGTTTCCGGGTCCGGGTCCTCGCGGGGCGGCCGGGCCCCGCCTGCGCGTGCGCGGTCCCGAGGGCCTGGCCTCCGTCCGGACCCTTGTGCGACCTCCGAGGACGGATAGCTCGAGGGGCGAGTGCAGCGCGCGTACCGGGGATCCCACCGCGAGGGCGAGCCGGTCCTGGGTCAGACGCCACCACGGGCACCGCGCGGTCCTGTGTCAGGCGCCGCGTGGCCACCTCCAGGGTCCTCGGATCAGGCGCCGCGTGGCCACCTCCAGGGTCCTCGGATCAGGCGCCACCGTGACCACCCCAGGGTCCTCGGGTTAGCTAGCCGGGCTCATCGCAGCCACCGCCTCCTACAGGACACATTGTGTAGCCTCTGACTTCTCTTTTAGAAGTGTGTCTTGTGGCTGCTGGGAATAAAGTTTAGTAGGGCATCACCTATTTGTACTGCGTGTGTACACTCAGCGTGTGTACTGATTGGCTGATTGAAGGAACCGGCAGGGTGACAGGCTATAATTTGGTAGCAGAGTATTCTGCCAGCTCGAGGGAGATCTTGGGATCTAACCCAGCACCACGGAGAAAAGGCTGAATTCTTTCATCTTTCACGTGAAAGGCAAGGCAGAGGCACTGCAGTTGGTGCACAGAAGCAAATGGCTAGGAGAACAAGTTCGCAGTGCTGTTGGGCGGGCACCTCTTTTTTAATTACATTTTTACTGTGTGCATTTGAACAAAAAGTTTCCACCAAGTGGGTCTCCGGGATCAAGTTACAGTTGGCAGCTGGTCATACTGGCCAAAGTATAACAACCTTTAGAGCAGAAGTACATAATTCTGGTAAATTGGGTTGGATTCCTGGCTGGAGATGGGGGAGAGGAGGAATGTTGAGTAAGAGAGTATAGATCAGACACCCTTTCCCACCTCCCTGCCCAAAACATAGACCACAAAACAAGAACTCAGTTTGCATCATAAATTTTATTCCCGATGCGGGACAGATTATTTTCATTCCCCCCAAATGTATCACATGTTGCCCTGGATAGGTCTAGGAAGCTCTCCCCCCCATTTCCAGGGAAGGAAGAGAAAAGTAGGGACCAGGAAAGTTTCACAGTTCCCAGCTTTCTTAACCCTCCCTTGTCAATAGAGGATAGTTTTTCCTGTCTATTATCCCTTTCATCCATTCAATTCAAAAGAAAAAACAGAATTAACAAAACACCTGAAGTACTGGTCAGGGGTCACAAATGGGAACAGGAGGAGGGGAAGAGGGGCGTCACTGTTTCTGCTGGAGGGCTTCCTTCCTTGCTGCGTCCTGTAGCAGTTGTGTGTCCACCTCGTCTGCTGGCAGCTGCACATACCGGACCACTGAGCCCCTGATGAAGCAGTTCTTGACTGACAACTGGAAGGAGATAAAAGTGAAAGCTCCTCCATTAAGAGTCCTCCAGCCACCCAGGGGCCTTTTGCTTTAAAGGTTTCCTCTTTCTGGCCAGCCCCAACTCACCATGTGAGGGTACTTCTCAGGGTCTGTGACACTGATGTCAGTGAGTTTGATATTGAGGTACTGAGAAAGAGGAACAGCACTGTTAACTCCAGAGACAAGATGCAAGAATTCACCCTGGCTCTCCCATTTCCTTCCCCAAGAACAGACTGAACCTTTACTGTCTCACCTGGTCCACAGAGTGGAGGGTTCCACAGATGCTGTCAAGGGTAAAGAGGGAAGAACCAAGTTAATACACCCTGAAATCAGTATGGAGGGGGGAATGTCATAGCTACAACAAGAATGTGGGGGAGAAGTCAAGGCCTTGAAGCCGAGAAGGGAGAGCCAACAGGCGGCATCTGTGGTTCTGAGGAACAGGTAAAGCCTCTCAGAATGGTTCATCATTTCAGACCCAAGTGTCTCCTTATACCAATGCCTCAATAGCTACTACTTGACGGTTGCACAACAGGCCCGTTCTCTGCTTAACATTTGTATTTCTTTTTTAGTACAGGTTCTCACTCTCTGGCCCAGGCTGATCTCAAACTTATGGCAATACTTCTGCCCTCACTTCCAGAACTACAGACATAAGCCATTGTTACAGTCTTCTTTATGTTTATTTTTCCAAGACAAGGATTTCTTTGTGTAACCTTGGCTGTCCAAAAACTACCTCTGTAGACCAACCACACTGGTCTCAAACTCACAGAGATCCATCTACACTCCCCCCCCCCCCCAGGTGCTGGGGTTAAGGGCAATGTACTATCATTGCCCAGTTATAGCTATCTTTTCAAAAGTGACTGAATCATCCCAGGAATTAAGAGAGGTCATGTAAGTTACCCACAATTTGGAAGAAATACACAGGAGTATCAGCCTGACTTCCAGAAACATCAGCTTTTTTTTCTTCTTTTTTTGATTTAGGTTTCTCTGTGTAACACTCCTAGCTGTCCTGGTACTCACCCTGTAGACCAGGCTGGTCTCAAACTCACAGAGATCTGCCTGCCTCTGCCTCCCAAGTGCTGGGATTAAAGGTGAGCGGCACCAGCGCCCCGCTTCAGCTTTTTCTTATACTGATTTTATTATTTGTATGTATTTGCATGTGGGCACCTATTGACGCCAAAAGAAGGCATCAGATGCCGGGAAGATAAAATTAGTTACAGTCCTTATGTGGCCTAAACAACATGTGAACCCCATGTTCAGCAATAGCTGAAACTGCACTCCACTTCTCTGGAAGAATAGCAAGCTCTTTTTTAACCACTGAACTCCAGCTCCATCAACAGCTACTTCTAAACACCTTATATTTGTCAACTGTTTTAACAATCTTACGTCTTCCAGCCTCCTCTACAGAGCTAGTTCCAGGACAGTTAGGACTGTTACACTGAGAAACCCTGTCCTGAAAAAAACAAGAAAACCTCCCCACCAGCCCCAAGCCAGGCAGTGGTGTCACACGCCTTTAATTCCAGCACTTGTGAGGCAGAAGCAGGTGGATCTCTGTGAGTTCGAGGCCAGCCTGCTCTACAGAGCGAGTTCCAGGACAGCGAGGGCTACAGAGAAACTTCAAAAAAAACAAAAACAAAAACAAAAAACAACAAAAACTCAACAAGTCTTCACAACCTAAGATCTGGAGTTTACTTCTTCATTCCCTACATCCTATGAATCCCCACAGGTCCGTTACTAAACACTTTGTGTGATTCTTTAAAAAGTAAATAAATAAAAATTTATTAATTTATTATGTATACAGTATTCTGCCTCCATGCCAGAAGAGGGTACCACCATGTGGCTGCTGGGAATTGAACTCAGGTCCTTTGTTAGCGGCAGTGCTCTTAACCTCTGAGCCATCTCTCCACCCCTTTGATTCTTCTTTTAGTTAAACTTCTACAAACAAAAGTTCTTAACTACTTTGCACTTAAGTTTGGGCCAGCCTCTCATTTGACCACAATGACTATAACTGCCCTACTTGTCAACACCATGTTTTTAACAAGGTTCTCAAGCACTGATGTGTGCTCAAAGGTTTCAAGAGTTTACAAGAAAAATATTTTGAAAAGAAAGATTACATGCTGGACAGTGGTGGCACATACTTTTAATCCAAGGACTCAGAAGGCAGAGGCAGGCAGACCTCTGTGAGTTCCAGGATAGTCAGGACTGTTACATAGAGACCCAGTCTCAGAAGAGAAATAAAATAGTAAAAAATTTTAAAAACCCAGGCAGAAATTGGTGGTGCATACCTGTAATCCCAGCATTGGGGAGGCAGAAAGCTCTGTGAGTTGAGGCCAGCCTGGTCTACAAGAGCTACTTATAGGAAAGCAGACTCTGACAGACAGATTTATGTGACTAAAAGGACCCAGAAATATCTCTGTAGTGATACAACATTTAATCCAAGTCCTGAATGACTAAGAAGCAAACGGACAAGGAGGTAGAGGATACAGATACAGTACAGAAGGAATTGTGTTAGTCTTCTGTTTATAATTTTCTTTAATAGACATTATGTTATGCACACTATATCTAACTGCTTTCCCTTCCAATAAACTCATTCCTATGTTAACAGGTTTTACTATGCAAGTACAACCTTTTAATTAACCTCTTACATTTTGAGGGGTTAATGCTACCCAACTCATTTATTTATTTAATCTGTTTATATTTTTGGTGTTTCGGGGCAGTTTCTCTGTAGCTCAGTAGACTAGGGTGGCCTCAAAATCACAGAGACCCATCTGTCTCCACCTCCAGAGTGCTGGAGCAGGCCACTAGATCCAGCAATCTTAAAACTAACCTTTACCCTTAAGGCACTATTTCCTCTGTGTTTGGCCCACCTGCTCTCTCAAATAACTCTGGGTGGGGGGAGAGGTTCAGGATCCCGGGCACCCCCACCTTCGACTACCTAGCTGCTATAGGTACCTACCTTAGGTCATTCTTGAGTTCCACGACCACATCCTTGCCCACAAGGGATTTGAAAAAGGAGTAGAAGAGCTATTGGAAAAAGGAGGGAGAAACTATCTCATGAAAAGTACAGGGAGAAGAAACCTCGTGCCCGGTATTTTGAAATACTAGTCTTTGTGATCCCATCGATTCTAGTAGCTCTCAAAAGTTCACGACAGACACTCTCTTCACAGATACTCCGCAGTTCGTTGGGCCACAGTGTCTAAGTAAGCTGTAGCCCTCGACGCCGGGACCCACTCTGAATCGACTACCTCCCGTAAAGAACTTGCACATTTTCTTCAAGGAAATGCAGACCGCATCCCACCCGAACCCTCAAGAGATCCTGCTCCCGAGCGGGGAGATGCAAGGCTAGCTCTCCGTTCTCCCGCGGTGCCCGTGGGCTTTCTCTTGGATCTGCTGGGAGCTTTGTCCAAAAACCCATTTGTTCCTAGGAGTCTGCTCAAGCTGCGGTGCGGGCACTAAGGTTTTAAGGGAAAGCCTTGGGCCTAGGTGCATCCTAGAGTGACCGACAGAGCCGCACCGGCCCCGGGCCCGGGCCCGGCCCAGTTCGAACGGCCCGCGGCGCGCGGCGGCGCTCCCTTTTGACGTCACGGTACCCACCATGGTGCCGGCGACACGCGCGGCGGCCTGGACCGCGGCGGATAGGGCCCGGGGCTGCGGGCCAGAGGCCGGGCGGGAGCCCGAGCGCGAGCCCGCGCGTGGCGCAGGACAGGATCACGCAGGCGCAAGGGGGAGCCACGGGAAACGCCCGGCCGAGAGCGCGCGGCTGAGCCCGGGCTCCGTGGGAGCGGAGGAGGGAAGAGCAGACAGGGCCGCGAAACCGAGAGAGGGGCGGGTCTTCCTGTTCCCCACTTCCTCCGGAGCAGTTGCCTCCCATACGCATGCGTGGTCCGTAGCAGCTGTGCCTTCAAAGTGGCTCGCCCCCTGTCGTGAAGGTTTTTGTGTAGCGTCTTCCCTCCGTGGCGTGATTTGCTCGTATTCCGCTTTCCTGTTGAGAATTGTCGGGAAGCTTGAGGAAGCTATGATTTGCATATTCTTTAAAATGTTGCTAAGTGCTGGGCAGGTTTGGTGCCCTCCTGGAATCCCAGAGTGGTGAGACAGGAGGATTCTGTTTTAGACTCCTGCTGGAGCTAGCATAGCAAGAACTCTGTCAAAGGGAGTAAAACACACACCAACACACACTATGTTGTATGTAGTGCTGGGGGGATATAAGGTGTTCTGCCTGGTTACCAGAAGAGGGCACCAGATCTCATTATAAATGGCGTGAGCCAGTGCTGTTAACCTGAGCCATCTCTCCATGCCTTGCCTCTGCCTCCTGAGTGCTGGTGGTATTAAAGGCATGAACCACCACCACCTGACCAAATTCTGATTCTTATCCCAGTAAGCAAGTTTCCCTCAATTTCAACCTTATGTGTGATTTCGGGGACGGGGTTTTCTGAGGCTGGACCTCAGGGCTTACTTATATACACTAAGCACATCTATCGGGGAAAAACACCAGCTCAAGTGTCCACATTATTTATTGTGTATACAGTGGTATGTCTGCATGCTTATCTGCACACCAGAAGAGAGCACCAGATCTCATTACAGATGGTTGTGAGCTACCATGTGGTTGCTGGGAAATGAACTCAGGACCTTTGGAAGAGCAGGCAGTGTTCTTAACCATTAAGCTATCTCTCCAGCCCCCTGAAATATTTTCTAATAGCTCACCTCCAAATACTACTTTGGATGTTCTGGAGACAGCATTAACAGGCTTGAAACATTCTGGTTGTGAAAGAGTTCACAAGAGCTGACTGATAAAAATAGAAAATTTAATACAAGTCAACACAAAAGCCTCAGCAGGAAAAGATGATGAGACCTGCAGCCACACATTAGGCGGAGCTCCGGGAATCCTTCAGAAGAGGAGAAGGAAGGATTGTAGGACAGAGGGGACAAGGACACCACTAGAAACCCCACAGAATCAACCTGAACTCATAGAGGCTCACAGACACTAAACTCACAATCAGGTAGCCTGATGGGACTGACCTAAGCCCTCTGCATATATGTCTGCATATATGTTATGGTTGTGTAGCTTGGTCCTCTTATGGGACTTCTAACCGTGGGAATAGGGCTGTCTCTCTTTTGCCTGCTTTTGGGACCATTTTACACCTGGGTCATCTTGTCTGGCCTTAATATGAGGTGTGCTGGGTGCCTCGTCTTATTGCAACTTGATATGCCATGTTTGGTTGATATCCCTGGAAGGCCTGCCCTTTCCTAATGGGAAAGAGGAGTGGTTGGGCAGGGAGGGTGGGCAGGGAGGAGAAACTGCTGCCAGGTGTAATAACAAGGGGGGAAAAACCTTATCAGGCAAGTTCCCAGAGAAGGGATGGAGCTGCCTGGGAAGGAATGGCTAATGTTGTTTTTTAATATTAATTAAATGGGAAGTTGCCATTTAATTAAATGCTTGTATCTGGTGGGACATTTGTGTGGGAATCATGTCTGAATACAGAGGGAAATGCTTGCTATTTTGATGCTGTTTTCTTGAGGCTGGCTGTAGGTACAAAAATTCTGAGCATCTGCAGTGTGCCAGAATGCCAAAATAGAGGGTAGCCAAGGTTTCGTGTGTATGTGTATGTGTGTGTGTGTGTGTGTGTAGGGGTACTGGGGCATGCATGCCAGGGTCTGTGGGGAAGGGCTGGAGCATGCATACCAGGGTCTCCTCTGGGGTGGGGGACTAGAGTGTGCAGACCAGAGATGGACACTGGGTTTCTTTCAGTCACTTTCCACCTTGTTTAATTTTTTACATTTTTATGTATAAAAGTGTTTTATTATGCTGGGCACTGGTGGCACACACCTTTAGTCCCAGCACTCGTGAGGCAGTGGCAGGTGGATCTCTGTGAGTTCGTGGCCAGCCTGGTCTACAGAGTGAGTTCCAGGTCAGGCTCCAAAGCAATACAGAGAAAAGCTGTCTCGAAAAACCAAAAAAAAGAAAAGTATTCTGTTGCAAGTATGTGTGCCATTTGTGCTGTGCTTCCAGTGACCAGAAGAAAACCTTGGATATTCTGCAGTTGTAGACAGGTTTTCACCACCATTGAGGTTGGGAATCAAATGCTGATCCTCTGGAAGAACAATAAATGTTCTTAATCACTAAGCTATCTGTCCAGGCTCATTTCACTTTTGAGATAGGCTTGTTATCTACCCTGGAGCTGACTGAGTCATTCAGTTAGATTGACCTGCCTGCAATGATACTTTTCGCTTTGCTTCCCCAGAGCTGTGATCACAGATACATCACTGTGTTCGGATCTGGATCCATCAGGATATCAAGCGGGATTTGTTACCAAGTTCAGCAGAATCTGAATTTGAACCTAAGTCAGCTTGTCATTGATTAGAAGCAGTAACCACACTGATTAGAAGAAGTAACCACAGTTAGCAAGTCATTAATATGGGCCTAAGGTGTCAGAAAATTAGGAAAATCTTTTCTTGTTGGGTGTAATGTTTTGTAATCGCAATCATCATACAGGTGAAGGCAGCATGAACAGAAGTTCAGAGCTGACCTAGACTACATAAGATCCTGTCTCAAAACAAAAACAACAACAACAAAAAAAAAGCAAAACAATTTTATTAGAAACCCTGAACTTACACAAACCCAAGTATTTTACCCTTAGCAGATTAATCATTCACAACAAACTCACAAACAAAAAATTCATGTCCCATGTGAGCTCCCCTTTCTTACTTTTCCAGGGATATTGACAGTTTAAAGATAACAGGAAATAAGCTAGTCACTTTTGAACATGGAGTGTCTCAGGCTAACCTGAGCTACAAGAAACCCCAAACAACTACAACAAAATGGGCATGGTGGTTCATGCCTGTAATCTCAGAACTCAGGTGGCAGAGACAGGAGGATTGCTAAAAGGAGCCAAATTGGCCTATATAGTGAGTGTCAAGCAAGATAGACATACACAGTAAAGCCATGACTAAGTAAATAGAAAAGATATCAGAAGTTATTTCCTTTGGGAACAAATTTACTAGGAGACAAATAACCATCCACACAGGAAGGAGAGAGGTGGGGTGTGGCTAATAAATAGCAGACATCCAAATTCTTCAAATGGTTCAGAGGGGCCTTGTTTTCCTAAAGGTCCATTTCAGGATCATAGATGAGAGGGTGGGGGCATGAAAAGATGGAATACAGACTTCTCCGTCAGAGTCCCAAAGGATGTTGACTTAGGCTCAAGTCCAGTCAGTTCAAGAGTAATAGTGATGTTTGAAGATGAATAAAATTCACCTAGAGGCACCCTAGCACCCTGTAAGTCCAGAAAATGCTAATCTACTTCCTCAATGGTAGGGCCTGTGGCAGCCCTGCTGGGCGTGTACCCTGGTGCGCAGGTGGGCCCAGTGCACCCTCCCTGGTAGAGTTTGGTGATGACAGGGTTACACATGTTCTCCAACTCTTTTCTCTTATGATCGAATTCCTCTTTCTCAGCCAGTTGGTTGGCCTCCAGCCAGGAAAGGACCTCGTTGCACTTGTCCAGTATCTTCTTCTTGTCAGCGTCGCTGATCTTGTCTTTCAGACCTTCGTCACTCACTGCGCTCTTCATGTTAAAAGCGTAGGATTCCAAGGCATTTTTGGCAGCGATTTTCTCCCTCTGGCCTTCATCCTCGGCTTTGTATTTCTCGGCTTCCTGCACCATGCGCTCGATCTCCTCCTTGCTCAGCCGGCCCTTGTCGTTGGTGATGGTGATCTTGTTAGCCTTGCCCGTGCTCTTGTCCATGGCTGTGACATTGAGAATTCCATTGGCATCAATGTCAAAGGTCACCTCAATCTGCGGCACACCCCTAGGTGCAGGGGGGATGCCAGTCAGGTCAAAGCGCCCCAGCAGGTTGTTGTCACGCGTCATGGCCCGCTCGCCCTCATACACCTGGATCAGCACCCCGGGCTGGTTGTCCGAGTAGGTGGTAAAGATCTGCGTCTGCTTAGTGGGGATGGTGGAGTTGCGCTTGATCAGAACAGTCATCACACCGCCCGCCGTCTCCAATCCTAGAGACAGAGGGGCTACATCCAACAAAAGCAAATCTTGTACTTTTTCAGACTTGTCACCCATTAAAATAGCTGCCTGGACTGCAGCTCCATAAGCCACTGCCTCATCGGGATTGATGCTTTTGTTGAGATCCCGTCCATTAAAGTAGTCCTGCAGCAGCTTCTGCACCTTGGGGATGCGCGTGGAGCCGCCCACCAGAACAATATCGTGAATTTTAGACTTGTCCATTTTGGCGTCCCGAAGAGACTTCTCCACTGGCTCCAAGGTGCCTCTGAATAGGTCTGCACACAACTCCTCGAACCGTGCCCGCGTGATGGACGTGTAGAAGTCGATGCCCTCGAACAGGGAGTCGATCTCCAGGTTGGCCTGGGTGCTGGACGACAGGGTCCTCTTGGCCCGCTCGCAGGCCGTGCGCAGCCGCCGCACCGCGCGCTTGTTCTGGCTGATGTCCTTCTTGTGCTTCCTCTTGAACTCCTCCACGAAGTGGCTCACCAGCCGGTTGTCGAAGTCCTCCCCGCCCAGGTGCGTGTCGCCCGCAGTGGCCTTCACCTCGAAGATGCCGTCGTCGATCGTCAGGATGGACACGTCGAACGTGCCGCCCCCCAGGTCGAAGATGAGCACATGTCGCTCTCCATGACTTCCTTTATCCAAGCCATAAGCAATGGCGGCAGCTGTGGGCTCGTTGATGATTCTCAGCACATTGAGTCCAGCAATGACACCTGCATCTTTGGTGGCCTGGCGTTGAGAGTCATTGAAGTAGGCGGGCACCGTGATCACAGCATTGGTGACATTGTGGCCCAGAAAAGCTTCTGCAGTCTCCTTCATCTTTGTCAGCACCATAGACGAGATTTCCTCAGGGTAGAAGGCTTTCTTCTCCCCTTTATAAGACACCAGCACCTTGGGCTTACCCCCTTCGTTGATCACTTGAAATGGCCAAAGCTTCATGTCCGACTGTACAACAGGATCGTTAAACTTCCTGCCAATCAGACGTTTGGCATCAAAAACAGTGTTCTGGGGGTTCATGGCCACCTGGTTCTTGGCCGCATCTCCGATCAGCCGCTCGGTGTCGGTGAAGGCCACGTAGCTGGGTGTCGTGCGGTTGCCCTGGTCATTGGCGATGATCTCCACCTTGCCATGCTGGAACACGCCCACGCATGAGTAGGTGGTGCCCAGGTCAATGCCTATGGCCATTCCTTTATTAGCAGCCATGGTTTTCCGAGGCCTGTGGAGAAATGAGATTTTATAAACACATTTGGGGGAATGATCTTATTTCTAAAATAAAACTTATTGATCACTTAGTAACTCCTTCAAGATTTATTATTTTGAATTGTGTACATGTGTGCACATGTATGCAGGTACCTGTGGAGGTCAGAAGTATGGGATGCCCTTGAAGTCTGAGTTACAGTTGTGAACTGCCCCATGTCGATGGTCTGGGCACTGAATTCAGGTCTTCTTCCAGGACAGATGTGCTCCTAATGGCTGAGCCCTATGTAGCCCTCAGTCAGTTTATTTATTTTTTAATTTTAAATATTTTGTGGAGTTGGAGAGGTGGCTCAGTGGTTAAGAGCACTGGCTGCTCTTGCAGAGGACAGGGTTCAATTTCCAGCATCCACATGATAATTCACAAGTGTCTAACTCCCACTCCAGAAATTCAACACCCTCATACAGACATACATGGGGCAAAACACCAATGCACTAAAAGTAAAAAATCATCTTTAAAATTTATTTTGTAGGTGAACATTTTGTCTTCATGTATGTGTGTCCCTGAGGAGGTCAGAAGAGGACATCAGATCTTCTGAGACTGGAGTTACAAATAGTTATCCACCATGTGGGTGCTGGGTATGAAACCTGGGGCTCTTCTGCAAGAGCATTAAGAACTGGATGGCTCAGATGGCTCTTCCTGAGGTCCTGAATTCAATTCTCAGCAACCACATTTGGCTCACAACCATCTGTAATGGGGTCTGATGCCCTTTTCTGGCCCAAGGGAATACATGCAGGCAGAGAGCACTGTATATATAATAAGCTAAGAAAAAAATAAATAAAAGCATTATGTGCTCTTAACTGCTGAACCAGCTCTCCAACTCCATCAACGAGTCTTGTTAAAACTACAAGCATGAAGATAAACACACCTCAGACTTTTTCACAGAAAGAAATCTTACAGAGAGAGCTTGTAAATGTTTTTGTGTTTGCTGTTGTTTTGATGTAGGCTGTATATAAACGAACATGTGGATTTAAGGTGTCAACTCTGGTTGTCATTCATCTGACAGTCACCTTGTTGAAACAGGATCTCTCTCACTGGCCTGAAACCCTTGCCAGTTAGGTTAAGCAGGCTGGCTGGCAAGCCCAGTGAGCCATCTCCCTTGCACTGTGATCACAGGTACAGGCCACCCTGCTGGGTTTGTTTTTCTGTCTTGTGGGTTCTGGGGATTGAACTCAGGTCTCAGGCTTACATGCCATACACTAGCCTCTCCCTAGCCTCTCAGTAGTTTCTTTTGGGCTGCTTTTTCATTCTCTTAAGGCAGTGCCTCACTCTGTAGCTCAGGTTGGCCTGGAACTCACCATGTATCCCAGGCTAGCTTCAAACATGGCAGCTGTTCTCCTCCCTCAGCTTTCCAAATGCTGGGGTTACAGGCATGAACCACTACAGCCGCCAGTTTTTTCTTTTTCTTTTTTTGGTTTTTCGAGACAGGGTTTCTCTGTGACTTTGGAGACTGTCCTGGAACTAGCTCTTGTAGATCAAGCTGGTCTTGAACTCACAAAGATCCTCCTGCATCTGCCTCCCGAGTGCTGGGATTAAAGGTGTGTGCCACCACTTCCCGGTTTACCCTGTTTTTCTTTACATCTACTGTCTTGTTTTCCCTTCTTGTAAGAAATAGGAAACCAAGCCTTTAATCCCAGCACTCAAGAGGCAGAGGCAGGTGGATCTCTGTGAGTTCAAGGCCAGCCAGGTCTACAGAGCGAGTGCCAGGACAGCCTCCAAAGCCACAGAGATACCCTGTCTCAAAAAACCAAAAAAGAAAAAAAACAATCAAGTCAATTATGAACCCTTGCCTATATTCATTTTGAAATACTCATTATAACAGGAATTCTTTTCAAATGGGCCTCCTTATGTTTTCTATTCTGGGTGGTACCTGCAGTCCCTCTCCTCAGCCTCCAAAGAAATTGGGAGTGGAGATTACGCTATGTTTTCTCACCATGAGTGGAATGTTTCTGGTCTACTCTTATCCTATACTATTGGAATTAGCATTTGTCCGTTTGTGGCTGGCCTCATTTCACTCAGCATAAAGTCCTTAATTCTCATCCATGAGCTTGCATATTTCAGCACTCCTAAGACTGAAAATATCAATTGTATGCATCTCCTACTCTTTCCTTACACATTCACCTCCCCACAGATATCAGCTTGCTTCCGCTTCCTCGATAGTGAATAATGCTGCTGTTAGCATAGGTTCACATAGACACCAGGGCTAGCTTTCATGGAAAAGCACTTATGCAATGATGATAGATACCAGATAGATCTCAGCCACTCTAAGGGTGGAAGGAAGGTGGATCTATATTCTCCATTCTTCGTGGGGCCTAAAGCAACGCTAGCGTTTCTATGACAGTGGTATGTTTTACTGTGGAATTATACCTGTCTCCTAAGGTTGTTGTGTTCTGAAACTCCTTAAAAGATATATTAGGGGCTAAAGGCGTGATAATCAAGAATGCTTTCCTGCTCTTCCAGAGAACCGGAGCTCAGTTCTCAGCATCCACATTGGGCAGCTCCCAACTGCCTGTTACTCCAACTCCAGGGGATGAGAGCCTCTTCTAGTCTCTGAAGGCACTTGCACACACAACACAATTCACAATCACACAGACAAACCGTTTCTTTAAAAAGACAGGCACTAGCCTCCACTTAGATGTGCCTTCTTGAGCAACCTATGGTGGAGTAACTTAGCTCACTCTGAAGACATGTTAGCACCTCCACCCCAACAGGGATCTCACTTTGTAGTCAAGCAATGCCTCTACTTCCATTCCTAAAAGTTGGGATTATTGGCTTGAGCCCCCACCACGTGGCCTCAACTTCCTGAGAAGTAGGGCACAATAGGAAGGTTTTCTCTATATTTTTAAGACAAAAAACCCACCCCACCCCTCGCAGTCATCCCGTCCCAACTTCTTAAGCAATGGAATCATAGACGTGCGTCTCTACACCCAATTTCTAGCCTTCCCTTGATTATACCTCCTGTCTTTTGGTGCCAGTAATATATTCAAAACGGTCTTACTGTGTCTCCTCCGGATTCCAAGCTGAGGCTAATTCCAGCCACCCCTGTCCTTCAAGAAACACTCTTTTCCTGGTTGCCAACCTCCACCCCCAGAATGAAAACAACTAGGGTCTGTGTGGGGAGGGCCACACAAGTCACCCCAGCACTCAAGACACTGAGGCAATGGCAGCGGGTTCCACTAGACCTAGTCTGTAAATTATTCAAACCTAAGAAATGTCTTGGCCCTTCTTCAAATAATGACCCACGGGGACACATAACCCTCTACCCCATTCCGACTAGAGCATTCTCAGCTCACCTGGAATCTCTCCGTCTTCGATCCAGTTTGGAAAACTTGAGGTCGATGAGCCCCTACGAGTGAGGAGCTCCAGGAACATCCAAACTGAGCAGCCGGGGTCCCCCCACCCCCCACCCCGCCCCTCCCGGCAACTTTGAGCCTGTACTGGGAGTGAGCCTCTGATTCCTAAATTAGTCCATGAGGTCAGAGTCAGCGCGGCCATTGTAACGCGACTGGAGGGCGGCGACGTCACCAGACACGCCCCTAGGTCTCTCCCTGGATCACCAAAGCGGAGAAGGGGTAGTTACAGCCCAAACGCGACCCCCAAAATCAGAACTGTACCAGTCTGATCACAAGCAACTGTTCACAACCCCAGATCGCAACCAAACGTCCACAACACCGAGCTAGAGGTGACCTTTCCAGTCAATTCCACAGAGGCCGCTGTAATGAGTCGCCATGGCAACAATGGCAACAGCACGACCCGCCTCCTCCCCCAGGGAATCCGGCTTCTCCAGCGATCCCCAGAAGTGTCCGGAGAGTTCTGGACAGGGGTGGCTCCCTCCGCACCGATTACTCAAAGGAGGCGGGGATACTCCACCAGACGCGAAACTGCTGGAAGATTCCGGTCCCCACGGCCGCCTCCGGATCGCTGATTGGCCCAGGGCAGAGCGGGCGGGGCCGGAGGGCGCTCCATAAAGACACAGGGTGACCAGCAGGGAACCAGACGCACCCAGCCCTTCCCACTGAGATCTCTGGTTCCCCGCGGAGCCCAGAGAGAAGAGGAGCGGAGCGGAGGAGCTGCGCGTTCCCGACCCTCGGAAAGGACCAACCTCCTTCCCCGGAGCTTCCCCGCCGCAGAGCGCAGCCTTGCAGAAGCCGAGCGCCGACCCCCGGCAGCAGAGAGAGAGAGCGGCGCCATGGCCAAGAACACGGCGATCGGCATCGACCTGGGCACCACCTACTCGTGCGTGGGCGTGTTCCAGCACGGCAAGGTGGAGATCATCGCCAACGACCAGGGCAACCGCACGACCCCCAGCTACGTGGCCTTCACCGACACCGAGCGGCTGATCGGAGACGCGGCCAAGAACCAGGTGGCGCTGAACCCGCAGAACACCGTGTTCGACGCGAAGCGGCTGATCGGCCGCAAGTTCGGCGACGCGGTGGTGCAGTCGGACATGAAGCACTGGCCCTTCCAGGTGGTGAACGACGGCGACAAGCCCAAGGTGCAGGTGAGCTACAAGGGCGAGAGCCGGGCGTTCTACCCCGAGGAGATCTCGTCCATGGTGCTGACGAAGATGAAGGAGATCGCCGAGGCGTACCTGGGCCACCCGGTGACCAACGCGGTGATCACGGTGCCCGCCTACTTCAACGACTCGCAGCGGCAGGCCACCAAGGACGCGGGCGTGATCGCGGGTCTGAACGTGCTGCGGATCATCAACGAGCCCACGGCGGCCGCCATCGCCTACGGACTGGACCGATCCGGCAAGGGGGAGCGCAACGTGCTCATCTTCGACCTGGGGGGCGGCACGTTCGACGTGTCCATCCTGACGATCGACGACGGCATCTTCGAGGTGAAGGCCACTGCGGGCGACACGCACCTGGGCGGGGAGGACTTCGACAACCGGCTGGGTGAGCCACTTCGTGGAGGAGTTCAAGAGGAAGCACAAGAAGGACATCAGCCAGAACAAGCGCGCGGTGCGGCGGCTGCGCACGGCCTGCGAGCGGGCCAAGAGGACCCTGTCGTCCAGCACCCAGGCCAGCCTGGAGATCGACTCCCTGTTCGAGGGCATCGACTTCTACACGTCCATCACGCGGGCGCGGTTCGAGGAGCTGTGCTCGGACCTGTTCCGCGGCACGCTGGAGCCCGTGGAGAAGGCCCTGCGCGACGCCAAGCTGGACAAGGCGCAGATCCACGACCTGGTGCTGGTGGGCGGCTCCACGCGCATCCCCAAGGTGCAGAAGCTGCTGCAGGACTTCTTCAACGGGCGCGACCTGAACAAGAGCATCAACCCGGACGAGGCGGTGGCCTACGGGGCGGCGGTGCAGGCGGCCATCCTGATGGGGGACAAGTCGGAGAACGTGCAGGACCTGCTGCTGCTGGACGTGGCGCCGCTGTCGCTGGGTCTGGAGACGGCCGGCGGCGTGATGACGGCGCTCATCAAGCGCAACTCCACCATCCCCACCAAGCAGACGCAGACCTTCACCACCTACTCGGACAACCAGCCCGGGGTGCTGATCCAGGTGTATGAGGGCGAGCGGGCCATGACGCGCGACAACAACCTTCTGGGGCGCTTCGAGCTCAGCGGCATCCCGCCGGCACCCAGGGGCGTGCCCCAGATCGAGGTGACCTTTGACATCGACGCCAACGGCATCCTGAACGTCACGGCCACCGACAAGAGCACCGGCAAGGCCAACAAGATCACCATCACCAACGACAAGGGCCGGCTGAGCAAGGAGGAGATCGAGCGCATGGTGCAGGAGGCAGAGAGGTACAAGGCCGAGGACGAGGTGCAGCGCGAGAGGGTGGCGGCCAAGAACGCGCTCGAGTCCTACGCCTTCAACATGAAGAGCGCCGTGGAGGACGAGGGCCTTAAGGGCAAGATCAGCGAGGCCGACAAGAAGAAGGTGCTGGACAAGTGTCAGGAGGTCATCTCCTGGCTGGACGCCAACACGCTGGCCGAGAAGGAGGAGTTCGTGCACAAGCGGGAGGAGCTGGAGAGGGTGTGCAGCCCCATCATCAGCGGGCTGTACCAGGGTGCGGGCGCTCCCGGGGCTGGGGGCTTCGGGGCCCAGGCGCCCAAGGGAGGCTCTGGATCGGGACCCACCATCGAGGAGGTGGATTAGAGAGGTCCCTGTTTGCTCTCCCGGTGTCCTCTAGGATACAGACTGGTGGCACTTGAGGACTGCTGTCACATTGGCCATTACTGTCAGGGTTAGCCCTTCACTCCTGAGTTCATTCTGTCCTTAAGTCCTAGCCTTAGGGAGAGTTTTTATCTACTTTGTGGAATAATCGTGATCTTTATATTTCCTGTAAGTTAGTGCTCTGAAATAATTCACACTGTATATGATGTGTTTTGCCAGACTACAAAGTTGGAAGATTTATAACTTAATATTGTGTTCATCTGATTCTGGCTTTCAATAACAGAAAAGCCAAAGAAGTTTTCTGTCTTTGTTATTTTAAAAAGAAATTATGTTGCCATCTGAGGGCTAACACCTTATTCTCTTTGGGTGCAAGGCCATCCTCCTGGTCTATATAGTGAATTCCAAGACAACTAGGGCTATGTAGAAGGACTTTCTTTCAAAGTACAAAAAGGAAAGAAATATTTTAAGAAACACTAGGAGATTATATGTTTCTTTTGCCTGGATTTCTGCCCTTGGCCACACTATTGAGGTACCCTTAGGTTGGTGCCTTCCATAGGCTAAGTTTGTCATATGAAAGGGTGAAGCTCTGGCTGCCTCTCTTGTGTTTATACTTTTGTGTTTGCAGTTTTGTTGTTGAACTGTTGAGCTGGGTTTTCCAGCTGGTAAACTTGGAGGTGAATTTATACAGCAACCCTTTGTTCACTTTATTTTTTACATATCCATACTGAACTCAGGTCATCTTTTACTGGTTATTTGAAAATAAACTCAAAATAACTTGCTTTGTCTGTGCCTGTCGTATTTGGGTGTCATAAGAGTTGCTACTTCTATCATCTCACAGTTTCCCCTATAGAAGAGTGACATTTGATCCAGACAGGGCCTGGAGGACAGAGGGGACATTGCATTGTGATCCATTTGTGTATCCATGAAATGAGTCAGCAAACAATAAACCCTTCTGGGGCTGAGCTATAGCTCAGTGCAGGAGGTCCTGTGATAAATTTTCATGGAGGTGGGGGAGAGAGTTGTCCAAAACAGCCCTGGTGTTTGAGGCTTGGGGCTGGGGATCCAGGAGAAGTCAGTCACTTGGCAGGGTGGTAAGGATGCAGACCATGTAAGACTTCAGAAGAGGCAATGGAGGAGTCACTTAGTATAAAGCAAAAGGGGGGGAGGTGAAATAAAATAGTAAAAGGTTGAGGATGATGGGCTTTAAAAAGTGAGAATTGTCACAGCAGGTTGAGGATACACAGTCCCTTGTTCTCATCTTTCACTTAATAGATTTTTACTGTGTTTGGATTAGAGCACCACCTTGGGGCATGCACATGCCAAGGCACACATGCAGGGTCAGAGTACCACTGTGGGGCATGCACAGAGGACTTCTGTGGAAGCAAGTTCTCTCTTGGGGTCAGTCCTGGGCATGGGGCTTAAATCTGCAGGTGTGAAGCCAGTGCTTTTACCTGCTGAAGCCTCTCCTCTCGGATTTCCAATGTTTTAAATGGAGGTTGAGTTAGTCAGGCCTCACTACCCTATTGAGATTAGAGAAAGGTCCCCCCCCCCTTTTTTTTTTAAACCTGCTTAAAACTTTTGAAGCAGAGGCTGGCTTGGAACTTAACATACAGTCCAGTCTGGGCTTGAATTTGAGGAGTCTATACAGCCTCAGCCTCCCAAGGGCTGGTTATAGACATGGATTGCTATGCCATGCCTACTTTATAACTTTTTATTTGGTTGGTGTTTCGTTTCTTTTTTTCTTTTTTTGCTTTGTGTGTGGTGCTGGGGTTTAAGGCCAGTTCTACCCTTGAGCTGAACTGTTCTTGGAATCAAGCCTAGAGCTTGGAAATGCTAAGCAACTGTTTTACTGATGGACATCTTCAGCCCTTGGTTTCTCTTTTTTTGTTGTCGGGTTATTTTTTGAGATGGGTTCTCTCATATCCCAGTCTGGGCCCCCTCACTGCCTCCAGATTCTTCAAAAGTGGGAGTGTTAAGGGATGGAGATATAGCTTAGTGGCAAAAGAGGTACATGTACCTACCAACCAGCTCTGGGGTCAGCCCTCAGCACAGGATGGAGGGGGGTACAGGGGTCAGCAATGGATCTGTTGGGCTGATACTTTGCTTCACGATTATTTCTGAAAGGGTACTGGAATTGAAATTGTACTTGTGAGCAGAGCATTGGTGACACATGCCTTTAATCCCAGCACTTGGGAGGAGGTAGAGGCAGGTGGATCTCTGTGAGTTCAAGGCCAGCCTGGTCTACAGAGTGAGTTAGTTCTAGGACAAGCTCCAAAGCTACAGAGAAACCCTGTCTAGAAAAACAAAACAAAACACAGAGAGAGAGAGAGATCACATTTGTGATTTGTTAAAATTTTACGTGTGTGTGTGTGTGTGTGTGTGAGTTTGGGTACCTGTGTGTGTGAGCGTGCACGCGTGGGTCAGAGGGTAACCCCAGGAGTCAGTTTTATTCTTCCACTGTGGGCTCTGGAGTATTGAGCTCAGGTAATCAGGCTCTCATGCACACACTTTCACATGCTGGGCCATCTTGCTGGGCCACATCTGCAGTTTTGTCACCTAAGTTTCAAGTATTCCAGTGACCATACATGGCGGGATGTGTGTAGGGGGTTACTTGACAATATAGAGCCTTGAGATCGGAAGGACCTCAACATGGAAGGCTGTGACAGAGTGGACACTGCCTGGCACCTGTTGCTTTACTAGCCCTGTTGTGCTGGCTGCTCTCACATGAGCTTGGCACAGGCTAGAGTCATCTGAAAAGAGGGCACCTCAAGCGAGAGGGCGCCTCCATGGGAGCCAGCCATTTCCTTTTTTCTGTTTCATTTAGTATTTATTTATTTATTATAAATGATGTTTTTAAAAAGTTGAACAAACTGTTTTAATTAGTTATTTATTTTATGTGCGTTGATTGGCCTGTATGTGTGTGTGTCCTTGAACAGGAATCACAGATAGCAGAGAGCTGTCATGTAGGTGCTGGGAATTGAACCTGGATCCTCTGGAAAAGCAATCAGTGCCCTTAACCAACTAGCCATCTCTCCAGCCCCTAATTTATTTAAATTATTTATTTTACATCCGGACCCAAGCCTTTCTGTCATATCCATCCTCTCCTCCCACACCTCCCCTCTGCCCTCCCCATCCATTTTCTTCATTAGTGATTGGTGTGGAAGGGCCCAGCCCTAGGCTGGTGGTCCTTGGTTCTATAAGAAAGCAGGCTGAGCAAGCCATGGAGAGCAAACCAGTAAGCAGCTCCCCCATGGCCTCTGCATCAGCATCAGCTCCTACCTCCAGGATCTGCCCTCAGTGTAGTCCTTCAATGACTACAGTGTGAAAGGGTGAGCCAAACCAACCCTTTCCTCCCACCTTGCTTTTGATCTTGGTATTTCGTCATAGCAACAGCTAACGTGCACAGCTACCGTCTCTGCACACCCACAAATTGTCTGGTGCGTAGTCGGTGAGAAGGGTGGTGAAGGAAGTGGGGGTCAGGGGGGATGGGCGGCCACCTGGAAGCTCTGCTATTGTCATTTCTGAGGACCCTTTCTCACTCCTGCCACCCAATTTGTTTGGCTCAGTATGGTGAATGTCACAAAACTTTCCATTGTTTCCATCTGATGAATGAGAGCTGGGTGTGGTACATGCCTGTGCTAGCACTGGGAAAGTGGAGGCAGGAAGTCTCCTGTTCAAGACTAGTCTGGGCTCCATAGATACACCCCATCCATGATGATGGAGGGAGGAGGGTGAGGAGGCTTCAGGAGCATCGCAGAGGTGATAGAAACTTATAATCCCAGCACTTGCAGGGCTAAGGCAGGAGGATTATCTAGAGTTTAAGGCTTACCTGGCTTGTCTAAAAAACAAGCAAAACCAGAAGCAACTTTAAACATCGAGGGAAGGGAAGGGGCTGGAGAGATGGCTCAGAACTGGATGCTTTCCCAGAGGACCCAGGTGCAATTCCCAGCCTCACAGACATCTGGCCTTCGGCAGGCACCAGGCACACGAGTGGTGCACAGACACACAAAGAAAACACCTGTACACACAAAATAAACTTTAATTAAAAAAAAAAAAAAAAAAAAAAAAAAAGCAGCAAGGGCCTGGCGTTGGTGGTGCACTAATCCCAGCACTCGGGAGGCAGAGGCAGGCAGATCTCTGTGAGTTTGAGGCCAGCCTGGTCTATAAGAGCTAGTTCCAGGACACCCAGGACTCTATAGAGAAACTTTGTCTAGGAAAACAAAACAAAACAAAGTAAAGCAAGGGAGGGGGCACGCCCCACCCCTTCCTGTCTATTCCAGTTTGTCAAGCTTCGTCAGTCTTTGCGTCTATCTGGAACAGCGGCTTCAGTTAGACTCCATTTTTAATACCCAGCAGTTCCGTGGGCTCTGTACCAGCTGTGCCTTGGTCACAAGATTTGCTTCCCTTCCCATTTCTGGCAGATGAGAAGTTAGAAGCCTAGGGGCAGGGCCATGAGAGGGTAGTGCAGCAGGGAAGTTCCTTGGTCTAACCTTCACATCTGTGAGTCTACACCCCGTTGGTGTGTGGAGAGGTAGTCTCAGGAGGAAGGTTTAGAAGGTTTGTACTGGAAAGGAAAGGAAAGGCAGGTATAGGAAAAGGATGTGATCTGGCCTTTCAGCCACTGCCTTCTCCCTCACCCTAATCTTTCATGGGGTTCTTACAAAAAGAGATGTGAGAAGCCATGTGGGTCCCAGACAGGTGGGTGGCTCGGTTACTCAGCATTATAAATAGTCTCTTCTGCAATGTGCATAGATTGTATTTTATCTTGGTTGTACAGCTCTGGGACCAGGGCAATAGTTTGTGTCTGTCACTCTTCTTTGTAAAGCCCACATCCACGCTTTCAGATGTGACTCTACTCCTAAGCGCCTGTCAGTCTTAACTCTTTCACTCAAAATTTTGTTTTTGTTATTGTTGTTTGTTTGTTTTTTAAGTTTTTTAAGTGACTCAAACTGGGGACTGGAGAGATGATGGCTCCGTGGTAAGAGCTGGTACTTTTCTTCCAGAGGACTTGTTTTATTTCCCCAGAGCCAAGTTTAGAAACTTACAACTGTCTGTAAATCCAGTTCCAGGGGATTCAGTGCCCTGTTCTGTTCTCTAGGCACCTGACTACTGTACACATCCACACTATTAAAAATAAACCCTGGGCTGGGCGGTGGTAGCGCATGCCTTTAATCCCAGCACTTGGAAGGCAGAAGCAGGTGGATCTCTGCGAGTTCGAAACCAGCCTGGACTACAAGAGCTAGTTCCAGGACAGCCTCCAAAGCCACAGAGAAACCCTGTCTCGAGAAACTAAACTAAATAAATAAAAACAAATCCTGAAAACTCCCCAACTTTGCATCATAATAAAGTGACTTGCATCTTTTGTTTTGTGGTAGAAAATTAAAGCCAAAGCCTTTTTCATGCTACACAAGCACAGCAGAGGGGAGTGGTTTGGTTTTGGAAAAGGGTCTTACTCTGTAGCCCTGGATAGCCTGAAACTTGTTATATAGCCCAAGTTGCTTCAAACTTGTAACAGTGTGACAATCCTTCAGTCCCTGCTTGCTGGAGCTACAGAATAAGCCACCACACCTAACTTTAGCCCTGTTTTTGTGTTGAATTTAAAGTAATTCCCTTGTGCTGGAAACTGTCTCCCGCTTTGTTAGGACCTCAGCAAGAATGAATGAGTAGCCAGATATGAGTGTGTGGGCCTGCCAATCAAAGAAGGGAAAACTGCAGAGCCCATAATGTAACAGCTATAACAAAGTCAACTATAATTCTTTATGCCACTTTTGTTTTGCCTGAGTTTGGGGGGGGTGCTTATTTCATGAGACAGGGTATAATGTATTCTAGTCTGTCTTCAAGCTCACTATGTAGCCAAGGATAACCTTAAACTTCTGATCCTCCTGCTTCTCCCTCCCCACCAATGGTATCACAGGTGTGTGATACCAGCCCTGGTTTCTGTGGTGGCAGATTTAACCCTGGACTTTGTGCACACTAGGCAGACACACAGCTGAGCCACAGCCCCTGCACCCCTGTGTTTGCTATTTTCAAGGCAGAATTTCTTCTTTTAGCCCAGGCTGGTTATCAATCATCTCATAGCATCCTCTTGCATCATCCTCTCCCACTCTGAAATTACCGGTGCCCAACTTCACACCTGCCTGTAGTAGATACTGTTAAATCTGTTTTAGAGATGATCACCTGGGTGATTTAGTAGCATACAAATACTTCATTGTGGTTTCCTTTGGGTGTTTTGTTTTTCCCCTTTGTTTTTTCCAGACAGGGTTTCTCAGTGTAGACCTAGCTGTCCTGGAACTAGCTCTTGTAGACCAGGCTGGTTTACCTGCCTCTGCCTCCCGAGTGTTGGGATTAAAGGCTTGTGCCACCACTGCCTGGTTCAAGTATTTCATTGTTAAAAATAAAACAAAGCAAACCACCCTTGACCAAGAGGTAGATTCCAGACACAAAGCACAAACACAGGTCTTCCCCTACCCACAGTGTTTTTCCACTTGCTGGAAATCTACAGAGCTCTACTGCTACCAAAGCCTTTGCAATCTGCTTAAGAATGCCTGCCTTAGCAGGGTGTGGTGCTTATCCCTGTTACAGCATCTGAGAATCTGAGGCAGGAGAGCTGACATGAGTTCCAGCCAGCTTGGACTATGTGGTGAAACTATCTCAAAACTGAAACAGGAGAAACAGAACAAAAAGCAAAAAGGCCGCCTCCGGGATTCGCATCACTTGTTCCCTACGCTTGCTCTGGATACGCTTGGAATTGTATCATCTTTTTTAAAAAACGAGGCTGTTTTGAGAAACTGCAATTAAGAGGAGAGAAAAAAAGATGTTGGAACCCTGGGCTGAGGAAGCTCCTCCCCGCTCAAGAGTTCTTGGTGTCCTGTCCTGCCCCTGGCTCTCCCCACCCCTTAAAAGTCCTTCAGAGCCTTCCAGCTTCGGAACCCTGAACTCTGTTGTTTCCAAATATGGAACTTAGTAAAAACTTAGTTCCAGAATGAACCAAAGTCCTCTTGGTGTGTGTGTAGGGAGAGGGGGGTTATGGAAATTAAATCCAGGGTGTCTTGAACTAGAAGCTTGTATTTTACCAGCAGCTTGGGTTCTTTCAGACCCTCTGCCCTCCCAGCAATTAAACCTCTCACCACGCTTCTGCCCCCAAAACACCCAGGCTAAAAGGACAGACAAACTTCAAATCTCTTCTTGTGCAGAAATGGACATGGGCGGGGTATCATGGCAGCTCCCAGTGATCCTAGCACTTGTGTGGGTGAGAGAAAAGGCTCATGCAGCTTTCTTTCAAGGCCAGCCTTCCCAGCATGGAGTCCCAGACCACCCTTCACTGCAGAATGAGAGCCTGTCTCGATTTTTCTTTTAAAGATGCATTCTAAATATTACAGGAGTAAACCTAGGACTATCAGTGACCACAGATGGTGGTGAGCAGGCCTGGGGGGGCGGGGAGTAGGAACTCCTAGAGGCATCCCTAGCCAGAGATGCATAGAGTAATGGAAAAATCCTTGACGTTTAACCAGTTTGACCTGATTGGGGTAGTGATTCATCAGAACTGAATTCATTAGTTCTGACTATAAACAAGCTACAGCCTGCCAATAGGATCTATGCATCTTCAAAACATTGCCCAAGATCAGCAAACTAGTCAAATGCCCTTGGATTCCAGGAAGAGATATTTTCATATGGACTTACACACACACACACACACACACACACACAGATGTAAATGGAGCTGGGTTCTCTTCAGAAACTGCCTACACTCAGGAGCCTGTAGTACTTGTTCATACCTGGAATTCCAGGTCTTGGGAATAAAGGCTGGAGGATTGAGGGCTTAAGGCCAGCCTTGACAACTACACAGTAAATCCAAGGACAACCTGGGTTACAGGAGGCCCTATTTAAAAGAAAAAAAAAAAAAAAAAAAAAAAAAAAGGATTCGTGTATATAGTCTCCCTGCCATGGACTGTTACCTCAAAACTAAGGCTCCCTGATTTTTTTTTGAGAGACAGGCTCTAAGGTAGCCCAGGCTGGGCTCACACTTTCGATCCTCCTGCCTGCCCCTCCACAAGCATGGGCCACCACACCCAGCAGTCTATTGTGATTTCAGGTATCTAACTAGGGGTCTTTATTCCTTACACAGGAGGAGGAAGAGGGGCAGGGACAGACTAGATCATCTACGACTAAATGTATTTATAATCAAAACAGGGAATGAGATAAGGCACAGGTAAATTAGAAGGCGGGTCCCAACACCCCTGCCAAAGGGGCTCACACTTGGCTTTAAATGTACTGTAAGGTACGATACTATCAGAGAACACCACCTCTCTCCATCTAAAAGAGGTGACTGGTGAGGAGCAGCAGGCACAGAGAGCAGAAAACCCAAAGAACTCCAAGTTAACCCTCACCACACTTACTACCTCTATCAGAGCCAGGAACTGAGCAGAAAGACAGGTGCCGAGCAAAGAGCTACACAAAGGAAAAGCCAAGCTGGCATTCCCTACATTCCTTAAAATGTTACAGACAGGGTTTCCTTCTGTAACCTAGGTAGGCATCGGACGCGCTGCAGCCCTGCCTCAGCCTCTCAAGTGCTGGGATTACTGGTGTGAGCCACCACACCCCGCCAACTGCTATGGAAAGTTTTATTTTTCTTACAAATGCCAGGCTCCAGCCTGAGGCAAAGGGAGTGGCTGCCTGCTGGCACGGTCCACACCGCCCTGCCCTCCTGGGACACTTTCCTTATTCGGGTCACAGGTCCTCCTAACGCGAGAACCTAGTGTCTACACCCTTATTTTCTTTTGTAAACCTTTAGGACTCCGCTTGGAGATCTACTGCTTACTTCTTGTACGCTAACCGTGGTGTAAAAAACACCAAAGCAAAAACAAAACAAAACAAAAAAACCTATACTGTATGATCTTTTCTCTGTCCACTTTTTAACCTAAGATGGAGAAAAGAAGGGAAGAACCAGCATTCCTTAGGAGGTACGCACGCTGTCACTCGCAGCCAGAACCCAATCACAATCTTTTTTTGGCTAAACGTTATCCCGCCTCTTTAGAGAAACTTTCTGTGTCCGCCACCCTGTGGAAGACATTATAGTAAACCCAAAAGTCCCTAAGTGGTGTAAATCCGACTCGCCTCTCAGCGCCCAGCACCTCCAGAAGCTGACCATTCTCAGCTTCACCCAGAGAGACCGCTACAGTGCGTCGCCATGGCAACTGCACGTCCAGCCTATCCTCCCCTCCCCCCCCAGCAATCCGGCGTCTCCAGCGATCCCCAGAAGTGTCCGGAGAGTTCTGGACAGGGGTGGCTCCCTCCGCACCGATTACTCAAAGGAGGCGGGGATACTCCACCAGACGCGAAACTGCTGGAAGATTCCGGGCCCCACGGCCGCCTCCGGATCGCTGATTGGCCCAGGGCAGAGCGGGCGGGGCCGGAGGGCGCTCCATAAAGACACAGGGTGACCAGCAGGGAACCAGACGCACCCAGCCCTTCCCACTGAGATCTCTGGTTCCCCGCGGAGCCCAGAGAGAAGAGGAGCGGAGCGGAGCGGAGCGGAGCGGAGCGGAGCGGAGCGGAGGAGCTGCGCGTTCCCGACCGTCGGAGAGGACCAACCTCCTTCCCCGGAGCTTCCCCGCCGCAGAGCGCAGCCTTGCAGAAGCCGAGCGCCGACCCCCCGGCAGCAGAGAGAGAGAGCGGCGCCATGGCCAAGAACACGGCGATCGGCATCGACCTGGGCACCACCTACTCGTGCGTGGGCGTGTTCCAGCACGGCAAGGTGGAGATCATCGCCAACGACCAGGGCAACCGCACGACCCCCAGCTACGTGGCCTTCACCGACACCGAGCGGCTGATCGGAGACGCGGCCAAGAACCAGGTGGCGCTGAACCCGCAGAACACCGTGTTCGACGCGAAGCGGCTGATCGGCCGCAAGTTCGGCGACGCGGTGGTGCAGTCGGACATGAAGCACTGGCCCTTCCAGGTGGTGAACGACGGCGACAAGCCCAAGGTGCAGGTGAGCTACAAGGGCGAGAGCCGGGCGTTCTACCCCGAGGAGATCTCGTCCATGGTGCTGACGAAGATGAAGGAGATCGCCGAGGCGTACCTGGGCCACCCGGTGACCAACGCGGTGATCACGGTGCCCGCCTACTTCAACGACTCGCAGCGGCAGGCCACCAAGGACGCGGGCGTGATCGCGGGTCTGAACGTGCTGCGGATCATCAACGAGCCCACGGCGGCCGCCATCGCCTACGGACTGGACCGATCGGGCAAGGGGGAGCGCAACGTGCTCATCTTCGACCTGGGGGGCGGCACGTTCGACGTGTCCATCCTGACGATCGACGACGGCATCTTCGAGGTGAAGGCCACTGCGGGCGACACGCACCTGGGCGGGGAGGACTTCGACAACCGGCTGGTGAGCCACTTCGTGGAGGAGTTCAAGAGGAAGCACAAGAAGGACATCAGCCAGAACAAGCGCGCGGTGCGGCGGCTGCGCACGGCCTGCGAGCGGGCCAAGAGGACCCTGTCGTCCAGCACCCAGGCCAGCCTGGAGATCGACTCCCTGTTCGAGGGCATCGACTTCTACACGTCCATCACGCGGGCGCGGTTCGAGGAGCTGTGCTCGGACCTGTTCCGCGGCACGCTGGAGCCCGTGGAGAAGGCCCTGCGCGACGCCAAGCTGGACAAGGCGCAGATCCACGACCTGGTGCTGGTGGGCGGCTCCACGCGCATCCCCAAGGTGCAGAAGCTGCTGCAGGACTTCTTCAACGGGCGCGACCTGAACAAGAGCATCAACCCGGACGAGGCGGTGGCCTACGGGGCGGCGGTGCAGGCGGCCATCCTGATGGGGGACAAGTCGGAGAACGTGCAGGACCTGCTGCTGCTGGACGTGGCGCCGCTGTCGCTGGGTCTGGAGACGGCCGGCGGCGTGATGACGGCGCTCATCAAGCGCAACTCCACCATCCCCACCAAGCAGACGCAGACCTTCACCACCTACTCGGACAACCAGCCCGGGGTGCTGATCCAGGTGTATGAGGGCGAGCGGGCCATGACGCGCGACAACAACCTTCTGGGGCGCTTCGAGCTCAGCGGCATCCCGCCGGCACCCAGGGGCGTGCCCCAGATCGAGGTGACCTTTGACATCGACGCCAACGGCATCCTGAACGTCACGGCCACCGACAAGAGCACCGGCAAGGCCAACAAGATCACCATCACCAACGACAAGGGCCGGCTGAGCAAGGAGGAGATCGAGCGCATGGTGCAGGAGGCAGAGAGGTACAAGGCCGAGGACGAGGTGCAGCGCGAGAGGGTGGCGGCCAAGAACGCGCTCGAGTCCTACGCCTTCAACATGAAGAGCGCCGTGGAGGACGAGGGCCTTAAGGGCAAGATCAGCGAGGCCGACAAGAAGAAGGTGCTGGACAAGTGTCAGGAGGTCATCTCCTGGCTGGACGCCAACACGCTGGCCGAGAAGGAGGAGTTCGTGCACAAGCGGGAGGAGCTGGAGAGGGTGTGCAGCCCCATCATCAGCGGGCTGTACCAGGGTGCGGGCGCTCCCGGGGCTGGGGGCTTCGGGGCCCAGGCGCCCAAGGGAGGCTCTGGATCGGGACCCACCATCGAGGAGGTGGATTAGAGAGGTCCCTGTTTGCTCTCCCGGTGTCCTCTAGGATACAGACTGGTGGCACTTGAGGACTGCTGTCACATTGGCCATTACTGTCAGGGTTAGCCCTTCACTCCTGGGTTTATTCTAATAAGTTACAGCAATTGTAAGGTAATTGACTGTTAAATTTTGTATGTTTATGTTCTTTTTTTTTTTCATATTGCCAGCTTGTCTGGTGTCAGTAGTTCCTTCTTAACATAGTAAGGGGATTTTGCTTTTATGTACCTAAAGATGTGTGCAATTGAATGGATTTTTTTAGGAATGTGTTCTAGTGGCCTGGGAGGACCTCGTCCTGCTGCCCAGGGACCCATAGAGCCTCAGGGTTTGGTCCCAGTATAGAGCAGCTGGAGTTGATATGCCCTTTTCTCTCTCTGCAGTCATCTCTGAGACAAACTGGCTTCCAAACACTTCTTTGCACTGACTTTAATCTCCAGTATTAAAACTGTAATACCTGCTTGCCTTCGTCACAGTTTTGTGGTGTAACCCATATGTTCCTTGCATTTAATCTAAGGTGTGTAAAGATGGTAGCTTCCTGCCACCAGACAGATCAACACTGCCACCCTGTGGAGATTATTTTCTTTACAACATTACAAAGAAAAAAAAAAAACTCTTTATAACTCAATATTCAAAATAAACTGTTACAAGTATGTTTTGTCAGTGTGTATGTTGGGAGGGATGCTGAGTTCTGGGTTTACGTGGTTTCCCTGGTTTTGTGATGAGCAGAATATGTATTTGGGGGAATTTTGGTAAGTGTGGATTTTCTATGTGTTAGGCAGAATTTCTAAGTTGCAGGTGCTCACTCTGGGTAGGGCTCATTTTTGGGAAAGGTAGGAGTGGTGTTGAAAATATTTGGGGAATCAGCACGGGACTGTGACAACTCTGAACTCTTCCCTGACATTCCCCAGGGCTGAATCTAGACCAGTGTTTCTTAACCTGTGGGCCACAGTCCCTTTTTGGGTCAAAGGATCCTTTCACAGGTGACATCTAAGGCCATGGGAAAACAGACATTAACATGATTAATAACAGCAAAATTACAGTTATGAAGTAGAAATAAAAGAATTTTATGGTTTGTGGGGGAGGAACATGAAGAACTATATTAAAGGGTCACAACATCAGGAAGGTTGAGAACCCTAGATCTAGACTGTCAAGTGGGTTAGACTAGGGTTTCATCATGGAGCTAGTAGCCCTCTTTCTAACTTTCCCTTTGTTTTTGAGACAGAGTCTCACTATTCAGTTCTGCCTGGCCCTCAGGCTCTGAGATCTGCCTTCCTTTTTCACACCTGGTTCTTAATTACTTTATAAGATCAGAATTTAGACTTTCTCTAGCTCAGCCTTTCTTTTCAGTCCCCATCCCTGAACCCCCTAGCTGAAACTGTACACTTGCCACCCTACACCAGGTCTGACCACCTTTTTCTTTTTTGGGGGGAGGGGTATGTGTGTGTGTGTGAGAGAGAGAGAAATGGTCTTTTATGTAGCCCTGGCTGGCCTTTAATTCCTGCCCTGATAGCCTTTTGTCCCATGGATCTCCATCGTATTGGTGTAATGACATTCTCTGAGAGCTGGGGAGTGTAGCTCAGTGACAGAATGCCCACTTAGCAAGCATAAGGTCCTAGACACTCCCCAGCTCCACTGAGAATATCACTTACTTGGGCTGCATGTCAACCACCTGTAATTCCAGCATGTTTATACATAGCAAATTTCTAAGGCCATCCTGGGGTAAAGAAGTCATCAGCGATAGTTCAATGGCCCAAAAATAACTCTTGAGGCTAGCCAGGGCAATTATATTCATTGCAGAAGCAGTTTATTGCTGAGCCATACCAGACCATTAGAAGTCATCTGGCCTGAACATTTAGAGCTTGGAGTTGAAAACAGCTTCTTCCCATGTCACTCCCAGTAGGTACTCAGGCCTCTAAGAACTGAGAAATTCATCAAATATACAATTACTATAAGGATTCCTATACTTTTTTTAAAACTTTCATATATATATATGTATATATATATGTAATCTCTGTGTAGTATTGGCTGGCCTCAAATTGACAGAAATCGGTCTGCCTGTCTCCCAAATGCTGGGATCAGAGGCCTATGCCACCACATCCAACCTTATAAGAGATTTTTGATGGAAGGCTACATCCTTCGAGGGACTGGGTCAGATTGAAGAATGTATGGCAACAATCCATTTCTTATACATACAGTGGTCTTCCAAGTGTTATTTATAATCTTGTTTCTCAGTTAGGGTCTTACTCAGTAGCCCAAACAGGCCCTGAGCTCCATAAATAGCACAGCACAGCTCTCTAACTTTGATTTCTTTTTAGTTTTTCCAGACAAGTTTTTCTTGTAGCCCTGGGTATTCTGGAACCCCTGCTGTAGATCAGGCTGGTCTGGAACTCAGAGATTTGATGTCTCTGCCTTCTGAGTGCCAGGATTAAAACTGTACACTGCCACCTCCCAGCTAAAATGCATTTTAAAAATTTATGCCAGAGCAACTCACAATGGCTCACACATGTAATCTGAGCATTTAGGAAATGGAGGCAGGAGTGTTGAGTGGTACACAATTAGCTGTCTCAAAAAAAAAAAAAAAAAAAAAAAAAGAAAAGAAAAAAGAAAATGACAAAGGGGGCTCAAGAAATGGCTCAGTGATTAGGAGCACTTTCTGCTTTTCTAGGGGACCTGGATTCAGTGCCCAGCACCCATATCAGGTGGCTCACAACTTCCTGTAACTACAGTTCCAAAGGATCCAAAGCGCTCTGGCTGGCTTTGGCAGGCATTTGCACACATGTGGTGCACACACATATACATAAATAAAAAATTTTTTTTGTTGTTTGTGTTTTTCGAGACAGGTTTCTCTGTGTAACAGCCCTGGTTGCCCAAGAGTTTGCTTTGTGGACCAAGCTGGCTTGGAATTCACAGAGATCCATTTGCCTCCGCCTCCAAGTACTGGGATAAAGGGCATGCACTACCATGCCCGGTCATAATACTAATTTTTAAAATCTCTTTTAAAAGCGTCAAGCCTGCAATTCTAAGCATTATTGGAACCCACTTTGGAGGCATGAATACGCGGTTGGGGGCGGGGGTTTACTATTCAATAAAGTTTTTTTTTTTTTTTAATAAAAAGAATGTAGAGCAGACGCTGAGCTGCGAATTCAGATTTTTGTGGCTGGGGGAGTTGTGAGTCCCCTAGGGTGGACTGGATCCAGAGAGAGTCACTACAGCCACAAACCTCTAGGCGGCCAGAGAGCGCACGCACTCAGTCAGCTCTCCGGGGTCCTTATCCCTCCTTGGCCGTCTAGACCGCCTGGTTGCATTTTTCTTTCCTTTGGTTTGGTAATTAATCATCAGAATTCAAGAGTCATGCATGACTCTCCACTCAGGAGAGTGAGCGACACAGTTCCACTTAGTTCCCTCTGCTTAAGCCAGCGCGAGTAGGTCAGGCATATTCGAAGACGACTGTACCCGTCAGGACCCCGGCCGGGTGCGGCTATAAAGCGCGCAGGCGGCGGGCGGCCTGTCTCTTTGCACGTTTGCAGTAATGGCTGGCTACGGTCTGTCGCGCTCTGCAGGGTTCCTGAATGTTGAGCCCCGCGCCGGCCTCGTGCAGCAGGTACTGGGGGGTGGGGAGGCATGGGGAGGGCACTGCGGTGTGGGGCTGGGCAGGATGACCCACATTTACAGACTAGAGTTTCTGATGTCTCCGTGACGCCACCCCTTGGAACTGACCCAGCCCGGGTTTAGGGAGGGAGGCCGGCCCTGATCTCACGGACCCATGCTCACTCCCTGCTCTCTTTCCAGCCTCCTCACACTCGCCAGCAGGGCCTAGCCACATGCACGATGGTACGTGGATGGTGAGGGCGGGATGTGGAGGGGCTGGTGTTGGGGGACGGCGGTAATGATGAACTCTGGTGATTCTGAGTGTCTCGCTGACGCCATCACCGCAGCGCGCTGACCGCCCCTGGGTCCAGAGCCTGCAACATTGTGGTTTCTGCGCCTTAGTGGCCTGGAGTGCTTAATGATTCCCTTTTGTGTCTTGCTCCCTGTTAGGATTTGAGGACACCCGCCTGCCGTTTACTGTTAGAAAAGGGTTAGTATTTGACCCTCGCCGGATTCCTTTATTCTTAAGCCTTTAAAAATGTTACGTGCACGTTTGTGAGGGCTTCAGATCCCTTGTAACTGGAATTACAGATGGTTGCAAATTGCCATTTGGGTCTTGGAAATTTAGTCAGGGTCCTCTGGAAAAGCAGCCAGTGCTCTTAACCACTAAGCCATCTATCCAGTCACCTTGCTTGATAACGTTAAGGCTGCCCTTCTATCCTGCCACTCACTGACGCTGGTGCCTGAACCTTAGCGCCCACAGACATGCCAACATTCCCAGCTTTAGCCTAATCCAAACTTTGAACTGCTGGGATTTTTCTGTATACCGGTGCTTTATTACGTTAGTATACGTCAGGAACTTTTTTCTGAAACACTGGCCACAAGGGGTTTGTCAGGTGTGGCTTTAATGTTGTACCGCCTTTTTCTCTTAACAGTTTTTAGTAGTTATGACTAAGAATACAAACATGACCCGCTATAATGTTTTCTTGCTTCTCAGACTAACATTCCCTGGACTTATATTGAATCCATTCCTACTGAGGCTGGTGCTTTGAAAACAATGCTTTTGATTCAGGTCTCCCTCAATTGGGAGTGATGATTTCACAGACTAGAGTCTCTGACGCTGGTCCTGATGTCAACTATAAATCTGACTCATTTGGGGAACCTGAAAATTCTGGGTGTGCTATTTACACCTCCCTGGGATGGGATCCAATGTCCCATAATGCTGGGTGGTCTAGCCCTCCTGAGGTGTATAGCTGGCTGCTGCGTGTCACTCATGGTCCTATTTTCATCTCTAGAATGAGCTCTGAAGACTACACAGGCTTCATCCTGATCCCTATATTGTGGGCTGCCCTCAGGGGCCCAGCCTAAGGTGGAACCTGCTAGAAGTGACCCAGGATGCTTTGATTGTACTTGCCCAATCATTCTGCTGTCAGGTGGAAGGCAAGCGCTTCTTCCTGCTTGCTATGGTGGTGAGTGTTCTAGTTATTTTTTCTATTACTGTAATAAGGGCCCTGACTACTTGGGGAGGAGCTTAAGTGGTTTGGCTTATGGTCTGTGGAGTAATGAATGCTGCTTGCTGCTTTCTCCTGTGGGTTACCACTGGGTGCTTACTAGTCAAGAGAATGCCCTGTAACATACCTGTTAGGGTACTTTCCATAGTGACTAGTTAGACTAGTTTTTCTCAGGATCCAGCATGGGCTCTAAGACCTGTTTCATTTCTGTTTACAGGACTTAACTACTACAAAAGGTGAAGACTTTGTTTTTGCTGTGTCAACAGCTGCTATGAACAATATCAGCTGGACTTGTGGCCCAGAATGGACAGCATCACTCATTTGAGCTATGCAAAGGAAGCTTGTCTCTCCCTAAAATAAATACATATTTTATCTTGGTTTTCTCTGGAAGATTCTAATAAAATACTTAAACCCTGAATTGATTGGTATCTGAAAGGGTGGAAAGATTTTTTTGTGAGTAAAAGGTTCCAATAATTAGAAAAAAGTAATTGTGATTAACCTGCTAATCTGTGTCCCACAACTGCATCAAATATGCAGGAATAGGAGGAGCTCAGGCCCTCTTTGAGCTATTATGGTCTGTTCTCATGCAGGTTAAGCCTCACCTGGGTGGCATGTACTCTTGAGCAATACACCAGCCATGACTCAATGTTGAGTGAATAGGCAATTTGTAAATGTAGAGTATTACATTTGTAAATTTGAGTATTATCACGGATTAGCTGTGATGACTGTTAGCAACTATGACAGGTTGTGTAAGAAGGGCACAGTGCAGTATGGTAGACATTTGCCCAAGGTCATAATCTCTGAAGCACCTGCCATGGACAATGGTAGTGCTAAGCATTACACAGTCTTCTCTCCCAAGGCTAATGCTATTTAATGTTCTTTACAGAATTCAAAGAACACATTCAAATAACCTTGTACATTTAGCTACTATGGTTAAACCTCATCTCTGGGGCAACATCTCACCCACGTGTAAACATCCCAGATAACTGGTGTGTTAACTTGGCATGTCAGCCAGAGAACTCTAGCACCCTGGAGTATCCCAGAGACTCTTAGTAAGATAAGGGCAGGGTATGATTACTCCATGGTAGAGAGCTCTGCCAGAAGCTATAGGTTTGGTCCTGGCATTTGGGGAGGCAGAGGCAAAAGGATCAGATAAGGTCATTCTGCTATGTGTAGCAAACAAAAATAAAGGAATGTGGGGAAGAGACCATCATGGAGTTGAGGTTGAAAGGGATGGGAATTATTACATCATGGAGTTGAGGTTGAAAGGGATGGGAATTATTAGGGTATACTAGACTCACCTATGAAACTTACAAAGAACTTTATTTTCAGCACAGTATCTCTAGCTATCCTGGAATTCAATCTGAAGACCAGGCTGGCCTTGAACTCAGGTCTCTCTGCCTCTCTAGTGCTGGATCAAAGGTGTGTGTCACTACACAAAATGGTGTGCTGTTGAGGAAGACACCAGCCATAGATCCCTGGCTCCAAGTACACACAGGAAGTGTTTCAGGGAATGAAGACAATGGTTCCCACCTGTAATCCTAGCACTTCAGCAGGGAGAAGAGTTTGAGAACAGCCTGAACCACAGATCTTTGTCACAAAAATGTCTTTGGGTTGGGCTCAGAGTCCAACACCAGGTAAAGTTTAAAGCAATACTCCAGGCATAGTGGTGCATGCCTGTAATCCTAGCATTTGGGAGTAGAGGCAGGAGAATCAGGAGTGCGGAGTGACAGTACAGAGTTTGAGGACACAAGGTGCCATTTCAAAACAAAAAACACATTTGTTTTTCTTTTGTTTTTTTTCGAGACAGGGTTTCTCTGTATTACTTTGGAGCCTATCCTGGAACTAGCTCTGTAGATCAGGCTGGACTGGAACTCAAAAGATCCACCTGCCTCTGCCTCTGGGAATGCTGGGATTAAAGGCTTGAGCCACAAATGCCCAGCCACAATTTTCTTTTTAAATAATTTTTTTTTATTGTATATGCATTGGTGTTTTGCCTGCAAGTGTGTCTATGTGAGGGTGTCAGAACTTGCTGTTACAGCTGTGAGCTGCCATGTGAATGTTGGAAATTGAACCTCGGAAGAACAGTGCTCTTATCCACTGAGCCATCTCTCCAGCTCCTGGACAGGATACAGACACTGTACTCGTGAATTCACAGAAGCTGTGTTTGGCAACACAAGACTTGGCTCATGGATACTCTGGCCCAGCCTCATTCTTCCCTGAAGAGCTCTAGGCAATTAGTGGTCACTGGGGAAACCTGACTGACATTGTCTTTTTCTTTTTTAATTTTAAGTAAATTTTAAATTTATGTCTATAGATGTTTTGCCCCCATGTATGTCTGCTACACTCTTCTGACCTGGGGCACCAGGCACACACATGGTACATGTGCATGCAGGCAAAACACATATGCGTAAAATAAATAAATCTCAGACAATTTTTAAAATGTAATTTTAGGTCAGGCAACTTAGACAAAGGGAGAAACCCTTTGTCAAAACAAAAACAGAAACAAATAAGAAAAAAAGTGTGTTTAGGTGTATGGATAATTTGCTGTCATTTGGATCACATGCATGCAATTCCCATAGCGGCCAGAAGTGGTAGGTCAGATGGCCTGAACCTGTAATTATTAGTGTGTATTAGATCTGGGTCATCTGGAAGACCAACCAGTATATGCTTGCTTGCTTGCTTGCTTTATTTATTTATTTGTTTGTTTGTTTATTGAGACAGAGTCTCACTCTGTAGCGTGGCTGGCCTGGAATGCGTTGAGTTCAAGACTGTTCTTGAATTTACAGAGATCTGCCTGTTGTCCCTGCCTCTAAAGGTGTCAAACTGCACCCCTGCCTGACCTTCAGATTTTTTACTCTGATGGGTCTGTACTGAATATAATTTCTCACAACACTTAATTGGTGTTACAGTATTGTAGGAAACAGGAATGATTAAGATTCTGGAGGTAGCAGGGCTGTGGTGCTCACCTTCAATCCCAGCACTCTGGAGCACAGGCAGGAGGATCTCTGAGTTCCAGGACAGCCAGGGCTACACAGAGAAACCCTGTCTCGACAAAAACAAAATCAAACCAAAAAGAAGTAGAGGCTGGAGAGATGGTTCATTGGTTAAGAGTACTGGCTGCTCTTATAAAAGACCCTGTTTTGGCCCAGTGGTGGTGGCACACACCTTTAATCCTAGCACTCCGGAAGCAGAAGCAGGCAGATCTCTGTGAGTCTGAGGCCAGCCTGGTCTACAGAGCTAGTTCCAGGACAGGATCCAAAGCTAAAGAGAAACCCTGTTTCAGAAAAAACAAAACAAACAAACAAACAAACAAAAACACAGAAAGAAAAAAGACCCCAGCATCCACTTAATGGCTTACAACCATCTGTGACTCCAGTTCCATGAGACCCAACATCTTCTGGTCTCTGTGGCACCAAATATACGTGATGCATAGACACATATGCAGGCAAAACACTCATACAAATAAAATGAAAAGAGTAGTAGATGAAGATTCTAAAGGCATGCAGAATAATTTTTCCAACAAGAGCGTGGGCTTGGTCCTCAGCTCTGAGGGGCCACAGGATTGAGGGTTGGAGGGTAGAGTCTGGGAAGACAGAATACTTTTGGGGGAGGGATTTGAGACAAGGTTTCTCTGTGTAGCCTTGGATGTCCTGAACCTCCCCCTCTCTTGGAGATCTCAAAGTCACAGAGATCCTACTGACTCTGCCTCCTGAGTGCTGGGATTAAAGGCGTGCACCACCAAGGCGGGCCAGAATACTTAGTTAATTTTGACCAACTTAGTCATTCTGACAGTGAAAAATTTTAGTTTGCAGAGCAAGGATGTAGGGAAGGGGCAGGAAAATAATTCTTGCAAGCAGAATATAGAAAATCATAAAGAATGGACGTTGACATGGGAGGAAAAAACAGGAATTATGAGAACAAGAAAAGTTACTGTGGTGATAGGGCTAGTGGTCATGCTAGGCTGATCTTGTTAAATAGGGCTAGTTACTGAATCATCAAACCTTTGCGGAGTAACTGAAGTCTCTAAATGTACAGCCAAGAGAAAGCCAGAGTATGAGAAAAGTTTCTCACAGGTCTTGGCCCACAACAAGGAAATAGGCCCCCAACCCTAGAACAAATGATTCCAGATGAACAGCCCTGTTTGGGTCACTCCTGGCCAACGGACAGTCTGGGGACTTTCCAAGTCATTCTATGGTTTATCCTTTGAATAAGAACAGGCCATACCTGGTGATCTCTCAATCATGAGATCATACTTTGTAATCAATCACCTTGTGCCCCATGCATGTATGCTGATTTGTGGTCTTCTCTATAAAAAGAGCCTGAACCCTTTGAGGGGTGTGTAGCTTTCCCCAAGATCGCTGACACCCGAGCGCACTCGTTCAATAAACTCCTCTTGCTTGTTGCATCTCCTGGTTTTGGTGTTTGTGTCTCAGGGCTCTCCCATCAGCCCATCAGGACTCCAGAATTAGGGTCTAACAACAGTCCCCTCATGTGTAAGCAAATGAGAGCATATCTTTACTCTCACAGAGAGGTAATGATGTGTAATATTCTTTTTTACATAAGTTGCTCTTCAGAAGGCTTAGTACATGACTGCATCCAGGTGTGAGTGACAATCTTCCCAGATGGTCACTTATATAGCCTGTTCAATACCTCACCTGCCCTTGCCTAACCCTTGACATCTCTTTGTAAACGGTCAATCATGCATTTATCCAAAGGTCTCTTCTGCATATCTTTCCCTTCTTGCCATGATCCAAACTGTCCCTACTCTGAGAGGTGGTCAGACCCCCTTTTGGTGCCAGCTCAGGCTCGAGGCATAAGACTGACCCACTGTCAGTCACACAGGGCTTGGGATGCAACTCAGGTGGTACTGTTTCCCTGGCATGTACAAAGCCCTGGGACTGTTCACACAGCAATGCCAAGCACAGTCCTGTCATCTCAGCACTTGGGAAGGACAGATAGGAGGGTTGGGAGTTCAAAGCCATCTTCAGCTGTGCAACTAATTCTGAGCTATGTAAGATCTTGTTAAAAAAAAACAAACATGTCTCTGAGGCAGACAGATCCTGGTCTGTTCTGTCTCTTCCCCTTCTCTCTTTTCCCTCCTCTCTCTCCCTCCCTCTCTCTCTCTTCCCCACTCCTTTCCCAATAAAACATCCTTCCATGAAAAAGCAAAACAAAACAAAACAAAAAAACAAAATAGCCTGGCATGGAGGTGCACACCCCTGATCTAGCACTGGAAGGCAAAGGCAGCCTGATCTATGTAGTGAGTTCCAGCACAGCCAAAGCTACATAGTGAGACCCTAGCTCAAAAAAATAAAACGAACAAAGACCCTCCAAAGCCTTAAAAACACAAAAAACTATTTCTGTTCAGTTGAGACCATTGCCCAACGGGTTCCCATCCTCTAAACCCAC